TGGACTGACAACCAAAAGAAAAACCTAAATGATAGGCAAGGTACTGTAGGCATAAACACAGTGTCTACCTTCTTCGGGCTTCCTTACTTTCTTATCTGGATTGAAAACCTCTCATGTAACATAACACAGAGAAGAACAATATGTAATATTACGTTCTCTGTACATGATGTCTTCTGATGGTCTAATGACCTGTGAAATTGTCATTTATATATGACAAATTGTCTGGAAAAAGGTCAATTGACACTAAAGACCTTTTCCATATACTTACTATAATCTCATGTCGGGACTGAAGACCCTATATGGAGCAAGCAAAGATAAAACGAACGAGGTAAGATCTTCGACATTTTATAGATCAGATGTTTTCTTTGTGGACTAACAACCCAAAGAAAAAACCTTGAAAACTTGTCTTATAGTTCCATATGATCTATTTTCCTCGTCCTCTTACTTTCATTTGTAACTGATGAACCTGTAGAACAACTAACTTCCTAGTTCCGTGTCCATAGTCACAAGTTATTTGTAAATTTATTGCGATTCTAAAATTTCCGTCTTTACAGAAGGAAAATGGCGGAATAATTGAGGAATATCCGGGCATTTGTGCGGGGGTGCACAGTGTAATATGCTCAAGAAATTCCCGGGAAGTTGGCCATAGATAGATTCAATGGTGGATGTTAGCACATAGTGGCAATATTAGTGTAAGTAGTAAAGGTTTGCGTAGTAAAAACTTACTCATACAAACACCCCAACGATGTACAACGTACACATATTAATAGGAACGAATTTTACTCAATTCATATTCGCGAGACTACGTTTAGTGGATTCGATTATATGACAGGGGGGCTTTAAGGCCTCCTCATACAGCCGAAACTCCAGCTAAACTCCCGGCGTCAACTTAAAACAATGCCATATATGTAGGATTTATATCTAATTATATGTAACAAAGTTATCGGAATGTTCATAAATTCCAAGGGTATGTCAAATAATCTAGCCATATGCATTTAATCTTGAAAGGAATAGAACATATACATTTTCTCAGGCTTTAAATAAAAAGTCTGAAATCTACAGTCTTGAATTGAACTTTGTCCAATTTACCGATATAGTTCTAATCGATTTGCAATTTTTACTGGGTGGGAATACATACCTCGAAGCCAAATAGGAGAAAATGTGTTGCAGTATTGAATTTCCTTCGGTGGTGAAGAAGGCATTTTTCCACCCGCTGCACTCGTGAACCTGTACCATCCCTCTATCAAATTGTTGTCGCACCCTGGTGTCTCATCGCTGGGTGTTTTATAACCACTCGACCGTCTGTGATCATCGATTGTCCTATAGTCTTCGCATTGTTTGGCTTAAAATAATTTCGATAATCACATAATACGTTTAAATGTTTATAATCCCTCTTAGATTTATTATTTCAAAGTTACATATTTCTCCCCGGCGACTAGTTTTAATTGAGGAAACATTGGAAAAGTGAAGAAATTGTAATTGAGCAAAATTATCCCAAGTCGTGGAGGATACTTAATTTGTATTTAATTTAATATTTGAATATCACTAATGTAATACTAATTACCAAAACACATTTGGTAAAAAAATAATGTTTACCTTTGAATTTGAGTGTCGCTCCGACCGATACGATAAGAATGGTCAGTCCAACCAAAATACCCTCGACATGCATCTCTTTACATGTTAGGAACTATTTGGGGCAGTTTATAGTGCTATTTTGTGATTCAATTCACTATGCTGATAAGAAATTCTGAGTATTTGTTTTTTATCATATATTTTTCAATGGGTTTTGAAGTGTCCTAATGATCTATTTTAGTCTATTTATGAATTTGTATTGTATAATCAGTATTAACACAGTCTAATGTACAAGCGGTTTATCTTCGAAGTTGCCATTTTATCTTATTAATATCGTAAAGAACAATTGAGATTATCTCACACCTTTCCAAACGCATTGTTATTTAAGTACTCCACTGATTAATAACAGAGAATCCTCTTATGATGCATGTACGAATTTTATAAACAAATTGCGTATACATTATAGTTTGATAAGGATTACAAAACGTGAGTAGTAATTTTATATGAATGAAATTTGAAAAAAATCAATGCAGGTTAGTCAATTAGGTTTAGTCTTAGATAACTATTTTGTTCCCTTAAGTAAGTGAGTAAGATTAACAGGTACAATCGATTGTTAATGGGACTCATCTCTAACCCTTACGACAATGGTAATACACTTGCCAATTACAGAATACAAAATAAACATCTTCAGAAAAAGCTTGTTTATTAACTTCACGTTTGACAAGTGTTCTATAATTAAATTAAAATTAATTAAAAAGCATGCAAATGTTTTACAGACATGTCAAACTAGTAAGTAACTTGCTTTTTCCGCTTAATTCCATTAGTATGAGCATTTTATACAAAGTATCATTGTATGAGCCATGCCACAGGAAAAGGGGTCTTAGACTATCAAAGATTTTTTCAATATTTTGATTTTTTGTTTATCTTGAAGTAACTCTCTGACGATTCTAGGCCGAATTTCGACAATTTAAGCGATATGATTTCAAGAAAATAGTCTTACCTTTCTATTAGGATGGGTTCAGGTGCCAAAAATAACTGATCCATGGGAATATATCATTTTGAAAATTTGAAGCAAGAAATATTTTTTCGGAGCCATGTTTTTTTTACGAATCATAACAGGAAATAGATTATCTAAATGAAAACTGAATTTACATCATTAATCCTGGTTTTAACTTAAAAATTTACCGAAATAGATATTTAAATATTATTAAAATGATTATTGACTATTTTTTTTATTAATTTTATGCAGTGATTCGACTGTTTTCTAAAATTCATAATATATCTTTAAAATTATATTATTGTTTTCTCAACTTGTCTCTGTGGCCGAATGGATAAAGGCGCTGGACGACCCGGTCGAGACCAAGGATTTTTTATTTTTTATTTATCTCTCAGACGCGATTTTTTTTAAATCTCTTTTTAAACAACATATAGTCATATCTATTACTTTTTGAGGATTTAGATTTTAGATACATCGTAAATGCCTTACTTAAAAAAGCACAGAGACCTTTCAAATGAGCCATGACTTATGTCTTATCAATTTTTCCGTGCAGATATAGACCAAGAGACAGATTTGAATTTAGCACATTTTCCTCTTAATCTTGAGCACATTTTTGGCTCTGTAGCACAACTTTAGTTTTTGTGATAAAACCGGTTTCCCTATGGCCAGGCTCATATATTACCTTGGAATAAAATCAAAATGGTTGAGTATTCCCATACATTACTGATGTATAAGAAAATCGTTTTACCCTACGGTACAGCCCCGTATTGTATCACCATCGATATTAAATAATATCAAAGTTTATTGAAATAAAGAGGTGATTGAAATTCGACATGGCGGCAAGAAAAACTTAGGTAAGGGCACGGACCTCTGCCAGATTACCTCCTCTGTGTATAGGCTCAATAAATATACTAATTTCCTTTGAGCCTACTACCAACATGGGCTGGATCTGGCTCCGGATCTGTGGGTAAGGGGCCAAAACCCCAGGCGTCAGAACCATTTACAAATGTTTGTCTTATTAGGTTTTAATTCATTTACCCTCATTTGAATTTTCTCATCCTCCGATCACAGGGCTTCAAAATCCAGAATATGTTCTTTCTATTTACCCCCTGCGATAAGCAGTTAGTATTTCCCCGATTAAGAACTCGCACTCTGATTGGCTGTCGCAACACTGCGACATAAATCATAAGTCATTGCGCATTATTAGATCACGTGATTCAGTTTAATCGGGCGCTTCAAAATTGGTTATATATAGCAGGGGGAAGAAGGAGGTACGGATTCTGGATACCTGCTTAGGGGAATGAATTTTCTTGGAATTCAAACTATTTAGATAATTAAATGCAGTAAGCTTAATATTTTAACATCAGACATGCTTTAGACATGTGAATAGCGACACCATACTGTTTCGCGCTATTAACATATTGCGCTGAAGATAACAAAGGAAATTCTAAAAATGTTATTTAGGGATACAAGAACTATTGTTTAAACTAATAAAACAATATCAATGTTTTAGTTTTTTCCTCAAAGACTATCAAAGTTTATCGAAATAATAAGGCGATTGAAAGTCAACATGACGTCAACCTTATTGCCGAACTTGGGTAAGGGGTCACAACCCTTTACAAATGTTGGTCTTATACTCTTTATCTTCCCTCATTTGGAATTTTTTTGTATTCAAACTATTCAGATAATTCAATGCAGTAAATAATAACATTTTAAGCGATTGAATAATGATTCGCATGTCTAAAACGCGTATAGCGAGACCATACTGTTTCGCACTATAAACATTTCGCGTTGTAGATAATAAATGGAATTCTAAAAGAAAAAGCGATGATACCTATGCGGTGCTTACCATGCTTTATTAATGCTCATGAAAAAAATTGACAACAAAACATTTCAGCTTATCAAACGCCGTAATTTAAAGAACACTCTTGGTGAATATGTAACAGTTTCCTTTTCTTGCATCGCTGAATAGGGAACGTATCGCTTTTATTTAGTGATCCTGTTCTAGCAAAGCGGGAAAATTGAGGCTTTTTTGCCACAACGTCATACCCATATTTAAGACGATGTAGTGAAATATTTTCAGAGTGAACATTCAAATTTTTGTCATTCAATGAGATCATATATGAAACCCTTCCGAAAAAAACAAACGGAAGCAGTGCATTCATGGTTCCCCAAAATTGGCAAGGTTAGAGGTGAGTCCTCTTAACAACGAATAGTTCATACAATTGTCAAAAACCTCTGGAGAGTGAAACAAATATAAAGTAAGTATTTTACTAAAACCATTTGTACTTCAGTAACATCTCCATTGGAAAATTGCTATGCCCCCTCCCCCGATATCAGTAAGCCTATTAATATTAATGTTTATGCGTATTTTATTTTATTTTAAACCATAGGACTAATTCACAACGATTGGCGGTTTGGCGTTATCAAAATGAGGTCGAAATTCATGAATATATGGTCGATTGCCTCTCTGACAATTGCTGTATGCCTGCCAGGTAAAATATTTTAATTTCATCCGTTACATAACAATTTGCAAATTAGCCTTTTCATTCTGGCTCTTTGCATCTATTTATTAAAGTTAACCCTAATGTGCACAGTGTTGGATGACCCTCTCCTGGTTTTCCTCGGTACTTTTCTGGCATTAAAAAATTGTTTTAATCGGAGTAGCTATAGCTACAGATAAAATACCATGCTTGACTAGTGGGCATACATCAATAAAACCTTTTTAAGAGGTACCGAACATGTCTGTCAGATATCTGCCAACAATATAGTATCTCTATTAATTTTGTAGAAGAAATTTATTTGCCTCCCCTCCCCCAAGATTTTTCCATAGTGCCGCTATTTTTAGTCATTTTCATATTTACAATATAGTTTATATATGCATCAAAATATTACGGATTCTAATATGATACGTGGCGTCACAATACAATAGCTAGAAAAATTGATTTACTGTTCTATACAAGGGCTTATTCAATCCCCGGGCTTAAGTTGTGTACCAAACAAAACGACATCCGGTGCTTTATATGATCTGCATTACGCAATGGTGTATAGAGGGGTCAGTTTTCTAAGACCTAGCGGTTATTTTACTCTGTGACATTGCAAACCGTTCAAATCATTAGCTACATAATTGATTAACTCAAATATATGAGATGTAAATGAGGGTTAATACAAACAGAATAAACAGGGAAATGTACTTGAAGTGGCGATTGTGTTTTCTGTCAGTCAGTCTTACCCCCCTAACCCAGCTCTATAGCGCGGTATAAGGTGACCGGCCTGATTATGCAAATGAGAAGACCCCGTTGGTTTCTCGTCAGAACAATCAAAACGGACGCGGACAATCTTCGTTTTAAATGCCGTTTCTCATCATTTCGTGACCAAAATTCACTAAACTATATGAAATATGTTAGTAAAGATGGATTGATTTTACTTACCAATCATCAACATGAGCTGGCAATTTCAGTTTTGGGAGTTCACCTTAATAAAATCCCCAATGTGCATGGGATTCTTCAAACAGCCAATAGTATTGTACATTCGGCGGACTGCTGTTGTACAGTAGAGCATCCTGCAATCCGTGTTGCTAAAGTACGAACGGTCACGAAATGGCGTGATGCATATCGCCGTGTAAAAAGGCAAACTAGGTGTGGATTTTTTGGATGGGATCGGTGTACGAGATGGAGCAATCAACGTTTGTGAGTTATATATGCAACAAGATCTGCAATAGCAATCTGATGATTCTTTAAATGAATGATGGGGTGGGAGAGCAGGCGGTTCCTACAAGAAAAGCCAATAAATCTGGAAGACTTATTTTTTCAAGAGAAGGTTTACTACCAAATTGCTAAATGAATAGGCTCATGGTATGGTAAAATAATAGGTGTTCTAGAATTTTAGTGAATCGATACGCTTCTAAAAAATATATATAAACTGAAAGGAAGGGGGGGGGGTGGAGTGAACGGAGGGGGTAGTAATATGTCTTAAAGGTGGAATTCATTTACACATTTTACAAAATGACTCGAAAGAAAGAGTGTCACACCTATGAAGAGTAAAAAATGCCGGGGAAAAGAGTTTAGCCAAGTTATAGAAAATAAACTCAGATAACATCTTTTATTGACACATCACTTCCTCTGTTCAATTTTAATTACTTTTGATATTATAGACACTTATTTTAAAAAGCCAGCGATTACATTAATTGTGTGGTGATAACCTCTCTTGCAACTATTGAATACAGGTCGTGCAGACCCCTGTTGCTTGGTTTACAGAGAACATTGACTTGGACACGTTGGTAGCGTTGCGCCTTTTTTGATAGATCTCACACCTTAGAAGTGTATCAGTTCATAAAAATCATAAAATACCTAACGAATTTCACCATACCATACACCTATTCATTTAGCGATTTATTCGTAAACTTTCTCGGGAAAAAATAAATCTTGCAGATTTGTTGAATTTTCTAGCAGAAATTGGCAGCTTCCCCTCCGTTCTATTTCCAATCACCGGGCATGTATTTGCGCACAAACCAAGTAAAGTAAATCTATATGCGTCCTAACACCAATGTAATTTAAGATTCGGAACAATACATTATAACCAAGTACTAGAAAGATTGTCAATAATGCTCTTTAAATAAATGGCATTAATGGACTGATTTGAAAATGCATTACAATTTTCTACTTATTTTAGTCGAGTTTCATATGAACATGTTGAAACGTTTTATGTATTAGTTCCACAACCATGTCCAAAGGGTAAAGAAGTGTGTTACCAAGGTGCCAAGCTAGCAAAGCAGTGTACAAGTAAGTTTAGACCGACGAGTAGCTTGTATATTGAGATATTTTAATTAACAGATGACAAATATATGAAACTGTACACGGTGGGGATTGTCATCACGTGACCTTCGTAATTGATGGTGTCTGAACAAGTTGTACGATTTTCTCGATTAAGCCAGAAAAATGAATATTTTTCATATTTATACTTTGTTAACAGCGTCAAATATCTCCCCACTTATGTATACTATCTTAGTCTTTCAAACGAACCTAAATTGACAAGCAGAGGACGCATATTATTTGAGATATGACTGTTTTTCGTTTCGAAGAATGATGGTGTCTGAACAACTCTTCCATTCTGTATGATGGTGTCTGTACAAATTTAAAAATACACTACTTGGAAAGTAGTCCTCGTGTTTTCGTGTGTTTTTTATATACATCTGCTTCTTTCCAATATGTTAAACCAAAATCAACCTAGAATTGTGATGTTTGCCTGTTATCACTGCCATCCATTGGTTGAATTTCCAACATCCACTGAACGATTTGCAAATCATGTGTGGGACAATAATCCATCAGAGGAATTTAGATACATCGTGTATTGCCACCAGAAACTGGGCGATAAAGTTATTTGATCAGACGTTATTTATCCAATATTACAAAAGATTACTTGATGTACTTGAAGAAAACAATATAAAATGAATCCATCAATCGATTTAGACTGCCCAGGGATGGTATTATTCAGCATCTTCGCACGCTCGGTCTTCATTGCGTTCCGACGGGAGCCGAGTGAACGAAGATGATTATTCAGTAAAGCCAGTCACCTTTTGAGAGGCCAGAGAAATCTGACCAATCAAAATACAGGATTTCTTCGTGATGTCATTGTCCTGATTAAAGTCAATTGCTCTGCAAAATTATGTAACATTAATAGGGTCTAGCTTCTGCACTGTATAATAACTTATTAAATATAGGCTTTGTATAAAAAAAACTTGTACCTTATGCCCACGTACCATCGTACGTGAGTCGTGATTCAGTCTTTGAAGGGTTCAATTTTTAAAGCTTTAAAGGATTGTCTGATCAATTTTTTAAAAATAGCGCCATAGGCTCAAAGGCACGTCCAATAGTCTTGGGGATCGTAAATTCATCCCTACACACGAAAGTGTAATTGTTTGCTCATATTATGGATGGTGATTCCGAATTGGATGACGGGGAGAGTAGTACACCCATAAAGACAAGGTTGTAATGCAACCTAAATGTGGCAATATAGTCACACCTTAAAGACGACTTCCTGGAAGTCCTCAGCAAATGAAAAACGTGACAATTTTAGTGAATATTGCTTCTAGTGAACGAGCATTAATAGATAAAGGATCCGTCATACTAATATTATAAAACTGCCCCCAGGTCATTCATGACCATTATGACATATAATATGGTATTTAGAAAGGCGTTAATTATGGCATAGTGTTCAGGTGCATCCTAATTGTTATTGAGGCCATAGTGACCTTGTAAAGGTCAAGTCAGTGCATATCTGATAATAAAAGATTATTGTGTGCAATTTTGACCTTAACCTTTGATTTTCATTTCATTTTTTGTTTTATTATTTTATTTGGTTCCATTGACTTAGCATATGGATATCAGCATGTATCGACTTGATGATATCCTGATGTTAAGTCAATTATTCTTTCAAATGAGCTGGGTATAATGCTCCTTCTTAACCTTGGGACAGCCTTATCTTGATATTCTAGGCAGGTTACCAATTTCCCTTGAGTTATTAATCAATTGCATAGTTATATTCTTAATCCACTTTGTACATTTGTAGCACGAGTATAGTCAACATCCAAAATGGTACAAAATATTTCGAAGAAAATGCTCGACATATACACATATTTCAATGCAAATGCGTGACATACGGAACTCCGTGAAAAGTCCGAACGGAATGCGTTCGCCTTTTTCCGACGTGCACTAATGCATTTACAATTCAGCATAGACGAAGATTGAATGATCTTATATTTTAAAAATTGAACCCTTCAAAGACTGTATCATGCCCCACGTACGTGGGTCGGGACGTGGGTACGAGGTACTAGGTTTTTATACAAAGCCTTAAATATACGAGAGTACAGGAATGCATAGTATATAATAAACAATTACACATGAAAACATGGAGACTGGTATCCATGTCGTGTATTTAAAAAAATTGTACAGACACCATCATACAGAATTTAAGAGTTGTTCAGACACCATCATTCTTCGAAACGAAAAACAGATAATATGCGTCCTCTGCTTGTCAATTTAGGTTCGTTTGAAAGACTGAGATAGTATACATAAGTGGGGAGATATTTGACGCTGTTAACAAAGTATAAATATGAAAAATATTCATTTTTCTGGCTTAATCGAGAAAATCGTACAACTTGTTCAGACACCATCAATTACGAAGGTCACGTGATGACAATCCCCACCGTGCTGTGTTCGTGAAAACTAATTTTTTGTTTGGGCTATGTGAAAATGGTGCATGCAACCAGCACGTGATAATATAACATACTACATGTAGTATTCAAATCAAATTGGAATGTTTGAAACTTTACAATTATATAAATCTATACAATTTTTAGGCAAACCGTGTGAAGAGTACACAACAATCGATGACTACACCCGCTCAACTGGTTTCAACAAATTAAACCAACATAATCCTGAATGTGATAACAATTTAATCGAGGGGTGGCATCGTTTCATTAGTTCTGCAGGCAACCATATGCCATCTTCACCACCTAAAGGAGCAACTTCATGCAACACAAATTCTCCTATATGGTTACGAGGTAACATCATGTCCTCGAAAATAGTTCGAATAAAATTGTAGAACTTGTTGTTTCGTTATGCACATTTATGTTGATGCAAGATGCTAGCCTAGCAACAAACCCTCGTGACCCCTCATTACACTCCTCTTTGCAACCGACAGTCGTTATATACAGCTACTTGTGCTAAAAATCTAATCCCTTAAATTACAAAAACATCAACAGAGTGAACTATATTTTTAAAGTTTTGATATGGTTGTCAAATTAGTTGATGATATGGTAATATATGTTTATATAGTTAATATGATGTCATAGAGCTATAGCGCTGTGTGGAAGGCAGCTGGAAGATATGATGAAACTTGTCCATAGTCTAAACCTTCACTCCTGTACTTAAATCCATATTTTCTCCATGTATGGTCTCTATCTGTCATCAGATTAATTAAGACAATATCAAGAAGTTAGTTTCAAGAAAAGTGTGATCAATTTTGGTTCATTTCACCGAGGTGGTTTTTCTTTAAGCTGCTTCTCAACTGAGCAGGTCATTTAGGATTGAATTATTTACACAAAGATGGCCACACTTTAGAGCAAAAATACTAAAATGTTTGACAGTGAAATAACATTTTGTCAATTAGTAAATTTAAGAAAAATTAATTTGTCACATGTTCATCCAAAATAAAGTTCGGCTAAGTTGAATTGACGGAGATACAGATGTTTGAAAACATGATGGTATCTATATTTTAAAACTTTGCAAAAATATAATGTGATCAATATATGTAAGTTAGTTCAATTTCATCACTTTATGAAAATATCGGAAGTTTTAGGAAGGTATAGCAAACTTCACATACCTTAGCCAAAAGTTTCCTCTGCTGATTTCATAAGATGAGAGTGTTATGAACAATATCTGCAATTTTCATTATTTTTCATAGTCTGATTCTTTAAAAAACAATTAAAAAGCAGGGATGGAAGGGGTTGAAAATCAGGAAAACATTTCAGAAAAAACATGTGGGTGGTTTGTTTGCATCTACCCAGTCTCAAAGTCGATATTATTTCATCACCTCTAGAAGTGATTTTCCTGGAGGTAATGCATTGGCCTAACATACCCAATTGTTTAAATCCTCAGAAAATGGCCAAAATCAAACATATGACTGTCCAAAATCTGTTGCGCTAATTTCCCTCCTCCTTTTAGTATAAATGCATCCAGAAAACAAACTGCAACATCGACAGTTAGGAAATGGTAAATGTAAAAGCGGATTTTTCCCAAAAATATAATATGAAAATACGAAACACTTGTGAGGACGTGTTAATTATAAACTAACGTCAACTATTTAGGTTCACTTCCAACACAAGGAGGATACGCCCGTCTTGTGGGATGTGCAAAAACCTTAAGCAATGTTTGTAACAGGCAGTATCCCATTGGAGTGAAGCACTGTGGAGACTACTACGTGTACTATCTAAAACCAACGTCGAGTCAGTGTTCCCCAAAAGAGCGATATTGTGCAGGTAATATTGTATACAAATTTATTCCATCCATAATGTAAAACAATAATGATGCTGTAGAGAAAAATGTCGCCCACGCTAATTCTGTGCAATATCCTAAGTTATATTTACTTTTAGGGAACAAAACAAATTGCCAAGACGGGCTTCGCTCAATCAATGGAGATGGCATAGAACCATGTTCAGGTACCATATACCATGGCTTTGTCGAATATTATACAAACATTTAATTCTATTCATCAGGTTAATGTACATGTACATCTTTCACAAGTGATATTCCACGAAGCTCGAAGGGCTAATGGAATAGCATCCCGTTGAAGTGTCACAAGTATTCACTGAAAATATAATTAAATATTTGTTTTAAAATTCGCTGTTATATTCCTTTAATTACTCACATTAACTTTATAACAAACTATTAATGTTTAATTAAAAATAGCAATGTACTCCCGGGGATATGTAAAATTAGATTACATTGAACTTAGTCGTGACTGGTTAATATAATTTGATATTCAACGGAAGTAATTTGACTTCCGTTGAATATCGCTTGTTATTTTTTTGTCATGTGAAAGACATGGGCCAATCAACGAGTGAAAAATATGACAGTAATATTTAATTTTATTTAATTCTATATACCTGTGCATCTTTCACAAGTGATATTCCACGAATCCCGAATGGCTAATGGAATTTTATCATGTAAAAGTGTCATAAGTATTCACTGAAAATATAATTAAATATATGTTCTTTAATTCACTTTTAGATCTCTCACTTAAATTAACGGATAACAAACTTTTTTTTTTTAAATAACATTGTACCTCCGGGGAAAATAAAATTGAAATTACACTGGACTAAGTCGTGACTAGTGAATATCATTTGATATTTTCCACGGAAGTCTATTTTCTACCTTTAAATATCGCTTGTTATATTTAATTCGAGTGTAGGACATGGGCCAATCAAAGAGTAAAGAATATGACAGTGCTATAATAATGCTAATTATTTCTTAGCAAGATATACGATGATCGATATTTTACAGTCGATATGTTACGACAAACGCAAAGCTCTATTTAGTGATATTTTCATTTCAAATATGGCGGCTTATCCGATGTCTGACAACCCTTACAAAAATTCTAAGCAGTGTGCATTTTTACCTCCTGTGAAATAACAAGTGGAACTTAGTAGTTGTTTTGTGTTTTATTATCATTCTGCATCGTAATTTCTATGTGATGTGATGTTCAAATGTCTGCAGAAATACATATCCATACGATAGTCGAGTGAATTAGATAACAGATTTTTCGAAAACCCGTCTCCTGCTAAGAGTGTAAAAACTTGTATTAACATGCTCAAAAGTACCAATTTGCACATCAATGTCAAGCTAAATCAATGTTGTGTCTAAAACAGGTACCTAATCTACTCGAAACAGCTTGTCATTCACGTATACACGCTTAGCAAACACGGCTAAGAGTGTAAAAACTTGTATTAACTTGCTCAAAAGTACCAATTTGCACATCAATGTCAAGCTAAATCAATGTTGTGTCTAAAACAGGTACCTAGTCTACTCAAAACTGCTTGTCATTCACATATACACGCTAAGCAAACACGGCGAAATAATCTGAATCTTGGTCGTTCGAGAGCTAGTAATGTTTGTCTCTAGTTCGAAAGACAATCGTATCAACTTGAACAAAAGTTGAGTTTTGACAAAAATTTTAACATGCGCAGAAGTCCCATTTTCGTTGTACCATATTGACTGTTTACATGTTGTTTATTTACCATCATGTTAGTTTCTACTTTGCAGCCTTATTTCCTAATAGGCCTAAGGAGGCGATCATGCACACACCCAGGGAAATGAAAGGAAGTGATTTTGAGGGAGTCATATTTGAGTGCAGTGTTGTTCCGGAGATTAATCAATCCTACCCAACAATTCACGAATTTCAGTTTTTAGCCGAAGACTCATCAAAAACCGTTGAATTGCATACATTTGAATCAAACAACACCAAAGTGTTTATTACGGACGATCATTTTGCTAGAAAAGGCATCAGTCTCGGAAAAGAGGTATGCACAAACTGACTCATATCATATACAATACGTCATTGTTGACTATTATTCAATGTTTTTTGTTTATTTCAATGTGGTCTAAAATGATAAATTGTGCTCTTTTCCACAGCAATACTTTCTTAATAATGGATTGTATGCTTGTTTCTACGTAACATGCAGTTAAGCATTCTTTTTTAAGCATTGTTCTGTTTCACTAATTTGAACATCATGACTTTAGGTGTTTAGGTTTTGACACTTTAGGTGTTGTATTTCTTGCTAAAAAAACATTGGTATTTTTCATACATTTGATATTCATGGTTTGCTGTGAGGATACAGAGAAAATGTTTAACGATGACTATCAAAACCACTGGAGGGTATCGTGATGCAAAAACACAGTGATGCTGCATCAAGATGGCCAGCCTTCCGGTGATAGATTTTCGATCATCCTCCGATCACAGAGCTTCAAAATCCAGAATATATATTCTTTTTTTTACCGGCGAAGAAGGAGGTACGGATTCTGGATACCTGTTTAGGAGGATGATTTTCGTACGATATTTTGTTTTCCTCATTTAATCCAATTTCTAGGACGAGTTTATCAATAATCATACTGGTGCAGTTAGCGCACGATCCATATTAAAAAAAACTGTCGTTAGTATACAACATGTAGCATCACCAGGAAGCGATAAATTCACGATTTAAGTTCCTCACTATTGATGTCTGTTTGTTATCGATGATGTAAAACACCAATGTCACTGGGGAGTATCGTGATGCAACGACAAGATGGCCAGACTTCCGGTGATAGATTTTCGTACGATATTTTGTTTCCCCAATTTAAACCCATTTCTAGGACGAGTTTCTCAATAACCATACACGTGCAGTTAGCGCACGATCTATATTTAAAGAAACTGTCATTAGTATACATGTAGCATCATCAAGAAGCAATAAGTTCACGGTTTTAGTTCGTCACTGGAGAGGTTAAGCTAACGATGTTTTTCACAACGTAACCGTGAACGCAAAGTACAAAAATTAACAAAGGAATGTATCGAGCGCTCATAGTTTTATGCGCGCTTAGTCTACTTCAGATACTCTTTCAGCTTCAGAGTTTCGGGTTTAGAACGGGAGATTTGAAATTTGACGTTGGGTCAACGTGAACCATTTTACTCGTGTCTATTGAACACTATGCTGTCAATTTTGATTTCGATGCACAGTTGAATTCTTGCTGAACACGATGATGTATGTCATGCATGATTTAGCGCCAAAAATCTTACGAAACGAGCTCGTTTAAAATATGTATTAGAAAACCAGCTATAAAACCGCATCAATGACACACTATAGAATCATTACACGCTATGGTGTAGTCTAAACAAACACTGGATTTGAACGGCTATTTATATGAGAAGGCTACATGAATTTGTATATGGTCGAGTGATACGTACAGGTTCAGTTTCGATTATATATGCAAAGCTTAACCTCTCCAATATTGATGCAACAACGCCAAACCGAAGATGCAACAACACTCCTCTAGATTTGAGCAATGATGCAGCAACACCAATTAATAGTATAATTTCAGAAGACCATGAATCTCGAGAGGAATAGATTTTTAAATGCTATAATTGCAACACCGTTACCCATTACCCATTTGCGTTCTTCTCAAGGCATTCAAAATACACGTCCTGCAGGCGAAGATTCTTTATATGTATTTCAAAAAATTACACTTTTAAATATCATAATGTACTGGACGTTGTTCTATAACATAGTTCAATCGGCTTCAACCTGGCAAGCTATAATAACCCAATATATTTTCATAAACCACTGTTCCATAGCTTGATGACCCTGACTCCAGTTAGTATCATTCAAAATGGTGAACAAACATCTTTCGTTCTCGGTAAACATGACGAGCTATTGGAAATTATCTGTCATCCATCTGTGGAACAGTGATAAACTATAAGCGGGTGACAATTTGGGTAGAATAAGTGAAGTGCTGCACCCCCCGTACAACTTTACATGTTTGGTACCATATGAAAGGTCTTGACTTGTACATTAAAAAATATATGTTGTGGATCTGGGTGCTGTGACATAAGCACTTTTTTATGCATTATTACATAATCGCTTAGAAAAATATTGATGATTTACTCTGATATACTTTGACTAAAGAATAAACAAATTTTAAACTTAATGTTTTTACATATTAGTAAATAATACACTATTATTGACTCAACACAGTCATAACCTCCATATTTAAAAGCTATTACATAGCATTTAAAGAGTTATAACAAAAACAAATGAATTTGTCTATTTCTGTAACCATTTCTTTATTTAGTTATGTGATATTACCACAATGATATAACTGTTAAACATTATTTTGCTCTTTAAATTAACAGTGAATTTACTCTTAGTTAACTCATTATTAAGTCAAAGTCTTGTATATCCTTTTAACTTTGATAGAGACAAATACACTGTTGCTCATAAATATGGAATATTTAATAGATACGAACTGTTCGATGGAATTTCTACAAAATGATAACATGTTGATGAAAATTTGTAATGTGTTCTCATTCCCTCATCAGTTTTGCATATAAAACTGATTGGTATGAAAAGTTAAAACATTTATGGTTGATTAAACTTGTACTTACTCAGGTGACCCCTTGACCTCATGATAATGGTAACTTGAAAGAGGTGTCCAAACCTTAGCTGTAATCATTGTGCACATTTTATAAAATTTTAATTTAGAGTTGGAAGAGTTTTTAGAAGGCAGGCCCCATAGAATAAATGAAAAAGAGCATGGTAGGTCATAGGGATGGCGCTCTCTGGCATGAAACAAACTGCCATTGCCAGGACCCTAGGGGTGTGTCAGGAACAGTCTCTAAAATTTTGCAGTGGTACCAAAGGTACTGGACTATGACTCCAGGTCACAGCAATAGTAGCCCCAGAGAGAGAAATGTAAGTAAAGACCACCACCTACTGCATTTATGTCATCAAAATCGCTTATTAGTCAACCAGTAGTCTACGAGGTGAATGGCTGCCCAACCTCAAAACCTGTGTTCCAGAGCTATAGACAACCAGTGATTTCTTTATAACGGATGCAAGGCCATGAGACCTTTAAAGAGACCACAGCTGACTGATCATAACAAAGAAAGGTCCCTTCAATGGGCAGGAAAGCACCAAAACATTGGACCTAATCTTTGGTGTCATATGACATTATGTGAAGAAATAAGATGTGTCCTCAACAAAGTTGATAATTGTGTTCCGTTCTGTCGTAGACCAGGGGAAAGAGACAATAAGGACACTAACTGATGTGGCAGTCCATGAAGGCGACCCTATTTATATTTGGAGCAGTATTACAGAGGTTGTTTAGAGCAGTACTACAAAAGTTGCACCCCCTTGGTGATTCCCAAACATAATTTCAGAGTAATTTGACCTTTTGGACCTCCATCAAGTACCACATGCAAACAGAGTGTTTTGGGGCAACATTCAACTGAAGAATGATCATGCTGATGCATATGCTAGTGGCATCGTGTTGGATTACATCAGGGCAGTCATTGTGGACCAGCTACCATTGGCACAAAAATCAGCCAATCAGGCTAATGCAGAGCAAATGTGGGATGACCTTGGTACTGAGATTCGTGACTTGGACCTCCAACTCAAAATTTAGACACGTTACGCACTGCCCAGATTGAGGAATGGGGCCTTATTTCACTTCGAAAGGTCAGATGTTTCATTCTATGCTGGTCCCGTAGGGTTGATGCTCTTATTGCAGGAGAAAGAGGACATAACGCATATTAGTGCTATCATTGGATTGAGGACACTTCAATCTTCATGACCAGATGTTTATTTTGTTTGATCTGTTTTACATGACGATTTAGATCGGGGTGTTTTGAAAATGCAAAAAATTCTTAGCGTACCCCTGTTTAAATAACAGTAATTTTCTAAACTTAAATGTGAATATTTTTTCTCTAAAATATGTTGATCTGTAGATGAAATATGTGGTTATGATTTGCCTAGAAAATAAATGTCTGAACCAACTCCAAATAAATGTTCTCTTACTCCAAACTTTGAATTCTGAGCTGCCAAATCTAATATTCCATATTTATGAGCAACAGTGTACATTAAGAAACCAAACAAAATACATTTCATTCATGGACCACTAACTCACGCGTTTTATTCATGTCCCGACCAACACCTGGAAACAGAACATAAAACAGTTTCTCTTGTTGTTCAATGATACATTATATTGACGTTTTTGCATCAGCACATTGGTGTTGTTGCATCATCGATAATAAACAGAGTGGTGTTGTTGCATCAATAGTGAGGAATTAAAACCGCGAATTTATCGCTTCTTGATGATGCTACATGTATACTAATGACAGTTTTTTTTAAAATATAGATCATGCGCTAACTGCATTTGTATGATTATTGAGCAACTCGTCCTAGAAATGGGTTTAAATTGGGAAAACAAAATATCGTACGAAAATCTATCACCGGAAGTCTGGCCATCTTGATGCAACAACACGGTGTTGTTGCATCACGATACCCCCCCCCCCAGTGAGTGTGCTGATGCTAAAACGCCCATGATAATGTGTCATTGAATAACAAGAGAAACTGTTAAGCCTATGTTCTGTTTACGTGTTAGTCGAGGTACATGAATAAAACGCATGAGTCAAAGGTCCATGCAAGGGACGCCTTTTGCTTGGTTTCTTAAAGACTGTATTTGTCTTAAAGTGTCTCACATATTCGATCAAAATTTGCCATGCAAACATGTTAGTCTACTTTACTGGCCCCCCTTGCTGTAACAAGGAACCCAAAACACATTAAAACGTAAACATAAACCAATTAGTCACTTCACTATGAAAGTGGGGGTGTTAGCAAATGTATATTAGCAGAATACGCTGTGTGCATGGACTAACACAATATCAGTGGTCATTTACTGTGTCAACTTAGTAACCCTTGCATATCGTGCTCACTCAAGTATTGAATAATATTTTTATGATCTAAATGTTTGTGGTTTATGAAAAAATGTGATATATTTTAGTTTGAAATACATTAATTAATATATTCATTCAAACAGCACTAGAATGCGGGAAGAAAGAGCAATGGTGACAAAATGCAGACAGAATTTTCCGCAAGGGTTTCAAACATTTCTGGACACAATCATACATGTGCTTCATGTGTATTGTTATTTTTAGTGCTGTATTTATAGATATAATTTCACGTATTAAAATCATATTTTCCAGCAATGACTTCAAATCCGGAACCACATCCATATCACATTTTCTTCAATAACTCCAAACATGTGTAAACATTGACCATATGCATATAAATTCAGATTTCACGAGCTCTTTCCTATTCGAGTACCTCATACACCCCTGCATGGATTTGAGTTGGATTCGCCTTTTATACGTGAGCCGACACACTCGCAAACGCTGATTGGATAAAGATTGCGAGAATCTTTAAACAACGTTAAAAATCGATATTTCTAATTTTGTTCCAACAAAAAAAAAACTCCTTAGTATTTACTATTAATATTTACTACATTTTCTAAATTAAATTAGTGTACCGCTCTCAATTTACCTTTTCGGACCGAAATCCCATTACTTTTGTATACCTTTATACTCAGTCGGGGAGAACAAATCCACAGAGAACAATACTTCTACGTATACATGTGCGCGCCGTGTAAGATTTTCACAAAACGTGTGACTTAACCTCCCTAATAAAGTCATTTACACGTTTTTGACAAAGATGAAGCAATCATCCAATCAACATGCTGTCTAAAATGTTTTTCCGATAAGCTCACCGATGTCACAGTTAAACTGTTATAATTGTTATATTTTCATCAACACTGGTAACGTACATTTACTCGTTTATCACTTTCAGTAGATAATCAGCAATATCATGTCATGTTTAACGAAAACAAAAGATATTTGTCCACCATTTTGAATGGTACTAACTGGAGTCAGGGTCATCAAGCTATGGAACAGTGGTTTGTGAAATAGATTTGGTTACTGTAGCTTTCCATCTTAAGGCGATCGAACTATGTAATGGAAGAACTTTCAGTACATTATGGTATTTAAAAGAAAATTTGTTTGAAGGGCAATCTGGACTGCAGTCGAAAGTAGTTTCATTGTTTCATAAAGTGCACCTCTTAGCCGATCCTTCATCCTAGTGAAAACAGCAAAATCAAAGTTGTCTCATCTGGAGAGTATGTACCTTGGGGCAGCTTTGCCATCTATTTTGCCAGTTATTTGTGATGATTTCCTGCACAATATTAGCAGTGTGATCGGCTGCATTATCCTGATGGAAAAAATAGAGTTCGGCTGAATGGTTAAGTTTTAATCAACTCACCATAGCATTACGTTGTTGATTTTCTGGTCCACTGGTACATGATTGACTAACCCGATTTCAGAAATGTTCGTGAAAACAATGAACATCAATTTCCCTTCAGAACATTTGTAATAAGATAAAAACAAATTAAAAATAGGGATCCTTCATTTGCATACATTGATAGATTTCTGTAATGGTAAATTGTGTGACGTAAAAAAGTGCCCCGTCTACCCAAAAGTCAAGCTATCATAGTAACCCTTGTTTTTGACCAATCAAATTAGAGATGCTATTTTAAGAATCAATCAGAAAGTATTTTATACATTGTGTGAAACTTTTATGGGAAAATATAAAGAATCTTTGAAATGAGAGATTTTTCCGTGAACTTATTGAAGGACCTGGTACGTGTAAAAATCTTCGCCCGCTGGACGTGTATTTTGAATTCCTTGAGAAGAACGCAAATGGGTAATCTTTGGATTTAATTGTTTTCCTTTCAGTTTTCTTTCAAATAAATGGCATTGCGGCACATAGCAGGAAGTTTGTTTTATTGTAATCATAGTTATTATTCTTTGATCTTTACCTTCCAGTGTCCTCTTTGGAGAGTCAACTCTTAGTTGACCATTATTTTATGGCCTTCATTTTAGCGCAATGAGGCGCGAGCACTTCAAACCAAAGTGGTGTGATTTATACGTAAAACCTCCCATCTAAGTCATCAAGAATCAGTTTCTGAATGCTAAGGTTCTCAGATGCCCCGGTGTTGCAGTATAGTAGTCGCATTTAAAAAGCTGTTCCTCCTGGGATTGATGGTCTACTGAAATTATACGATTAATTAATTAATAGTCTAGAAACGTCCACGGTAGGGTTTAACAATATGCCATAAATCAATGTTGTTGGATCATGGCTGAAATCTAGAGGAGTGTTTTTGCATCTTCGGTTTGGTGTTGTTGCATCAATAGTGAGGAACTAAAAACGTGGATTTATCGCTTCTTGGTGATGCCACATGTTGTACACTAATGACAGTTTTTTAAAATATAGATCGTGCGCTAACTGCATGTGTATGATTATTGATAAAATCGTCCAAGAATTGGTTTAAATCGGGAAAACAAAATATCTTACGAAAATCTATCACCGGAAGGCTGACCACCGTGATGCAACAACACGGTGTTTTTGCATCACAATACCCCCAGCGAAAAATGTAAGCTACCAGGGACACGCTTGACATAACTAAGCATTTAAATGTGTTAAAATTTACTATACATATTTAGATGGTTAGACAATATTTTCAAACTTCGGCTTGGGCCTTTCACTTTTTTATATTGCCTAACTGTTGTTTATTTCCTAGATATCATGTCGTGTTAGAGCCATTTTTACAAACGCTGACGGCAACCCAGATCTCAAAAATGCCTCGGGATCAGCATGGGAACAGAGTAATGCCATTTTCGTTGGAGTACACGTGATGGTAATAACTATTATATACATCTTCATTTTTACCACAGACATGTACATATTTGGAGACCCAATACTTGTATAATTCCGAATAAATACAAAAAAAGAAAAGTATCGCGTGATAAATTATGGCGATATTTTCTCGGCGGGAAATAGTTCTACATACCCTCTGGAAAAGTAATGTCTCACTGTGGTTTGATTCCCCTTTACTCATTAGTTAGTAATATTTTTTATAATTATTATTTTGCTATTATGTGCTGGCAAAAATCATAAAATCTGTGAATTTAGCTATTAATTCTCTTAAAATTATCATATTTCTAAGCAGGTATCCAGAATCCATACCTCCTTCTTCCCCCTGCTATAACAAATTTGGAAGCGCCCGATTAAACTGAAACACGTGATCTAATTATGCGCAATGACTTATACATGATTTCTGTGGCAGTGTTGCGACAGCCAATCGGATTGCGAGTTCTTAATTGGGGAAATGCTAACTGCTTATCGCAGGGGGTAAAAAGAAAAATTATATTCTGGATTTTGTAGCCCTGTGATCCAGAAGTACTCGAAGGCAAAAACACTATAGACCCGTTAAGTATCTGTGGACTTAAATCCCATATTTGACGTTTTTATAAATTACCTATTATTTTGAAACGTTGCAGCCATGTGGTTCAGAATTGTTGATTGTTTCACAGCTAAAGGTAAATTGCTTAAATTTTTTTTTAAAATCCGTTCCTCATTCCAGGTTCAAAGTGTCCAAGTCCAAGTCCGAGACGAGATATCAGCAAATAAATGTGCAAAAAGTAGCTGGTCTTTATTGTTCCAATTTCCTCCCATAGTTTTGTTATCATTTGATTTGATGCAGTTCGGCACTTGTATATATACAGGTAGAGTTACATTGATTATTCTGTCAAAATATTGCTTATTTGCTATAATTTGGACTCAAATTACGCTTAGTAAACAGAAATTTGAAATCATAAGTGGAATTTGATTGAACAATAATACACATCAATCTGAAATTTTTGACAGAAATTCATGTTTTGTTACTACTCATTTCTGTTGCGTTGTTCTAGACAGAGGCTCTAACATCAAGATTATTGTACTACCCATACCCGTATAAACTCAGATCATTATTACATAATTTATATAAATCATTGATGAATTTATTAATTATAATTATTAATTAATCTGGATGAACAAGTTGTAACAACTTACTTGGAAGGAAGGCACATTAAGTGCTGCATGAGCAAATTGCGCCGCGGGCAGTTCAAAAATGCAGTCATAATTGCCTTATAGCTAGTTATTAGACGAATTATCAGTTCGGACTGACCTTTAACAATCCATTCGTGACAGAGTCAAAAATCTTTTATGTCAAATACATTTAAAGCTCGTGTCAAGCCATTATTAAATCACAATATAGATTTGTTTCATTAAGTGTGTTAACACTATTTTCAGAATAGATATAGGAAGATCTGAAGCAACGTAACTGAAGATTTGAGACAATTGGTACATTAATAAGGGTATGGCTCAATTAGAGCACATTGAGACATTAATTTCTTTCCAGAGGGTGAAGTTTGGCTGTGACCAACGAACGATTATTTTGAATATGGTTGTTCTTCTGTATAAAATGCCTTCTTGTTTTTATTATCTGCTAAATAACGATATTCTCACCGTATGTTGTAGATGGAAAGTGGGCCTCTGATAGCTGGGGAAATAACGTCTGTAAAATTAACATTTAACGTTACGATCCCAATAGTTTGTAACTTTTATCCATACTGCAAGGTTTCCGTTTTCCTTGGGTTTGAACAAAGGATAATTCCTGCATTAGGATGTAGTGCAGTTGATGAACTAGCATCCACAAGTTGTAATGTCATATTTTACCCTGAGTCAGCGCGAACGATTGAAAAAGAAATTAACATTGAAGTCAAAGCATCATCTCTGCACAGTTATGAAAGTTTGTATCACCTTCGCGTGTTTACAGGGGAGATAGACGACCCGAAGATTTGGCACAATTATAAAATTGCAGAAATACCTGTAAGTATGAATTGAAGGTGGGAAGAAATGGGTGACGATACTTATAAGGACTTAGTGAAACATTAACGGCTAGTCGCCCAAAGTAGTGAAGACACCAGAGAATGTAGACCAAAATTATTATAGTTATATACTGAAAAACAATTGTTACATTTAATACAATCGATCCAATTGCAGCTTCGAGTGAATCATCCAAATGGTCGTATTGAAGGATCGACCGACTGTAAAAGTATCAACGATCCCCACATGACAACATTTGATGGCAAGTACGTATTGAAACTCAAAGATATTAAGATGAGTCACATCAAATATCAATTGGTAGATTTTAGTGTATCATATATTGATAAATGGAAATAATTGTGTTTCTTGTCTGTTTATTATATTAGAATCATAAAAAAGGCCTCGATTTTATGATTTATGACGTATTTATGACCTCTAATTTCATTCTATTTATATATGACCGAAAATTCTATATTACCTGGTCATTGTTAAAAGACCGAAATCGCATATTGATTGAGGTCTTTTGCAATGGCCAGAATAAAATTTGAGGTCATACATAAATCATAAAATCGAGGTCTTTGTTGCGATTATGACGTCACGTATCACATTAGAATCAAGAATAAATCACAGAAAGAACGAAACGGATTGCACTCTTCTTTCGTGACCATAGGCAGAAATTGGTTAATAGATTGTCAAATGTTTTTCGGGAAACTAGTTCTACTCGTAGATATAACTTCTATTTTCTTTGAATTTTAGCGGCCATGTATTCTCCAATATAGACCAGTTAATCAATTGTTATAGCTATTGTGACGTCACGTATCATATTAGAATACGCCATAAATCATATATTTGACATAAATCATAAAATCGAGGTCTTTATTCCTTAAGTATTACATACCTAGCGAAGCATTTGTATGGAAGTCAATGGGAAAGTTAGCGAGCTATATCCACCGATATTGCCCGATTACCCCGATATAGCCCGCTTACCTCGTTTTGATATTAGATTTCTTTAATAACCATGATAATATCATGACGTCACGTCATTGATACAAAGTAACCATGGGAACAAAGGCATGTAATACATCAGTTATGTCACTATGACGTGAAATATGCCTTCGTTCTTGCCCAAATATAGAGCCTCCCAAGGTCGGCCTATATTGGGAGAACTCAGGCATATTTCACGTCATAGTGACATAACCTCTAAATATTACTCTGTATATTAATCTCAGCTATTACCACAACTACGAAGAGGGTGTGTTTCTCATGTACAGAAATACCGAGTTAGATTACAAGGTAGTGTATAAAATGATTTTTTACAAATACTAGAGCATAGTCAATAATTGATTCAGAAGTGAATTAAAGTAATACGTATAATTTACTCAGAAAGTATAAATTTAGAAGATCGAGACATTTGGGTCCGTGTCTTCTTATCGCCGGTGTTATTGACCCTTGTAAAAAGATGGATTAATGCGGCGGCTAAACCTCGAGCCGGCGCTAATAACCCAGATGCGAGTAGAAATAATCTTGATTTACGTCATTAAAAATTCAAAACTCAGTCAAAGTAATATCATATTTAAAATCTACATGTAAAATTACATCTAGAAATGTGGTTTTAAAAAGTGTTTATCAACTTTGAAAAAATAATTTTCTTTGAAAATGTGACTTCTAGCTCGGGGAGATTCCCCATAGACCCCATTCTATAAAATCACAAAAAATGAAATATCTTTTCTTTTAGTGGACAGATAATATTTTGCTTTACTGGACATATTTTCATTAGTATAAGTATCAGACACATAAGGGTTATATTAAAATTAAGCCACTTAAATTGATAATATTCAAGTTTAAGGGTTCCCAGAGTTTAAAGATGACAGACATAATTACCTCTCTTGCTTACCACCTTCGTTCGTTCGAATTTTCATCGGCTAGTTATCAAATACTGCACTTCGATGGGATGTTTTAATTGATATAGGCATATTCCGTACACCTTTCTTTATCTTGATGTGAAATGAGAAACTATGATATTGGTTAACACGCCAGAAATGAACATAATATTATTCGAAGCGTATTTCGTAAATTTTGAAACCGCCATTGATGACGTCATTTGTTTGTCGACTTTTGACCAATCAGCGACGATGTCATCTCGATACAGATTTACATTATAAGCGTATGTCATCTTTGAACCCTGGTGTTTCTCCCCCTCTAGCAACACTGTAATCGCTGTTGTTATAATGTGCGTGCGCACTGTGATCATGCCTTCATAATAATCTACAATCGATTGGCCATGGCGGGAAACTGTCAAGATGATCTTGATTTTGATGAATTTCAGACGATGTATATTTTAAAACGATGAAATAACCTTGGTTGCCCGTCTTGGCCCACGGCCCTTCTTACCCCCCCCCCTTAACACTAGCATTTTGGATTTGGATCTGAATATCTCGTCTTTGCCTCTATTTTATCATATAGGATGTATAGCAGTTTTACTTTCTCAATATGCTTCAACTGTGAAAACAATCCCGATTTTTTGATTACACCAAGAAAATCGAATACAGCGACAGCATTTTCACGGTTATTTGAGGCTATTGGCGCATGAGTGTATAGTTGTACAACCGGTGTTAGAATGCATAAACAAGAAGGGGGGGGGGGGGGCGCAGAGCTTTAGGGTATATAATTACCATATAATTACGTCTCTTGCCAGAGGGGGAGAAACACTAGGGTTCAAAGATGACATACGCTATAATGTAAATCTGTATTGAGATGACATCGTCGCTGATTGGTCAAAAGTCGACAAACAAATGACGTCATCAATGGCGGTTTCAAAATTTTCGAAATACGCTTCGAATAATATTATGTTCATTTCTGGCGTGTTAACCAATATCATAGCTTCTCATTTCACGTCAAGATAAGGAAAGGTGCACGGAATATGCCTACATGTATGTCAGTGAAAACATTCCATCGAACTGTAATATTTGATAACTAGCCGATGAAAATTCGAACGAACGAAGGTGGTAAGCAAGAGAGGTAACTATGTCTGTCATCTTTAAACTCTGGGACTTTCCCTCCTCTTGTCTCTTGCGTACCACCTCCGGTTGTGCAACTTCTCACCAGTTGGGTTGGAAAATAACGCGTTGTTGTGATGTTTATATCCATGTAAGCATATTCATTTCACATTTCTTTATCTTGATCCAAAATAACAAGCTATCATCAATCAAAACGCCGAAATCAAAAGTACGAAAATATTATTCGAATGTTTCGGGAATTTTGAAACCGCCATTGTCTGTCTGTCGATTTGACCAATTATTACGATATGTCTTCTCAATGTCGATTTGACCAATTAGGACGATATGTCTTCTCAATACAGATTTACATGTTGGACATGTGTCTCCTTTGCACCCTTTGGTTATTTCCCCCCTGTATATATACCATCAACATAATTGATATCGCCGTTCTTCTGAACGCCGGCGTTACGTAACACCGCGATAATAGTTATAGCTGCTCAGCAAGGTCAATTTTGCCAATTTCTCTCTTAATTCAAGTGCCTTAGTATAGTCAGTAATCATAATATATAAATTTAGCTATGTGGCACATCTCATGTACAAGTGAGGTCGATATTATAGCATTATAAACATTTCGTTTCTTCCCTGTTGAAATTCAAGCGAAAGTACATCACCAAAATTATATCTTGTCATGTCGCACAAATTCAATGTTATATTTCGAATTTTCAACCAGGAAGTCTCACTGTAAATTCCAAGGTTAAGTTAAGGTCGTTACCATGCCTAGCTAATGTTTTTCCAAGCAAACGTCCTTATCTCCCATCTTTTACACGGCTTATACATGAAAACTATCTTCTATAACTAAATAAAAAATATATATATATTAAGTTTAAAACAATCTAGCGGAAATAATGAAGATAATCGGGAAAATCCTATTCATTGAGAAAATTAGCTAAGGGGCTTCTTTTGGGATGTCTAAAATTTAGACATTTAAAATGGTTAACATAGTTTTAAAATATTGTTTGTTCATTCTACTGTTCTGAACTGTATGCTCTCCAATAATAATTCACTTTCCAAGCGTAAGCATATGCTATAACTTCATTATTATCTTTAAACTGTTTACAATTTCACCGTCGATAAATCAACATCACTTTTATAATCAACAACTTTTTATATGAAATCTAAAAATCTAGAATTCGTTACGCCTACTAGTTTTCAGGCGAACCGTTTTTTGAGATTGATCTCGTATTTCAGAGATGTCTCTTGGTATGAGAACATTGCATTTTTTGCTTGAAAACGTTTCGGCAAAGTCTTATGCTACGATGCGTATTTGGGCAAACCGTTTCATGGATAGGTTTAAAGGTTTTTATTATCAAAATAATCAAAACATGTGTTAACATTCTCAGCCAGGGCAGTGGCAATACATTATTGGCCCTATTGCACTGTGGCTAGTCGATCTATGTGGATGCAGTCATTTATATGCAATGTATCGTGGGTGCTCGCGTACATTGTAGGGAATGGGATCATTGCAAAAATATGACAGCAAATCGAGGTTTGTGATCTCAGAGTTTCTAACATTGTGCCTTGAAATCTTGCATACATATTCAATATACCTAGTATGACAATGTGTGAAAGTTGCAGCCACCATATTCCTGTTCTGGGAAGATATTAGAAAAACATTTTGTAAACGTCAACATATATGTATAAAATGGATGGCACTATGTATCATTTGGATTCAGAACGGTAACAAATGGATGGTATAATAAATTATACTTTTATCATGATGATTTATTTAATGATGGACAACTGGCCAGATTTTCTTTGTATCCATTGTTTGGATAAACATTCCCCATTCAGTAAAGTAATTAGCAACCCCATTACAAGACACCCCCATGAAAAATTGAAAATACTCAATGTAAACCCATCAACTGGAAAATGCCATTACAAAACTATGGTTTTATCCCTTATACTGTTAATTTGAAAAACGGGTCCATAACATGTAATGATGACAATGCAAATGTTGAAATTAGGTACGCCAATGAAGTGAATTCAGAGCAAAAGACCCATCAACCCACTTGAATACCCACAAATCAAGTTTCATAGCCTTGCCCAAGTCGGTCTCTTTTACTCATTTTGATTTCTAGGTAAAATTTGACCAATCAACGACGGCCCTACATTGCCTGACTAGGTCTTAGTGCATTTCCAGTTTTTACAGTTTGCATTTTACAGTTTGCTTTTCTTGTTGGGTTTCCAAAAAGTTTTTAGTCACCCTTCCCTTTTGGCATTTGTGCTTATATATCCATCACAAATTCAGTTTTGAAAAATTGAATTGCATGATTTCATTTATACGTCGAGTATTTATGACCGCTTACATTCCAATGTACATTTAATAACATAATATATTGTAACTCTCAAGAAACACTAGCTCGATTAGATCATTGAATTTCAAGTTTTAGACTGGTAGTTTGCTTTTTTATGCAGGTCAACCTGATAACGTTTTGATTGGTCAATCAGCCTGAGGTCACGCGTCGTGTCCATGTCCATATTGTCAATCAATATATATGGTTTCGCGATACCATTAGGTAGCCTAGGTATTATGGGAATCTCAGAACTGCTGAATAACTTAGCATAATATGAGCGATGATGCATTGGATTGTACAAGGTTGTTATAATTCAAGATCAGATAAGTAAATAAATACCGACTTGGGCAAGGCTACAAGTTTCAGAGCCATTAACATTCCTTGAAAATGACAATGAGCAGCCAACAGATGGACCATCCGTAAATATTGATGATTTTGTCAGCTCAGCTGAACAAGCCTACAGATTCCTTGAAACAAATGACCCAAATTCAAGAATAATATCATCTATTTACAATTTTTTGAAATCGTGGTAAGTGGAATCTTTCCAATTACCAATATAGTATTATCATTGTTTTTGGACACTGTGGATTAAAATATTAAAAATACACATATTCAAATTGATTCAATTGAAACCTAGCCAGTCTGTTCATTGAATCAAATAAGAACGTCTACTAATCCACATGATACATCATAATTAAATTGCTTTTTTAAAGCGGATATTTCATACCATAACCCTAAAAATGTTATAAAACGCATTGTATTTGTATTTTACTTCACACAGACATATTTGTGTACGTGAAATAATCATTTTACTTGAATTTTTTATTCCCATTATAAGGTAAACGTATGGCAATTATACATACCTTCTCACAGCTATAAGCGAGATGATAAAACTGGTCGAGTGAACTCGTTTGAGTTGTCTATTCTCCGTAAAAATATCAGAGAATGTGTGTTTATAGTGTAGCTTTAATTGGTTTTGTAAATCAATGAAGTATGATATACACGGATGAGTAAAAATAGATTATTCAAATAGAAGTGCAAAATTCTTCAATTGAAAAGTACAGAGGCGGGCACTCACGAAACACTACATGTGCCTGACTGCATCCACATAGATCGACTACCCACAGTGTATTAATAAAGTCTTCAATATAAGTTAATGGTCATTCTGAACTTAATGTTGTGTTGCCACCAGCTTGACATTTATAGTATAACTGGGTGATTTCAAATAGTTTTAACATTTTAGGTTTACACGCAGACAGTAAAATGTGGCAGAGCTTCGTGCAATTGTTTAGTTGCGGCTGAAGTAGAAGACGATCTTCTTGTCATAGATTCATGCAAAATTCAGCGTGTCGACTATGGTCTAACTAGAGGTTTTCGATTCAAGAACAGGAAGATTAAACTTTTTCAAAATGGAGTTTTAGCTTACGGTTTTTTCTTAGAAAGCGCAGATGATGGACGAACATTAAAGGTAAATATATGTAACCAAAATTTGTAAATGCATTACATACAATGGTTGTCCATTATTCAATTAACCCTAATGTCTGCAGGGGGGGGGTCGAATTTTTAAAGAGTACTTTCTCCGTTATCTTTTAGCTTTAGAAACAGATATAAGACACTTTTTGGCGTAAAAAACAATTTATCACAAAATTTACACTCCCTAGGTCAAGTTGACCTCGACTTGACCTATGTTGACTAATTAGCTTTTTAAGAAAATAAAATTTTTCTGAAGAGGTAATTAAATGAAATCAGACAAGTAATGAAAAATTACGCAGAGGGATCCAAATGACCCCCTCCTAAGTTGCGACTTAGTGTTATAAAAACGGTTGCATTTCATGCTAAATTCCATCAAATTTCCACAGCTAGATGACTGTAACTGCAGTTAGTATCATTCAAGATGTTGGCCGATTCTTTTGTTTTTGATAAACTTCCGATTTCAGTTAAACTAGGTTGAATCTTGATTCCATTTTTTGCAATTCAAACTACTGAAGCTATGATTGTAAACAGCCACAAGAAAACGTTCAAATACCCGCGATATTGGAGAAATTTAAAGAAGACGGCCTCGGAAGACGGCGGTCTCACTTAGAATTAAAAATAGTTGGACTTGATGATGACGTGTGAATGACGCTAACTGAAACGGTGAATGACACTTACTCTATTGGATGAATAAATGCATGGCCATCTGAGTTAGTGTCATCAATAGTGAATATCACGTTTGAGTTATTATCAGTTAGAGTCATTTTAAGTGAAGCTGTTTTCTTTAAATGCATTATTCTCTATTAATGCAGGTGTCTGAGCATTTTTTCCTGACTGATTACAATGTGTTACTTTTATTTATTAGTTTGCAAGGCGAAACATTTTGAATCCTGATTTAAGTTAATTAAGCTGAAATCGTTGATTTATGAAAAAACGAAAGAATTTTGGCTATCATCTTGAATGATACTTCCTGTAGTAAGCGTTATCTAACTGTGGAACAGTGTACATGGAACAGATACGACTAGACTATTTAAAATAAATTTCAAAACTCCAGATAACATTGCCGAGTGGTACAGTGATAACCGTATTAGATGGACATCTAGATCATCTATTTAACGTATTGATAACCCCGTCAAACCTTGATAAGCCAAGAGGGGGAAAGTTTGATGAGGGCTATAGGACACGAACTGAAGGGCTATGTGGTGTGTATGACAAGGACAGGGATTTTAGAACTGATTTGAAACCCAGAGAGACGGGAGCAGTAATGGACAGTTGTTTTTCTTCAGAGCGCGGTTGCTACAATAAAGTACTGAAGAAGTTCCCTCAACAATGGCGGTAAATAACATCACCCTTTGTTTATATGTTTAGCCAACCAAGTCAATTGAATAGCATGATAAAGCCTGTTTTTGTTTGACTTTCTTATTATGTGCGTCAATATCATTTAGAAAATAATTCGTAGTTTTTCCCATTACCTGATTACCAATAGTTCTAGAGGGAGAATAGTGAACGATTTTGTTGAATTTGTAAAGTCCCCAATATAAACAGTTTTTAAGACTTAGTTCGGAGTGGTATTTTCGTGTGCCAAAATAAAAGGAATCGTATACTGAGAAGAAATTGTAATGCCTTAACAAATTACGGTACATTCATGAATTAATCAGTCCTTCACTTGGTAATTTTTCTATAAACCTATAATAGGTGATTGTATAATTCGGGAAATGGAAATAAAATACTTGTGTTGATGGCTCGATTATATACCATGTTGATGTTTCAGAATCCATAATACTGACTTTCTGAGTAAAGGATTGCCACACAAAAATAAAACAAGAAAACACTGTGTTTGCATTGCAACGGGTGCAATACTGTGTAATGATTCGTGTTCCGTGACGAACAGTATCACTTCAATGGGACAGGGTTCGTTTAAAGATGATGTGTATCCCATAGACGAAGACTTTCAGGCAGAAATATTCAGCGTGCACAGAAGCGTTGAAAACATCAACACAAACCAACGCGTAAGTTAAAATATAAAAACAAAAATAACACTTACAGTAAAATTATAATACAATGCTTTTGATTAAAAACGTATCACAAAATTACAAATTTCCAATTTTAGTTTCCGAGATCATCAAGATCGGCATTATCAAATGCGACAGACTTTTGTATAACTACTGTTAGCAGCACCGGTGCAGCAAGCGCATTGAAGGATCTACCCGAGGGTGTCGAACTACACTCGTATATACAGGGCTGTATAGAGGATATTATGGTATGTATCTGATTGATTTGTATTTGAATCTATCATTGAGAAGTCATTAAATTGACAAGTATGACATTTTGTAGATTACAAATAGTACGGATTGGATAGATGGCACAATTGAATCCCTCCGAGCAGAGGTTTTAATGGTAGTTGGAAAGAATATATCTCTGTGGAATACAAACAAAAAAGGAGACCCCGTGGAACCTCCGACAGAGTTAGTAAAGCAACTCTGCCCACGAAATTGTAGTGATCATGGAAATTGTGTGAATGGAACGTGCGAGTGCGATTCAGAACACACAGGAGCAGACTGTGCCCTTGAACGGTCAACTCCCCCGACACTTCTATTTGTACCGGAGAAGGGATTGTGTGACGTACGTTTGAGACCATGTAGAGCCACGCCGATAATGGGAGAAAACTTCGTAGACGCAGCAAATCTTACTTGTTATGTGAGACAGTTACAGGTATTTACAACTCTGGAGTATTTCTGTATGTTTGTCACGTTGAAATCGGTAGTTCATTTTAATCTTTCGGGCGAACTGAAAAAGAAAATATTCTTTTTCATCTAATCTCCTTTTACATATTATGCAGTACATAATCTGATTTAATAGTGCTTGTATGTTCATTATTTGGTCCACATTATGTGTTAAAGTAAATCAATAGCATGAATGAACGGTAACCCAACTTTTACCAACAAACTCCCATATGATATAGATTAGACAAAATGGAACCACGGATTTGAAGGAAGAAGTTCTAGTTGCAAAGGCCCGATTCGACTCGTACCAAAGAATTATTTGCCCACTATTTCCGACTGATCGAGCTGTACAGCCTAATTACACAGAAACACCTATTATAGCTCGAGGTTTGTTTCTACGGTTTCTTCAAACATCCACAATTTGTAAAAAAGTTACAGTTCTGTGTCAGCCATTGTTCTGTGCAAATATGTGAGGCATTTTATGTGATAAAAAGATAACATCTAAGAGCACGACTTCAAATAAATTCATATTTTCAATACAATAAATTTTAATTCATTTGCACGTATTATTTTAATTTAACACATATTATTTTATTTCTGTGCCGTTGAACTGACCCGGAAATGAGTAGTTTATTGCTCATCAATTTTTCGTTTATAGAAATGCCAGCGGTTGGATTCAAGATAAAAGTCAGCAATGATGGGAGAGTTAAGAGTAACTCAATTGATCTAGTGTCCTATGATGGACAATGTGTGAATTGTACAGGATTTGGGTCTATGAATTGCTCACAAAATGTAAGTTTGATTAGTCCTGAATATTAATTTATTGACATAGCATATTCTTGACCTTAAACTATTTAAGAAAGTCTGTACAATTAACACTTTGGTGTGCTTTTAAGGTGAATGCAGATTCATGTTTGATAGATGGAAAATGTTATGCTCATTTACAATCGTTGTCAAGCAATAGTTGTCAAATTTGCAATGCAACAGAAGACAGAACTAGATGGACAAGAGACTATAGAAAATGTCTAATTGGCACGGAATGTTTCGCTGGTGGGGGCTACCACAACAGCACATACTGTTTGAAATGCCAACCAACAATAAACAACAGCCATTTTCTTTTGGATAATGACTATTGCTTCATTGATGAGACATGTATTCCACAAATGATGGCCAATCCTAGCAATAAGTGTAATATTTGCAATAAAACTGAAAACAGTAATCGCTGGACACGAGATCATAGCAAATGTATGCTTGGAAGAGAATGCTTTGATGATGGAGGTCACCAAAATGGCACCCATTGTTTGAAATGCAAACCCAAAATAAACAATAGCAACTTAACAATTGAATCCGGATTCTGTTTCATCGAAGGAAAATGTTATGAAGATGGAATGAGCAAACTCGAAGATGAATGTGAAGTATGCAATGCAGCAGACAAAGTCACAGCATGGACAATAAGAACAGGTATGCTTAATAAAGAAACCCAGTGGTAACATATTTGCCTTCCTAAAATCACTGTTTAAATTACGCAGAGATAACATTTTTAAATCCATTTTATTGTGTTCTAATGTTAATCTAACATAATTCATTCTAATATTTTACAGGTTGTCAGAGATTACCAAAACGAGACTTGGTACCGCATGTGATTGTTATAACCATTTGTGTTGGAGTGCTCTTGTTTGTCGCTATCATTGTTGCCATCATGACAGCATTAAAGAAGCATAACAAGGTCGCCCCAATGCATACACCTAGTGACTCTAATGGCATTCCAATGTCAAACTCTAGACCAGGTAACAAATAAAATTATTTGCAATCGAGTGACGTTGAGCACGTTGTAGGCATACATCCCATCATATGGAAATAACCAGACAAATCTACGTACTTCCATGTTAGATAATGGTGTTCATATACTGATATATTTTCATATGGAATAAACTCAAACTGACCTACGAAAAAGTGGTGTTATATTGCTCACATATGTGTCTTGTTTAAAATAGGTGATGAATATGACATGAAAGAGAATCGTCGTACAAAGATTGAAATTGCAGATAGGACCATGTGAAGGAAATGTGCTCCTTAGAGACATTATGGTCATCTATACCTGACTTTGAAATCAATTCGTCTTGATTTTATATTACATTAAAACCAAAGCAAAATCTTAGAACTGAGATGAACAAAAACCGCAAAGCTCTATTTATTTAGTGATATTTTCATTTCAAATATGGCGGCCAATCCGGTGTCTGACAAACCTTACAACAAATCTAGGCAGTGTGCATTTTAACCTCCTGTGAAATAACAAGTGGAATTTATTAGTTGTTCTATGTTTTATTATCATTCTGCATCGTAATTCTATTTGCCGTGGTTTTAAATGTCAGCAAAAATACATATCCATACGATAATCGAGTGAATTAGATATACGATACATACGGAAACAAATTTCAACATGTATAAACATGCTTAAAAGTGCGAATGTGCACCTCATTGTCAAGCTAAATCAATGTTGTGTCTAAAACACGTACCTGATCTACTCAAAACAGCTTGTCATTCACGTATATACACGCTTAGCAAACAGCGAAATGATCTGAATCTTGGAATTTCGTGAGAGCTAGTAGAGACAATTCCACAGACGAAAAGTATATGCTCTGATATAATCCAATGCCGGGGAAAAGATTGAAATCTTTTGATTGATTATTAAAAAACGAGGATTTTCGGTACATAACCCCATATACCACGGGATAGCTCCATATGTCCCCTTTCAAATCCCCCCCACAAATTGTGCATAGATCACCCATTGAACCAATTAAACCATGTTCAACAGATTTCAAACTCAAGACCACCGTCACAAAATATCAAATATTTGAAGTGAACCGAATCATTTCGTCATACCTTTTGTAAAATTATATACACCAGATAAACAAAATAAAATATAAAATCTGTACATTTTCACTAGTGATCACAAGACAAAATCGTATGGAATAACTTCGGATAAGCTAGTTATTAAGCTTGTTATTATGGTCTTACTAGTGGTTATTATTGAGTAATGGTACAGGTATTCGATATGGTATTGCAGCTTACACTTAAGTAATGGTACACGTATCCTTGGATTTTAGGCCCGAATACCGAGGTTTATTTTTTTAATTATCGTGTATTATTATTTTGTGTTGATATTAGTTAACCATCTAACTATTGGCATGATATGATAACCTTGTTATATTAATATAGCGCATAGGCGTAGCCAGGGGGATGCGATGGGTGCGATCGCACCCCCATCCCCTCCATAACCAATGAAAATAGAACCATTAGATAGAAGAAAAAAGTCTTAAAATGCTTTTTATTTGAAGCTTCTAGCTCGATTTTGAACGAAGTTGCACCAATTTTTGTAAAATTCAAAACAAATCTTCAAAAACATTTTTTATGCCACGATCGCACCAAGCCCCCCCCCCCTCCCCCCGACTGAAAGCTGGCTACGCCACTGTAACGTGTAATCAATACCCTACATTTTGTATGTTCAATTTGTATACTAAAAACTGTTATTAATCCACAAATTTAGATGACGACAAGATAAAAATTCGAATCAAGAATGAAAAGGTGTCTAAGTATATAAATCTTAAGGGTAATGCATATTTGAATTAAACAGAGGCGGGTTAATTTATATTGTGCTATGAATTACGCTTTTATTCAAAATTGCAGCTAAGATGCCTGTTTTATGAAAAATATCACGGAAGATGTATTCTAGATATCAGTAGTATTCTCAGAAATTTATTATCCGAAACGGATAACATCTAGCCACTCAGACAAACAATCGCAGACATAGGCTAAGCTTGTTTATTTACCAGTTAGATTTGTTGACTTACCGATCCGTATTTCAATCTCCGGGATGACGTTCTTTTCAATTTGTATTTGCGTGCAGTGTAATATAAGTTGATACTTTTGTTCAAAAATGTACTTTTAATGGCTTTTTTATGCCTTTTATTTTCAAATTATGTTTTGTTTTGATGTCAGTGTGAAAAGTCAAGAAACGTCAACCCCGACTTTTAATTAAAAAATGTTGGTTAATCACTTATGGCAAATCACAAGGTTGATGATGTCAACGGACCATGATCGTGGAAGGCTATCAATATCAGGTGTATATCGCATAGAAAAAAAATATAGCTAATTTTTCGCACTGATATGATGATGACTATTGGGCGTACATACTCGTTCTGTCATGTTACTTACATTTCATTTGCAAGTTGTCCACATATTAATCCGGCGTTTTGTTTAATCAAATTTCCCGCCCCTTGAGGTTTCCGACCAATGCATCAGTTAATATTTTCAGAATACAAATTTTCCATTTTCATTTCTCTGATAGATAAAGTCTCATTTTGAATCTGTTCGTGTATTAAAGAGTATGCTTTTATAATGCCGTGGTCACATTTGCTCAGATTTTCAGCACCGGCGCCCGGCCGATGAGTATTTTGTTCAAAATTGTATTCAATTCTGAACAAAATACTCAATCGGCCGGGCGCCGTAATGAAAATCGGAGCAAATGTTACCAAGTCATAACTGATGAAAAATCAAATGAGAACATGAACATGGATAATAGGGGCACTATCACGCTGCGTGCAGAGTCTAGTTATAAACTACGAGAAGACGAAACTCTCATTTAAGAAGTGAAGTTGAACAAATGCAAAGGGTAGGGTACTATAGAAGGGGATCATATAAAAGCACGATCTATTTCACAACGCCTTTAACTTTTGTTCTTCAACTGTTGCCCTTTGTGCATTTCAAAAATAAAATATCTCAATCTGATTTGTTCCACCTTTCTTTTCGCTCAGTTCTGCAATATTATGTCCGTATGTTGTTTAGGATTATGTCATTTGCGAAATAGCTGTAAGACATTATGAGAATGAATATGGGAGTTTCCACGATAATGTTGTTCACATGATTTTATACACATACCTGCATAACAATCGGAGACAGAAGTCTTAATATTGTCCAATAAAAAAAATAAGAATCTAACATTTAATGATAACAAAAGGATTAATTGCTTAGTTCTCTTTGTTTTAGTCTTTGTTTTCTTAAATGCGGAAGTGTACCAACATAACCTAGATTACATAAGAGATCATCTAACAGTCTAAAATTGCTTTTAATTGCAAGTTAATGCATTCCGACCAAAATTTGTATACCTGTAATTTTGGGGGGGGGGCGATGTTACATCACATAACTACAACGTTCATATAGAAATATACAATAAGCATGTCCGTATAAAAGCTTAAATTATAAAAACTCATTTCAAAGTCATTCTGTTCATGGGAGCGTCAAGTTATGAAAAACAATGCTAAACACTCAAACAAATCGACTTGATTACCTTTGAAAACTTCTTGAGAGGAAATGGACAAATGTATTTTTCTAACTCATTAGAACGTCTGTCTGATTGAAACTCTATTTTTTAAATACAAACATAAATGATTTAATCTTGGTCAGAAGTCTGAACATTGTCCAACAAAATAATAAGAATCTAACATTTAATGATTACAAAAGGATTGATTACTATATAGTCTTTGTCTTAGTCTTTGTTTTTCTAACGGCGGAAGTGTACCAACATCACCTTGATTACAGAAGAGATCATCTCACAGTCTAAAATTGCTTTTAATTCCCGGGTTTTAATCCGGGGTTTTAATTACATTTTATGTATAGACTTTTTTGCCTCTATTCTCATTTTTAAACCTGTTTCTGTTTGCTTATTTAACAATTGTGATAAATTATTCAGTTAGTGTCGAAATCAAAACAATTTTCTACATTATAGTCCCCTCCTCTTGCACTGCCTAAATATTAAAATAAGCCAGTCTGATTGCGAATTTACAAATCCTGTAAAAGTAGCTTCAAACCGCCTTTTAATCAGAGAAAACAATAAGTTAATTCATCTGATTGCGAAAATACGAATCAATCTGATTATCTGATCTCCATGCTATTTGATTCGTGCATTATCTACAAGTCAGTCGGGCAAGGGTGAAATTATTTCATTTGAAAACAGAAATAAATATCAGAACCCCTCTAGCATAACTATTCGGAAGAAATTCATACAAAAAATAAGGTACACAACTGATGAAGGGTCCCACACAATGCACACACCCCTCTCCTCCTCCTCCGTGTTGGCCCACACACGACCATATTTGACAATTTTTCTAAAAGCGTTTTCCCCGGGAATATCGTGTAGCGGTTGCCAGAAGTCGCACAGCTTGGGAGTCAGGGTATCCTGATCCATGCCTCAACGCCTGGCGGGTCTGATATTTAGAGGGGGCGCAAGAATTATTAGGGGAAGGGGTAAATGTGAAAGTTGCCAAAATATCCATAGGTGTAGCCAGGAGGGGGGGGGGGGGGGGGGGGGGGGGGGTGCGATGGGTGCGATAACAATAGGCTTTATATATGCTTTAATGTTTTATTTATCATGATGCTTCTATGTAGCCTATTAATTACAGTTCTTTTTGCAATATAAAACTGGTATGTTTATGCAAATTCCGATTGGACTAATATAAAGGGATATTGTTTCATTATGTGGACTTGAGAAAGTCCGACATACTCATTGCTTTCAACCCAAAACTTAAAATAGGAAGTTATCAAGATCCCAAGAACACGATCGCTACTTACACAATACGTTTGTAGAATCCCGGCGATCGAAATGCAATCAAACTTTCGCAATCAGGTGCCTAATTAGTCTTTTGATCTCTAAAGTTTTACGACTGAACGTTTCAATGAACTCGTGAGAAGCAAACGCAATCATCAGATAAACATTTTTCTAGTAAATCTAAAATAGAGTAAAACCCAGGGAAAAAGATCGCGTGTTCATAGAAATTAGGCATATTTCAATTTTGAAATAACAAAAGTCAGTCTCGGAAGAATTTTCCAAGCATTCCCTGCTTCGATGCGTTTTTATTGCAAGGGCCGTTTAGCGCCGATATGAATTCATTATAGGGCATTAGGGTTGTGCTTTATTTGTTTTATTTATATAAATGTTATAAAATGTGTACGACACTTTAATGAATTATTTTTAGGGTTACAATGCATATTTGACTTTTCCCTCTAAACGTTTAAATTCATCTTTATACTTTTCTTAGTTTGCTTCATAAAATTAACATTGGATCCTAGACAGTTATCAAATTCTCAGACATTTGATTAATATAGATATTTGTATTTCCTTTGACCAGTGGTGCTGGTGTGACTGAGATTCGAATCTAATCTGTTTCATTTTTATGTAAATTGAGAGGAATAAAGTTTTATTTTAAGCGTTTTAACAAACTTAACGTTTGGCGTGCAGCTCAACTTAATACACAATCAAAGGACAGAATACAGAAATAAGAACATGCCTTTTATTTGTTATTCAAGCTTGTGGAAGGATAAAGACAAAGGGGTCGCGGCTATCGTGATGACGCCATCTTATTTCTAGGAATTATTTCTGCCTCTCATTGCTTAAACCGGCTTCGTTAAACAGTGGCAAAATATATAAGTCGGAGCCAAAAACAAGACTATTTTTATATTTAAAACCCCTCACCTTGTCAATGTCTATGCCTGCATCTGGTTTTCCCACATTTGGGAGGGAGCCAATATACACATAGATTACTTACTGGCCATGGACAGGGGGGGGGGGGGCACAGAAACGAACATTCTGGGGTCATAAGGGATACTTGGGGAAGGGGGAGGGGTGGTGGTGAATAGTGAAGTCCGGGAGTGAAGTTAAGGGGTACTGAAATCTTTCTTTTGATATTTAGTGCTTGAATGGAGACTTGTTTCCACCTCCCGCATTCTAGTAGAATTTAAATATTTGATCCAAAGGAGTTATTTTAAATCAAACTTGCATTCCGATTAATTAACACTCCAATGATTGTACCGCTTCACTATTGTCTAAGATAATTATAATGAATTCACGGGACACTATAGTCTTCCTTTTAAACTTTAGTGGTTGGATGGAGACTTGTTTCCCCACCCCGTACACAAGTAAATTTGTAAATTTTAAATATTTGATTTAGGAAGGTATTTGCAATCAAACTCTGATGATGCAAGACTAGTCAGCCAAGACTAAATAAAATTATGAACTTATTATCATTTAGACTATTGAGTTCATTAAATTATAATTCCATAAATATCATATTTAATCCTGTCAACACAATAATGGTATTAATTGGCATGATATGTAGTCAGAGACGGTTTAAAAAGTTGTTTAGATTAATGATAGTATTAGGAAAAATCCTAACTCAAAGTTTTTGTTCTTTCGCAATCCAGAGCAAACCACTCGCCGGGCAAGCATTCTTTAAAAACGTGAAGTTTTCACCATGTTGAGCAGTTTTGAAAATTGTCCAATTTGAACCATCGCCTTGTATATTTCTGTAACTGCCCCCCCCCCTTGACACTCGAGTGTAAGAATCCTTTCCACACTGGAGAACAATCACTGACTGCGATTTGTATGATTGAACATTATACACTTATCATTAATTCGTAAAGAATAGTTTTAAAATAAACAGCTTGTTTTATGTTATGATTGGAGTGATGTATGCATAGACAGAAGAATGACACTGGTTTTGAAATATCTTAATTATCCCATTGAATGAATGAATGAAGCCATCCGTCCCTCTGTCCATTCTTAACTCATACTTGTGGACTGATTTGATTTAAAGGAGAAGTCTCGGTGTAGGACGTGTACACACTAATGAGAACGAATTTTACTCATTTCTATTTAGGATTCGTTCATATACTAGCGGGGCTTTAGAGCATTTACAAACGCACGAAATGTATTGTTTTAAGGCAACTTTTATGACATATAATGTATTTAAAGCTGATTAATTTTAGATTATATTCGGTTCAATTTTACAAATAATGAATAGTATTACAGTATATCGAAAAATATACAATAATTTACATTAACTTGCGCAGACTGCAAACAATGTACATGGTTGGCGCGTTCTTGATAATAAGAATTAAAGGTTGAACTTAAAAATCAAACATTTTCTTTTTTAAACATAATAAATCTTTAAATCAAGAAAATAAAAATAAGATTGATGATTGAACTTTTCATAGTCAACTGCGACTGTGTCGACGCATGTTTATTTACTTAGCTAATTAGATATGTAAAATTGTTAATGGCCGCAACGGATAATACGTAAGCTGCTGTTCGGATAAGACATTTCTATATGATTAATAACAAATCCCGGACAGAATGTTATTCAACAGTACTTGATCTTATCAGTTATTATTCAATTTGGATAATAAATCTATTATCTAGTCGTATTGATGTTTATTATATAGTGTTTCTCGTTGTGGATTGCACTGATAAATCTTAATTTCAATCAACCATTATCCCGATTTTAAATTTAGATTTTTGTTACCTTTTCACTAGCGCCCTCTGTATGTTCATTAGACTTCGCGCATGCTCAGGAGAAAAATCAACCAATCGCGTTTATGAATCAATTTTTCGCATGCGTCTTACAAGGGTAAAGCAATTCGTATTAAAAAACGAACCAATTTGAGATAACCCGATATCAAAATATCTATTTTTCTAGGAAAAAACCTGGAAACTCACTTCAAAAAATAAAAAGCGGACTGACGGCGTATTTTCTATGCTGGGATCTAAGATTTTTAGTATAGATGAAGTCTTCTTGGATCTTTCGAATGAGGTAAGTCTCTAGTTCGAATTAAAGACAATCGTATCAACTTGATCAAAAGTTGAGTTTTGACGAATAATTTTAATATGCGCAGAAGTCCCATTTTCGTAGTACCATATTGAGTGATCACTTTCACAGTTGTCATCTTTTTGCAATGATAACATGTCATTAATTCTTAAAACGCGTTTATTTGGCTTATCCGAAGCAAAATTTCAAGTCAAGTGGCGTATTAATTTTGGCTTCATTTTTGTGAATTTCAATTTCTGTCAGTAGAGAGAGGGGCAGTGTCGTGATCGATGTTTGGCTCCTAATGAGTCTAGTGTCAAAATAATGTAGCTTAGACATTGCTTTTGAACCTCAGATAGGCCAGTGGGGCCACATAAACCCATACCTCGAGATAAAAAGGCAGGCGTTTAGCCTTTTGCCCGTTGACTAGTATGGTGACGTGAATTAGGGTCGTTTTGCTTTTATTTCAATAGAGAAAATTTCAAGATAATTAGGGAAGTCATGGCTTTTCAGTCGGTATGCATTAACATGTTGTCCTTATAACATTCACTCTTAAAGGGTGACGCATATCGTTTAGCAAATCGAACGCTCGTTTCTGGTGTTGCTCACCGTTTAGTATAAAAGGCCCGATCCCGGAATAATACTCAAGGGTTCACAGGTTCGAGGTCGTTGTGTCAACACCTCTAACTGTTATATAGCATAAGTATATTATAGATCGTCACACATTTATAAAAGGGTGATTTTTATTTTGACAAATCAATTCCACATTTATAGGTGAAGTTTCAGGATCTTCTATTTGTGTATAATAAGGAAAAATTGGCATCTAAATTTCCCCATAACTTAATAGCACACAGCTTGGCATATGAAATATCCTACAAATGAAACAAAGCAAAACAAACCGGTTTCTAATACAAGAATTTATATTGGCTGTTGTACATGTATTATTTGAACGCAATCACTCTTTGGATAACGTTTTCAAAATCATTATAAACGGATTACTTTATCTCAAAGACAATTTCAATAAACTGGATTTTACAGAACTCCCCTTATTTCTTAAAAATGGACTGATCCAGTTGATTCGCCTGGAGCCGCCATATTGTTTTTATACGGGATGCTAATCGGAACCCTTTAACATTTTTCGAAATCTTCTTTATAAAAAAGGTCTTCGTATATTTGGGTCGCTACTTCCCAGATCATTTTCTTTATGCTTTTCAGGTAAGGTCGTCCCTGGACAACTTATTATATTTTCTAATAATGTTAGTCAATGGGAATTGTCCTAACGGATATCTGGGATTTTAAAGCGATTCAAAGTTATGCAAATTATTCAAAATAAGTTTCGTGCAATTATAATTAAAGATCATTAATATGCATATTGCCGTTCATTGTTTCGTAACCCGATCAGAGGATTGACTGCAATTATTTAGCCATTGGCATGTTTTCGCTCATTTCAATGGGGAAATCCTCTCGTAGCTTATTCACAAAAATAAATTTTGCATCATCGGATATAGCTTTGTGAACATAGGTAAGTTCTTAATTGCATTACTGTTTTTCCTGGCTATACGGGATAAACCAAACAGGTCCCCAAGTGATCTAAATACTAATAATGTAACAATATAATTTTGTGGTGCTTTATCGACACAGCATATGCCATGTATCTTTGCCGATAAGGGTGTTCTTAAGGGTACATGAACAGTTCAGAAAATGACGCATATTATGGAAAGGTATGTCAAAATAACTCGGTATCCGCGCATGAATCTAACGCCTGGCGGCTACCCGATTTACCTACTATTTTATAGGCAACTCATTTAAATATGAATAGTACCTGTCACTATTCCATTCATCTTTAAATGAGTTGGTCATAAAATAGTAGGTTAATCGGGTAGCTGCTAGCCGTTAGTTGCATTCGCGAATAGAAGCTAAGATTAATAAAACAGGCTAGTCAGCATTCTTTCGAAGCACTCTTGGCGTCCATGGTTAAAATCCAGAATTTACACAATGTTCTCCTGATTTCTTATTGTACATAGTTTGCATCGTGAAATAGAAAAATAAAAAATAACAATCGTAATATTTTCAGTGTTAATGTCATGCCACACACAGATCGAATATATTATAGTCGATGTGTCATTTTCTGAACCTTTGAATTTGTGAAAACACGATGTTTTATTGTGGAATCACTATCATAAGGGTTTTATGAAGTGATTTAGCTGGGTTGGACAAATGGCAACCTTGGGGGAAAAATTATATATGCAATCTAAAAGCAATTTTTTGAAAGCCTTTGACTCAATTGACTATAATATTTTGTTTAATAATAAACTTACAAACTATGAAATCAACTGTGGAATAGTGGTAACATGGTTTAATAGCTAAGACAGTAAGATCACCAACAAAGTGTCTCATTGGCAACCATACTTCATTATTAACTCATGGTGTGATTCGGGGATTTATTTCATGTTATATTATTTTTCTATACATTAAACTCCTACATAAATCAAGTAATTTATTGATTTATTTGTCACTATTGGTGATCTAATTTCATCATAAAAACGTTGATATATCTAAATATGCATACCATAAAATATGTACACTATGTGATAAGTTATTTTTGTATATTGGGTCCCAGGGCTATCATTTTTCCTTTCTAAGATATGTAAGAAATTCAATAATTGGCAACCCAATTAAACTACTAAGAATTTAGGCCTAAAGGTAGCCACCAATTAGTTGTGTTTGTACTGCAAGTTTGCTTATTAAAATATTTTGAATAAATGCGAAATACCAATAATAAATATGCTTATTTGCATACATGGACAATATCTAATAAGTAATCATTGTATCTTTTAACATTACCGTATATCTGACTAACCCTGAAAACATTTTGGCTAATTTGCATATAATGTAGTACATTAAAATATAACAAATTATTCTTGTATCTTTTTCATTATCTTATTCATTGAGCCTGACAATGCACCTAGGGGCAGAACAATTGTGATGCTATCATTATTACTTTACTTAAGATTACTTAAGATATTTCAATAATGGCTGCCCTCATTTGCATATATAATTTCCCCCCTAAATTAGTTATTTTTGGCAACCAAATTAAATCAATAAAAACCTTAATTTGGTAAATTAGTCAGTAATATTCATTGAAATCAAGCTTATAAGCTTGATATCTGAATAAATGCGATATTTCAATCATAAGATATACTAAGTTGCAATTATATGCACTCTATCTAATAAGTTATTCTTGTATATTTTAACAATATCTTATCCAGTCACCCTCAAAACACGAGTTTAGACAAACTAATTATGCTGCTATCATTTCTACATTTTAAGATGTAGAAAACAATCAATATTTCAATGATGACCTCGCTAATTAGCCTATATTATTTTTTCCCCAAACTAACGTTTTGTCCAACCCAGCTAAATCTCTCAAGGAAACCCTTATCGTCATAAATCAACAAAAAACATCGTGTTTTAACCATTCATAGGTTCCCTATAGGATGCATAGGAGTGACAAGTGGACTATATAAGCACTTGTGCCAAAAGGAAAGGACCAAAAGTTGTAATGGAACTTAGCAAGAAAAGCAAACTCTAAGTGCATATCAGTCAAGAAAAACAAACCCCATATAGCCCAGAACCATGAAGATAGAGCACTCCAGAAATTAAATTAGTATAAGTATAGGTATAATGTATACGTTATATGACACAATTGGGGGCCTTGTACTTTGTGTCAACGTGTACATAATGTCATCTTTAGCTTCCCTTTGTACGTGTTTCAATAATCAATATAAAAATATCAAGTTTCCGAATGTCCAATCTTTAATTGACTCTGATTGTCCTTCAGTAATGTCATTTGCATTTCAGCTACTATCAGCTATGTCGGCGTTTACAATGACGTGTGTCGCATTATGCGTATTTTCATCACTGGTCCTCGGTGCTCAAAGTGACCGTAAGTCGAGAAAAAACAGTTATTGAATCTTGAGACAACCCGTCACATTAATTTTTTCTCTGAAATAAAAGGTAAATAAAACAAAAAATGATCTTGAGAACAAAAATGATATGAATAACACGTTGATGAATCCAATTCATTCCGATCCTTGCTATTGACTTCAATTTGTGAAGAATGATAAAAAAGATGTCGCTATAATCATTGGAACCACGTTTTACTGTCTGGTAATATGTCTTACTAGAATAAGGTGTGTTTTATCATCACTAGGTGCACACGGCGCTTTGGCTCATCGTGGTCATCGAGGACATGACCACCACGGACATCGTCACCACGGACACCACAGAGAACATGGTCATTTAGGACACCACAGACACGAGTCTCACGACCATGGCGTTCACAGACATCATGGATCTCATAGACACGGTCTTCACAGGCACGTCGCTCACAGACATGGTGTGCATGGACATGGTGCTCACGGGCATAATATTTACGGCGATGGTGCTCACGGACATAATATTCACGGCCATGGTGCTAACGGACATAGTGTTCACGAGCATGGTGCTCACGTAAACGGCGCTCGTGTTCATGGTGCTCACGGACACAGAATCCACGGTCATGCTGCTCACGGACATAATATTCACGGACATAGTGCTCACAGACATAATGTTTATGGGCATGGTGCTCAAGCACACGGCGCTCATGGACACGATGCTCATGGACATGGCGTTCACGGACATGGTGCTCACGTTAATGAACATCATCATGGACACCACGAGATCTCCCACATTGATTTCGGAGACGGTCACCCACATGTCAACCATGGCCCGAATGGGGCTGTCATCAAATCTCCAGAAGGACTTATACTTGGAGATAATGGTGGTTATGTCGATGCCCAAACTGGTACAGTTGTAGGACCTGATGGTTCCATCCAATACGCTCATCATTATAGGCCTCATCGACATGATCATGATGCCCATCTCGAACACGAACACCATACTCATCGACATGGCCATGGACATGATGCTCACGGTCATGGTGCCCATATTCAGGGCCATCATGGGCACCAAGCCAATGGGCACGGTCATCATGGTCACGGACACGATGTTGACCATCACGACATTCATGGGCATACCAATCATGCACAAGGCCATCACAGACACAGCACTCACGTCCACAGCGTCCATGGGCATGACATTCATGGTCATGGAGCCCAAGGACACGGCCTTCACGGACACGGCGCCAATGGACACGTCGCTCATGGGCACGACCTCCTTGGACATGGCGCTCAAGGACACGGCGTCCATGAACACGCTGCTCACAGACACGGAGCCCATGGACATGGCGCTCATGAACATGGCGGTCACGGACACGGCGTTCATGAATATGGCGCTCATGGACACGGCGCCGACGGCGTTCACGGACACAGCGCTCAGAGACACGGACACGGGGCGCATGGACACGGTGCTCACGAACACGGCCATCACGAACACGGCGCTCACGGACACGGCGCTCATGGACATGGTGCTCACGAACACGGCCATCACGAACACGGCGCTCACGGACACGGCGCTCATGGACATGGCGCTCACGGACACGGCCTCCAAGTGTACGGCGCTCACCGACACGGCTCTCATGGACACGATGCTCATGGACATGGAACTCATGGACACCGTTCACACGGACACGGGGCTCATGGACATGGTACTCATGGACACGGAGCTCACGGACACGGCCCTCACGGACATGCTACTCACGGACATGGGACTCACGGACACGGTGCCCATGGACATGGCGCTAACGGACACGGTGCCCATGGACATAACGCTCACGAACACGGCCATTTTGCTATTGCTAGTCATCATGGTCGATATTAACACAAGTTTGTGATCTTGAAAATCTATCGTACGACATTGAAAAAGTATCGTGCGAGAGATTTGTTGGTGCAATCTCATTAACAAACACATTTTTGTTAAATCAAAAAACAGAAAATATAATATTGCTACAGGGCAATTTTAGCTCGAAAGTAATATATTTTTTTTAATATTTACAAAATATCAGATTATTTATTGTATTGTGTATGCTACATAGTATGTTTAGAATGGTATATTGTATCAGAGATATTTATAATAGTGTACTATTTTCATATCCGTATAATAAGCAAGACAGTATGATTCACGATGTCAATAATAAACATGAGAAGAAATAAAGCTAGTTATGTCTTCCTACATCGTAATTGCTCAACGATCATTACGTTAGTTTATGAAATAAATTGTCTCATTAATCTATAATCCGATTTTGATGTTCAACTATATTAAAAACTGACTGGAGTATAATCTAATATCTGTCAGTCCCTGTGTTACGTCATATTTATTTACTCATGCTTTGAAAATATTTTTTAAATTAAAATGACGGTCACCCTAAAATAAGCATCTATAAAGTGTAATTAAACCAAGAGTCTAACTCCACATATACAGATTCTGTTTCAAGTTATTACAGTTTCCTTGGTATTTCAATTGTAAAGTTGGAGATCTATCGATCTGACAGTCAACAGGAAGTCACTAAAAACAAGAATCTTTAAGTAGAACATTGACATAGCTTAGATGACGAAATCTGCCAATACTGAAAAGTCTACAATTATGTGAGATTGATTACATATAGGGAGTAAACATTACCTACAAAATGTCTCACACCTTATGTATGTGAAAGCGATTTTTGGAAATTTCTCTAGAGAATTTTGGTTCTGATCTCGATGTCATGTTAATTGTTGGGTAACATATATAATACCATCCGAGTTTCTCAGTGTTTATTGTTCTTCTCAGCTGGTTTCCTAGCAGCGCAAATTCATTACATTTCCGTACGTGTAAAATTATGCTCAATACTGGCTAATTAGGGCAACACAAAAGGGCAAACAGTTTACCCGGGGCAGTAAATTCTGGTACCGACTGGTATTCATAATTTTTATTCCAAAGAAATAACGTTTTACTTGGAACGTATTTCTGCCACTACTATATTAAAGGATTGGTATCGATATGGAGAACTGAATTCAACAATGTTTTCTCTTTAACCAATTATTGAAAACACGGTCCTTTATGTAATGTTGACTGATTGACAAAAATTTAATTCGAAAATTATTTATTTATATTTTATATAGCTGTTTTTGTTAACATTTTTAGTTTTTTAGTGCAATTGTTTTTTGTTTCTTTTTACCATTTCTTGAGAATGAAATAAAATATCTTTCCGAAGCTTGTTTGAACAAAATAACACAACATTTTCTTAGACTTCCCAATATTATAGTTGTACAAAGGAAATTTTGGTTGATTTAACAAAAAGTATTAAAACAAAAAAAAAACAAAAATAGATAAAAACTAAAATAAACCTTTAATTTCATTAACAAGATATTTTTTTAAATCAACCAAACTTTCCTTTGTATAATTAATATATATAATATTGATAGATGTATATCTACAATATTGATAGATGTTTCAATTCATTCCGAACATATGATACCAAGAACAAAAGAAGTGTCCGATGTGTTTTCTAAAACAATATAGAGAAAAGTATATAAATATATCTATTTCAAATTATAATGTTACCGTTCAAAAGATGATCATTAAATTGACAATGTGTTAAATTTTCAGAATTTGTTGATGACTGGGTTAAAAGAAACGTGTGTTAAAACAGTTCGCCATATCGATACCCATCCTTTCGTTGGCAATACTCTCTGTAATCCTCGTGAAATATTTAATAAATAGCTACCTTCATATCGTTCGTCTAAAATTACATTATATCTGTATGAAGAATTATGATATAAATGTTTTTTAATTGCAAGGATTTTTTCATATGATTGATTGATCAATTTGCAAACAATATAGTAATATTGCAAACACTGTTAATATCTTTCGTAAGTAAAACACGAAAACAAAGGTGATTGATTCGTATCGGATGTTTATCTTTGTAAATAAAGTCATATATCAATCAATTTGTTTAACCATCAACAGCGCCCACATTTTATTCATTGGAACCTCTTTAATCAACCGCCATCCATACGGAAAACATTCACTTCACGTACATCATGCGCATTACACGTGATTTGTTGAGAATTCATTAGACAACATTTTCATTTCCTATTCACGAGTCAGAAGCAGAGGAGATTTCCCAATTTTGAGCGATATGCCGCTGTCACATTCGATGACCAATTTTATACTAGATATAGTAAAATGGATGAGGAGGGAAAACCCCATGATTCAATTGATGACATACGATTTCCTCCTTCGCGCACCTCCTTTCCAGGAAATACTTACCCTTTATCTTGGTTTTCAAAGTTTTCAAATTGACCTAGTTTTAAACCAATCAACGATCGACTCGCTAAACCAATCAGCGACGATGTCATCTCAATACAGATTTACATTATAAGCGTATGTCATCTTTGAACCCTGGGGTTTCTCCCCCTCTTGTAAAATAGAATCGTTTGTCGTTACAATTGATAAAGGAATGATCGCTGTTGTTTTCTGAATATTATTCTAAAGTTTTGATAGCGTAACTGAAATAGTACCGTACATAATAGGTAAATGCAGATTCAGATCTATGGGGGTGACACAATTACAAGCAACATGTACAATTGACCTACCAATCTGTTCCTTACAATCTAAAATACAATATCTCCAAAAAGATTCATGATACGAGGGTTGTCCCAGAAGTAATGCACTATATGCTCTAACTTTATCAATAATTGATATTTTCCCATGAATTTGAAATTTTGCTTTACGTACGCCCGATTCCAAGCAAGCATTAGCTCGTGATTGTGCGTTATCATATCCTGCAAATTGATTCGATAGCGCTAGTGTGCATATAGCTGATTAATTATTAATGAATGGGACATTTAATGGTCAGTAATTATTATGAGGGCTACTCACTTCTGGGCCCAAAAATAACATTACATTCATCTCTAGGTATTCCAACTTTTTTAGTTGAATAACGAACTAAGTCGCCAATAATGTCAAGGATTGAAGATCAGTGTCAAAGGTATATCAAAGGTGAATGTGACTTTCCAGGCTCACTCACGTTTACATAATATATGTTTATTATAAGCACTGGTCCTCACCTGGTTATAAAGACGTTACGTCTTTTAAAGACGTTACTTCTTTATAACAAAATGGATGAACTTCCGTAAAGTTTTGGTTCCTGAAGTGAGGGAATTCTCCCTCGATTATTGGAGCTGTTGGATATATTTGCTCTTGACAAGAAGAAGTGAGTCGCTCCCACAATTCTTTCATATTCTATCGTATTCGGAGGTTACCCATTACGTCATATCCCGCATCATCTCCAATCAAATTGCAGGATGCGATCACGTGAACAACCATGAGCACGTGCTCTCTCAGTGCTGCGCATGCGCAAAAATAAATTTGAAATCGTGGGAATGGCGTTAACATCAGTTCAACATCATCATTTCAAACCTACGGTAATACTATTGAAGCTACTCGATCCATACTTGTAGAGAATACTCATAAAACTACAGCGAACATTTGGAAATCCATTTCAATGGCAAATGAGGCCTGTTAATAAAATTTGTTTTCGAACGTGCAATTACGAAAGGTCATTTTTGGGAAATCTCCCACTCTGCTCTTGACTGACTGCTTTTCAATTACCGGATTTAGTTACCATTGATATACGGGTAATATATTAGGATTCAAATCAACATCTATGTATTTGAAAATGATGAAAATTAAAAAAAAATCTTACAAATTTTCTCCAACGGAAGTTCATCCATTTTGTTATTGAGCCGTAGGGTATTTAGGTTTTTTATTTTTTTTTTAATAATCATTTATTTCAAATATATACTATACATACAATAATACAATAATAACGTTTGACAAGGTTACTAGTAACATTACTGTCAAACTGAAAACTTTAATGTAGTTACATTCATAATTTTTACTTTAAAAATAAAGATTCATTATTTTGTTTAAAATGGTCAAGTTGTGTGCTTAATGTGTAGAGTTTGGTTACGGGTCCAGTAGGTCTTTGGTGGATTGCAAAAATGACACACTTGCTTTGATTATTAAAATATTAGTATTATGATCAAAATCAGGGTGACCAAATAAAAGCATGTCTATTTTATCAGAAGAATTACAATCTAAAAATGCACTTAAGCAATCCGCCATATGGAGATCTCTAAGGAGTTGACATCTTGGGTTCATGTATAGAGGGCACTGTAGAAAAAAGTGTTTTGGTGTTTCAGAGCGATGACCACAGGCACATTCTGGTGAAGGTACATTGTTAAAATTATGTGCAAAAAGCTGGCTTTTCAAATAAAGATCTACTCTGAGTCTATTAAATGAGACTTCATTTTTTCTTTTAACATTACTATAAGTTATGAAATTAGTACCATTGAAATTTTCAAAATGTGCCTTGATCCTACGTTTAAAAATTGAAATTCGCTCACAATTTCTTATATCATCAGGTAAAGTATTCCAAGTTTCAATTGCTGCATAGAAAGTAGATTTCTCAAACCTTTTACTTATATCTAAAGGAATATTGTATTCTCTGAAAGCTCTTAGAGTTCGAGTTGGAATATTTCTGCAACCATTGAAAACTTGACTTACATATGGTGCTATTAAATTATGTCTGCTTTTGAAAAGAAAAGTACATAAATGAGATTTTCTTCTATCTGGTAACTTTGTCCAATTTAAAATATCTAACACCTTCTCAGTGCTAGAGCCATGCAAAGCGCCAGTTATCAAACAAGCTGCATTATATTGAAGTCTGTTTAACTTCATCAAAGATAATTCAGGAGCACTAGAATATAAGATATCACCATAGTCAATTCGACTCAAAATGAAGGCATTATAAATGGTTTCTAAGTGTTTAGATCTTAAAACATGAGTCAACCTTTTAAAAGGGTTTAGCAGAGCTTGAGACTGTTTTATTAATTCGTTAATATGCTCTTTAAAGGTTAGTTTTTGATCTAAAATGATACCCAGGTGCTTATGGGTATTTTGTTTATCTATTGGGTTAGTTCCCAAAAATAAAATTGGTTCATTCTGAATAACAGTTGTTGGTGAAGTGAAAGTCAAGTCAACCGATTTTGAGGCTTTAAAGTTCATTTGCCATGTTTGGGCCCAGTTATATATTTTGTTAAGATCTTGTTGTAAATCAAGACAATTTTGTGGCTGATCTTTTGGATAGGGGCTAAAAATTGAAGTATCATCTGCATAGATAAACGTTTTGGATTTTAAATTAGTTGGTAGATCATTTATATAGATAAGAAACATCAAAGGCCCTAAGATGCTACCCTGGGGTACACCTGCATTTAGAAAGTTTGGTTCAGACAAATTTGAAAGTTTTTCATTTATCTTGACTTTAACCTGTCTACCAGAAAGATAGGACTTTAAAAGCAAGAGTAAGTCATCTTTTATACCATAAGCTGATATTTTATGAAGCAAAAGATGATGAGGGACAACATCAAATGCTGATGCAAGGTCCAAAAAGATTGTACGGACATTGTTACCATTATTTAACTCCTCGTGGATGCAATGAATAATATAGGCAAGTTGAGATGTGGTATTATGTAAAGGGAGAAAACCAGATTGGAGGTCATAGAAAAGATTATTCTGACTCATGTGATTAAAGATTCTATTGTAAAGCACTTTTTCTAAGATTTTGGACATTGAATTTAAAATTGTTATTGGTCGATAGTTTTCAATATTTGATTTATCTTTCTTCTTATGGAGAGGTATTATGATACCCTCTTTCCAAACCTTTGGGAATGAATGTGAATTTAATATCTTATTAAACAATAATGAAAGAGGACTGGCTAAACTGTTTGCAGAATAGAATAACATCCTATTTGTGATACCATCACTGCCACCCCCCTTTGATAAATCTAAATCTTTCAATAATTTTAAAACTTCTTCTTCACTAGTTTGTATACAACATAAATTATTGTTGCATAAAGTAGGAAACTCTGGTAACACTTCTGGATGGACAATATTAATATGATTTTTCTGGGTAAAAAATTTGAGAAAAAGTTCAGCCTTTTCAATAGAAGTACCAGCTGATAATTTAGGATTTTCTAAATGTAAAAAAGGCAGTGATGTGTCAAAGGATTTACCTAGCAATATGAAGAAGAAGTACCCAATAGTCAGATGAGTTTGAATTAAGAATAGATATATTATCACAAGTATTTTCAATATACGATTGTTTAGCTTCTTTAATTAATTTGACTACCTTATCACTCTGTGTCTTTAGGTGGGGACCAGTGATAAGGAGAAGTCACCCTTCAGCTGATTCATCATCGTTAGATTTAAACGCTAATTATCCTGACCAAGAACAAATTCATCAAATATTCATTATTGGCTTCTGTACTTCCAAAAATGCTTCAATTTGTATCGGGAAAATAAATTACAATAATGTTAGCATGATACCTACTTTTTTCTTTTTGATGGACAGTTTCATATGTCCTTCTGGTATCAATATATGGAACATAACTAAAATCATTTTTACATTGTGTAGTTTAATATTACCATAAAAACTGAAGTTTGCATATTGTTAAAATCCGTACATTTCAAGAGTTAACAGAAAAATAAATTCTATGGACGTTTTTTGCCCGACCTGTACATAGTGTGTAAACTATCCACTTTTGCGCTCTTCTGGCTCTGCAAGTTTCTCAGGGTATTTCTTATCCATTGTTATTTTGTATACTATTATGTACGGTATTTTGAAGTCATGAAAAGATGTGATAATTCCAATAGCTTTCAAGATAAATGTCTTGCTTGTTGTTGTTAATATGTGATGATGAAAATCAGGCACTTTCTGCTTCAGAAGTAAATGGTTATGTCAAAGTAATGTATTGTAAAAATGAGCCAGGCCACAGAAAAAGGGGTCTTACTTCAGATTGTTTCAATATACTGATTTTTTGTTTATCTTAAAAAGAAGCACAAGGGGACCTTTCAAATGAGCCATGGCTTATGTCTTAACAATTTTCCTTGCATAGACCAAAAATTCGAATTTGAATTCAGCACATTTTCCTCTTAATCTTGGACACATTTTTGGCTCTGTAGCACAATTTTAATGTTTGTGACCGGTTTTCCTATGGCCAGGCTCAAATATTGCCTTTAAGTTGACAATTAGGTCAACACTTTGGAAAAAGTACATCGAAGATGATTCGCATCAGCATATTTGGAGTTCAGTCAACTTTATTTGGAGTACCTTTAAAAATAAAGCATATAACTACAGGGATACACTTCTTTTCATTATCATAGATTGCCCAGGATCAATGTTCTGGGGTGTATCTTAGTATTTTCATAAAACGTACGAAACCGTAGTTATTCGAAGATTCTCGAACATATTTGTAGTTTTTTAAAAGCTTAAGATATATTATGTAATTCGTATAATAGTGTATTATAAGTGTATAGATATAGGTCCCTTACAGAAGGGTTCACACCTATAAAGAACACATACACTATTATTATTGTGGCCAAGGGGTTCACTCTGCACTTGGAGTTGGCAATGGGGTGGGAATATTAAAGGCCCCATGTAAAGTTTAAACCACTTTGGCTTATATTGTCGTCTTACCCAATGTTACCAAAGTGTGATATGTGAAACTTTTTTTTTTAATTTCAAAAAGTGGTTTTTGATAGACTTTTTGTTCCAAAATTTGTGAATTTATTTAAAACCAACTTTTAGAGGTCACTCATATCTTCTAATAAGCCACAATTCATACCAATGCATAGCATTCATCCTCCCATGTTTTTTGCCGAAAAAATTAAGAAAATCGGTTGATAAACAAGCGAGAAATGAACTTATCAGTGCATGAAAATGGTTCTGAGAAAAATGCATTTCAAAATTTTAGTTCTCATAGAAACCAATGGTACAATGATATCTAAAACATAATTTATTCTTCCTTTTAACCTGGTTAGACAATCAACATTGGTTTTTTTTGAAAGTCTAGCATATTTAGAAAAGATTGACATCGAAAAAAAAAATTCAATTTTTTTCAAAAAGTTTTTGTTACCTTAGTGACATCACTAATGTTTCAAAATATTTTTGATAAGCTAAAACATTGAAGTGGCCCATTAAACATGACATTTTATTATTGAAATAGTGTGTCTTTTGTTCAATCTTTGCATTGGTGTTAAAAAGATAATCTTTTTTGAAATGCATTAAGAAATATTTGATGATTAAGAAATTTTAACTTTTTTTGAAAAATGGCGGGAAATTTGAATATTAGAGAAATAAAATGCTCACAACTTTTTTTTCAAAATTTTTTTTTCGTTCAAAAATCTCTAAAATCACTTTTTAAGTCCTGACAAATAGTAAATGAATGATAAAAAAATATTTTCAAACTTTAGACGGGGACTTTAAATGTTAATTTGCAATCTCAAGAAAACTAGGAAGGGATCAAAGTGATATTTCGATAAATTCAGCGATTAATAGAAAGGCCATATATAACGTTTAACTTCGGTTGAAGAGAAGTGACATGCAAATTCTTTTTGATTTCAAAAAAGTAATTTTTGAAAGACTTTTCGATCGAAAAATCATGAATATATAGAAACTGAATTTTAGAGGTCGCGTATAACGTTTATAAGCTTTAATTCACACTAATTTGTAGCATTCATCCTGACGTCTTGTGTCGAGAAATAACTAAGAAGCTTATTTAGAAAGGTTGACATATATTTTTTTTCAAAAAATGAAGATTATGTTTTTATATGTTAAGACACACATTAAATATGACATACATTTAATGAAATAATAATATTATGTTCATTCTTCGCAATAGTTTAGATAATGTGTGGGTACTGTTATGTATAGTGTAATATTTGATGATGACAATTTTTTCAGAAAAAGGCGAAAAAGAATATTTGAGAAAATAGTAAATGAATGATAAAAACATATTTTCAAACTTTACATGGGACCTCTGAGATTTGGAGGTGTGAATTTAGATCGAGGGAATTATTCTCAGAGCAATGTTGCATTACGTAAAGGAGATTGCCCTTGGTTGCTTAACTGATATTACAGCTATATCAAGTCTTTGGTTTTATCATATGTTGTTTAATTTGAAACATTGAAGGCGTTTTCCGTCTCGGAAATTTGGATTCTCAACATATGTAAAACTCATGGGTATAATGTTTGCCTTTGAAAAGTAGGTCAGATCTAAATCATGATCAGCTTAGAATTTCATGAGAACTTTTAGAATTTGGTTGGAGTTGTACATGTAATAACAGGACAATTCTTTGCAGTATCTATAATAATACATTACAAGTATGAATTTTGATTGTACTATCGATCCCAGAAATTAAACTCTGAATCTTTACACGATGCTGAAATCAATTCGTCAATCTTTGCACTGAGTTGATTAAATGATTCCAAGAGAAATACGTGATTTTCGTCGCCACCGATTTCCATCCATTCATCCATACCCGTTATTTTCCCTTTCTTTTTAGTCGGAAGTCCGACGACAAATGTTTCTGTTCCCTTAGCACGTATATCCCGACCTGCTGCTTTTGTCCTTTCTTTATACATGCTATTGTCAGAGGTTCTACCATGATATGTATTTCCATCCGACGTCAAAATTAAGAAGTTTTTCTTATCAGGTCGGTCCCCACGAGCTTTAGTAAAGATATGATCTCGTATGAGTTCCATAGCCTCGTCTGTATGCGTTCGGCACCTTTTGTCCACGAGTTTCATCCTTTCAAAGTTGTAATTTGTCGCTTGCGTCGATCTTGATTCATCGAAGAACTGAATCGGGAAAACTTCGGACCCAAATGTTAATCCTGCTACTTTTACAAAGCCAGTTCCTGCAAATTTGAACACAAAAAAGGTGACGTAAGATATCAGGCAGCGACTGAATAATAATCTAAAATGATAAATCAAGCACATACTAGGTACATATCTAAATATGATAGAGGGATTGGAAGTTGGACTTTTGCACATCATTTGATTTTGTAATATTCATACTAGAAAGTTAGCAATTCTAGTGACATACTTATAAACTTATAAAGGTGCACTTGCTTTTTTAAAATACCTATCTTCAGCCTTTTGATTAGATCTGTCACAAACTTCTTAACAAGGATTTTGTCTTCTATTGCAATACTGCACGATATATCAACAGCAATTGCCAGATCAATGCCACAGAATGCAACCTTTGGTATAAATGGAATCTTGTCCAAAGTGTTAGTGGAAGAAGAAGTATTAGAAGAATTAGTCCCTGCAGCTGGAAATCACATTTCGATTATTCATGAGATAGATCTCTATAAAACATGCAAAGGGGTTTCCTTATGGATTTTGGCAAAAATGCAACAACTATTTCCATTTTCACTTAAAATGTTCGTGCGAAAGACAAACTCCGAACTGTTTTCTATATGCTCGAATAGATAAAGATGTTACTGAGCTTGTATTTGCGAATGCAATTACCGGCTGCCGGCTACCAGATAAATATTTAATTTGCGTAAATGAACCCGTCATTTTGAAGTTGAAATTACGGACAACCCGTGTTAACCGAAGAACATAGAGATAATCAGTGATCACAGGTATATAATTAGCGAACAGATCGTAAGTCATTGTTACTAGCTGCTTAAAATAGGCAGATAACTCTTTATTTAGGTAAGCGTTCGGGTTTGACGCGATAGCTTGAAGCACCCGGAATGCACGACAGGTACTATTCATATTAGTTAGCTTGTTATGAAATTGCAATCAACTTGGTAGACGATAGATACATTCGCGAATACAGCTTTAGATAGGAAATCAGGGTGTGGTGTAATTGCAATTTTGTCGGTTATATCATGAGGATTTTTACCCATAAAATCGTTAATTTAAAAGTTAATTGAAATACTTTTTTCCGAAAACTTCTCAAAACAATGCGTTACAATTACAATTACAGGAAATGGCGTGTGTTGGTGAAAGACACTATGCAGAACGTGTTCAAAGTGGATACAGAGTATAGCTGAGCAAACGAGGGGTTCGGTTTTTCATGAAAAAACATGAATTGATTCGACCCAAGGCTCTAATATAATACATACCATGTTAAGGTGTGTCTTCCTTTGAAAAATACATATATCTTTGATGAGAATTTGAGTGAACGTGAAAAGGAACGGTTTTATAAATGTTATACTTAATACGATATTTCTTTTTCACAGTTGAAAGAATTCATCACTCCTTCAAAGGAAATATTTTAAGTATTTTTTTTTGATTTGACTTCATATTTTTATGTTGCATTCAACATTTTAAAGCTTTGGACCAATAGCCTCATTCTGTAAACCCTTGTTTACTCAACCTATAGTAAAAAGATGCTAATGTATTGTTTATCAGATGCTTACCAAGCATGTTCTTACCCGATACTATATCATTCAAAACGGTCCTCTTACATGCGCTCGTTCTAATAATACATGGAAAGGTATTTTGAGCTATTCCCCGTCGCCCAATTTTCATGAATTTTCTATGGACTCCAAATCCTTTAGGACATGACTTTAAACGGTATATACCACGCTCACATGCAAAATAGTTACAAATGTCCCCCTCTCCTGGGTTAATTTCTGGTGCCGCTAAGTATCGCGTTGGTCCCAAGCCACATCCTATAAAATTGTGTAATTTATTTGAACAAATTTTTTATGTCATGAAATAAAAAAGACATGAAGTAGGTAGAATATCATGGATGTATAGCTAGGCACAAATCTCGAGATAATGTTACAGTTTTTATCAGTATAGTACGACAGCTAGTTTTATAAAAAAAACATGTTCGCACAAGTACCAGAGGGAAAGGATTAACAATTGCTACTGTACCAAGCAAGGCAAAGGAAATATATAAGTGTGTACAAGGTAAATCGCACAGAGGAAAAACATCCTTTGTGACAAATAATTTCAACAAACGTTAATGAAAAAATATAATGACATGATATATCATATAAATTATTTCAGGTAATAATTTATTAATGTTTGTATTGAACATATTTGAAATATGTCTAGCAAATATTTATTGATCTAATTCGACAATTAATCTATCACTTATACATTTTTTGTCACAAATTTAAAGTGTCATAAGCTTTGATTTATTCTAGGTAAATTTTACTTACTTGATGTAGATGTCCTACCAGGGGCTGAATATTTCCTTGCACCTTCGATGGTAAGGGAACTCGTCAATATGATCCAACATATGATGTGATTTAAACACAAATAGTTATCCATAGTTCGATGTTCTCGTATAAGTTAAAGCACACTTAAAGTTATTAATTATACTATCAATATGTAACCATGTTTTCGTTATTGATATATTTATGTAATGATAAATATACACAGGTCTAGTTAAGTACTACATGAAAGAAAACAGCGGTTTTTAAGTACTGATATATTGTATTTTATGTATATAAGTATATACATAGCAAAACAATCGTTTATTGTACATGAAATCAAATTATGAATACAAAATAAATACATTAACAAAGAAAATGGATTCATAAATCAAAACATCTTTACATTATACTAAGCATCTACATTTATAATGATCTGTTTGATTCACATTCACTGGGGATCGACTGACTCAGGACAAATTACTCTAATCCCTCAAACAATAAAATCGATGCGTAGCGATACTTTTACTTCAATTTCAGTTTGTCGTTATTGTAGATGACATGATATGATGTCACAATATTGTTCACATCAACTTTATCTGAATGGAGAAAGCTCTACATCACAAAATTATATCCATTAGAAATAAAAATATACTTGTGAGGGGTTAATTGCGACTTCCTTCCTTTGAATCCTGCTCAAAACATGTGTTTTTAGTATTCTCGTCGGCAGATAGCAGGATGAGACAAGCTAACGAAAGACCCCCGGCTCTATGCTTTAAAATTCCACTATTTCCAATATACACCAAATACATACGAGCCAAATAGAAAGTTACTCTTCACGTTTCTAACTAAGTTTACCTAGTAGATACATACTAGCAAAATACAAAGGCACTCTACACGTGTCTGACTATGTTTAGATAACCCAGACTCTCGTCGTATGGCTGAAATCATTCTTCCCTCAATTTTGATAATGGAAGAGGGAGATCATCCTTCAAAGAGATATTAGCTGATCACAACAACTAGCAATAACTAGCAAGTGCGTATATTCTATTTGCGATAACTCATTTCCCTATTTTTAATAGTCTTTTATGAATTTTATTTGATAACTGTACATTTATGGCAGATATTAATAAATAAAAAAACAAATATCTATTGGCCAGCTTATTTAATCGTATATGTTATTTATCATTCTCTTTGACTTCACGTTCATAATTTTATATTGATATAGTAAAATCACTTTGGCCACTATATGGCATATCAATGAAATAGTAACGTTCTGCATTGTTGATTATTGCTACAAATTGCACTTTCTCAAAATTCATTTCGTTCGTTGAGTAACTTCACCAGAATTTGAATTCTGAATCTTTGCATGATGCTGAAATCAATTGGTCGATCTTAGCCCTGAGTTGATTAAAGTTGTCCAAGAGATACACGTGTTCGTCATCGCCTCCGATTTCCAACCATTCATCAACACCCTCAAGTCTTTTTTGTCCTTTCTTTTTAGTAGTTGCAGTTGGAAGACCTATGACAAATGATTCTACACCCCTAGCGCGTATATCTCTACCTGCTGCTTTTGTTCTTTCTTTGAAAATACGATTTTTAGGAGTTGGACCGTGGTATGTATTCCCATCTGACATCAAAATTAAAACATTTTTCATGTCAGGCCTGTCCCCACGTCTTGGATTGAAGATGTGATCACGTATAAGCTCCATTGCTTTGTCAGTATGTGTTTGGCATTTTTTGTCCTCGAGTTTCATTCTTTCGAAGTTATAATACGTCCGTTGAGCCGTTCTAGATTCATCAAGGAACTGGATTGAGTTTACTTTAGATCCAAATGTCAAGCCTGCCACTTTCACGAATCCGGTACCTATAAAAAAGATTTGACAACAATAGAAATCTAAAGTAAATCCACTATCGTATATTCTATATATGTTTCATTTCATAACGAAATACGTGGCTTGTACAGATCTAAAAGTAGAGAGGAAAGCAAGACGTATGGCATGGCAATAAATATATATGAAGCTCAAGTCTCACCAGAAATAACAGTGGGTTTGAAGAATGTATGTACACTCCCAATAATGATGCTATATGACACTCGCTTTTGTCATGATTAAAATGTGATACCTAGTTTCATCCTTTTAATCAGGTCGATTACAAACTGCTTGACAAGGACTTTGTTGGTGATCGAGATGCTGCAAGACACATCGACAGCTATAGCCAAATCTATACCACAGAAATTCACCTTCGGTACAAACCCAATTGAGTTCGATATACCGACCCCGGCAGCTAAAATAGTTTAATATGTAATGGTTAAACACTAAAATACTTGAAACAATGAAGACATTGTTTAGATTGTGTTAAATCAACTAAGATTCTAATCAAATGTCAATCAGATAATTTTAACGAAAATTCTTACCCGAAACTGTGTTATTCAAAGTGCTCTTTGCACAAACATGTGTACTTCGAATACATGGAAAAAACTTCTGAGCTATTCCCTGTCGCCCAAATTTCATGAATCGCCTAGTGACTCCAAATCGTTCGGGACATGACTTTAAGTGGTAGGAACCACGCTCACATGCATAGTAGTTACAGGTATCGCCAACACCCGGATGTATATCTGGTGCCGCTAAGTATCGTGTTGGCCCAAGACCACATCCTACAAAGTTATATATGTGAAAATATGAAGAAGGTTTCTGGTGAAATGAGGACATTTGTTTTCAAAACATAATAACTACGGAAAAGAATTCTTCCGTTGTTTGGTATATTATCTTCTAGATGCTTAAAAAATTGTCACCATCGAAAAATGTGATGATAACCGAGAATAATATCAAAAGAAAATCTTATTTCTAAATGTCGAAGGAAAATTCTTATTGGAAAAATATATTGAACCTCATATATTTATTATAGGTCTAGTAATTGATTATATTTGAAAGTCCATCCATCACTAGTTACAGATATCAGATGTATAGGATCCTTTATACTAACTTGATTCAGAATTCCTACCAGCGGCTGAATATCGCCTTCCACATTCGACTAGAAGTGGAATTATCCATAGCATCCAATATACAACGCGACTTAAGTACAAATAAGTAACCATTTTCGCCGTCCGTTTTTATGTTAAGGTGGCTCATATAATCTTTTGCTAATTAGGGTTTCAACATGGCTGGCCATGTTAATGACCGTATTAATGTATTTACTGATAAAAAAGACAAGTTTACAAGGAAAACGATGTTCATTGAAAGTGCAGGTACAATGACAAGTATTTATAAACAGATTAGCAAGAATGTTTATTGAACTAAAATCAAATTATAAAAGCTATAAATATAGAAGTCCATCAATCATTCATAACCTATTATTTATTTTCATTTGTTTGGTTATCATTTACAGAGAATCAAGCGGTTTGCTCAGGAAAATAGAATTCATTAGTTATAAATAAGAATTCATAAATAGCCCCTATATTGACCTTGTGACTGATTGCAAAGTAAAAAGCTGCCATTTCCCCCCAACATAAAAATTATGTGAATGTTACGAAATATAGTTTCGTAAAGATGGGCCAATTGTACAAAAAACCGAATCTTGTGAGTGAATTATTTTACTGTATCGATCTACGTGGTCGATCAGTTAATGATACTACTATTGTATGTCAGTGACTGTATAATATACAGCGAGCTATCTTTTGTAGCACGATTAAAATATTTGAATAGATGTCGTTTTAGTGAGAGAAGCCTATTAGTTTTGCATACATGTATCACGCATTGTTTATTTTGCTAGAAATTAGTGTCCAGAGCAATGTCAACAAACCATCCCTTCATCATTCTCATCCCCATGCTTGTGGAGTTATACTGAACATCCCCAGGGGATGATTTCCTGATTGATGAAAACTGTTCTTTTAATTGTGTAAGTTTAGTAATTGTATCTCTGAGAAATGCCCTGAAAATCAGTCCCAGAAGTTCATCGTTGCATTCTCGCACGACCTCAGTATCAACTCATCTATTCTAGAGCTTAATTCGGCAAATGATTTCAATTGAAATACATGTGCACTATCACCACCAATTTCAATCCATTCTTCCATTCCTACAATTTTGTTCTTATTGGTCGGCATTCCAAGCACAAAACTCTCCACCCCGCGTTCACGTAGCTCCCTACCAATGCGTTTTGTCCTTTCAACATATACATCATTTTTAACATTTTTACCATGATACGTGGAACCATCTGACATAAAAATTAATATGTTTTTCTTTTTAGGTCTATCGCCGTGTGACTCTTTAAACACTATGTCGTTGAAAAACGCCAAAGCATCATCGGTATGAGTACGACATCGATCTGCTTTCAAATCCATGTTTTTAAATCTGTAGTTGGTAGCTTGATTTGAGTTGGATTGGTCCAGTAGCTGGATAACTTTAGGTTTTTCGGCAAAAGTCAGCCCGGCCACTTTGACGTATCCAAAACCTATGTTGAAAATACCATATGAAACACACTACAACAAGAGGGTAAATTCTCATAATTTGTAATTGCTAATTTACTAATATTTATTTTGAATCAAACTTAAGATCATGTTTGTAGCGATAATAAACTCATACCTATTTTCAATTTACTTAATAGGGCAACGATGAAACTTTTGACCAATTGTTTGTTCTCTTCCGAAATGCTACACGACGTATCGATGCCAATGCCGAGGTCAATACCACAGAACTTTAGACCAAGGGAGGGTTTTTTACCAACTGCTGTAAAAGAATAACCGCAATTGTAAAAAATCTGAAAGTTTCACAGAAAGAAATAAAACTCATGAATATGGTAAATTAAGCGATCTCAGGCTTACAATAGATACGTGTTCATTTTATGAGAAATCGACCATAAATAAAATGTTAATGGATCAGTTCATTTCAAAACTGTATTATTTGAGGCTTAATATACCGCCCCCTAACTTCTCAAAGTATTATACATTATACACAGTTAAACTGCTGCGAAAAACTGTGACTACGAAAAGGATACTAATGACATTTATTTTTATTAGATTACCAGATGTGCTCACATTGTCTTTCGGTCTAAGAATAAATACCCATATGAGTTTCTTCACAGCTTTTTAAGTCAACTTGACACTATAAAACTACCTCACATCCCGGGCTCACATCTTCATAGCTAAACATCTTTCTGATTTGTTATATGCATATGTGTGACCCCTGCTGGTAAAACCGCTACCCCAAGACAGCGTAGAAGAGGCTGGGGGTGAAGCAGATGATATGGGTGTTTGGGGGGGGGGCGCTGGAGATTTTGGTTATCTATGAACGAAAATAATGATTTATTGGAGGCGTATTGAGTCACTTACGTACAACAGCATCATTAAGTACATTACGACATGCTGGGCCTTTCCGGATACATGGAAACATTCTCTGGGCGATTTTGTTCCTCCCCTTTTTGAGAAATTTAGTATCTACCCGAGTTCCAGCTGGGCAGTTTTGCTCCTGATAGCCGTAGTTTTTACAGGATAGATAAGAACATGCTCTTCTAGGTCCAGCGGCTAAGTATCTTCTCGAACCCATGTCACATCCTACAATCAATCATCAACCTATTATTTATAAATTAAAATGTTTCCTATGCCCAAAACATTTCAAAATTGCAATATCCGAGAATGAATGAATCCATCAAATTATGTAAAGTTTAAACCACTTTGGTTAATATCGAACTTTACCAAATGTCATCAATATAAGAAACGTGAAACATATTGATATGAGAAAAATCTTAATTTTAGATAAATTGATTGACAAATAAAATAAAAGTTTACATGTCTACACGTGTTCTTACCTCCACGTAAAATAAAAATCAAGATAAATTTGTTAATGAAAAGTAGAACGGAAATGACTTACTGGAAGTTGGCTGTTGCCCGCGTGCAGAATATCGACTCCCCTTCGATTGGGTTAAAAGAACATGTGTTGTTAGCAGAGACAGTTGAAGATAACATGCCACTAAATCCATGATTTTTCTTTAATTTGAAGATAACTGGAAAAAGTTCAACGCAGAATTACCGATATGATGTGACCTCGAAATGTGTATACAATGTTGTGTATTTTTGTATCATTTCATCGAAACCTTGACTTTCTTTTTTATCATAGTCATCATGTTAATTCTGGATCGTTGTTTATTTTCCAACTCATAACAAATATACTAAATCGTTTTATTGTGTCTAAGTGATTTGTCCCTTGTTGAATGCATTCTGAATTCATTTCGAGTGTAGTGGCATGGTAAACTAATGCATTTTTGAGTGCTTTTGCTAATTTCAAAATTACCTGTTGTCTACTTGACTAGCAGATCAAACCATACCAAAGCCAAGTTGTCATCGCCTTGGGATTTAAATTGACATTATTCCAATTGAAAGACATTCATCGCCCAAGGACACTTGTAAGATATATGTCATATCTGCCAATTATGAATTTCGAAAACAACTACATCGAATAAAAATACCCGAGTTCTTTCTCAAGTATAAATATTTTTTATTTGAAAATCAATCAAATGTCCAATGATGAGAACTGGCAATCTGAATAAATAAAATATATTTAAAATCCGCCATTTTGCCAAACTCCGTGGCAGCGATGGTCTTCAACATATCACTGCAGATCGTTTCCCGTAAGCATGGCAACTTTGCATAAACAATTGGCGTGATTGGTTCTTATCTCGGGCTGTTGTTGCGTGATCAGCACGTGATTGTAAAATCGAGAGAATTTCATTGGTTGGATTGCGCGTATTAACTTATCAACACACATGTGGTGAACTACTATCTACTTTAACTTAAAATCCTTCCGCGGGTATTTCTTCTTATATTTCATTTTGATTTACGGAATATTTTGAGAAAATAATGATTGGAGAACATATAAGAATATACATCTTTCCCAGATTTTGGTGATTTTCTTCATCTGACCGCCGCAGTGTCTTTACCGAGACACTGCATGGGAGTTTGACATTATGCTTCATATAGTCCAAAAATATATTACATTCCTGCGTGTTAGTATGATATGGTAAGATACATACTTTTTGGAAAACTTTGAATCTGAAAAATAATCAATCGAACGACAATATTGCAACAGAATATGAAAAATGGAAACATATGTACAAGAGCCAACTTTTCCATATTTCAGATAGTTATGTATAATATGCAGCAAAACTGTGGCCTTTTGTAATTTAGGGAGTTTCAGCCATGTTTTTTACGAAAACAACATGGCAGAGAAGAATAGATTCAAAAAAACGTTATAGACATTCTTCATCGTGCTGATCATCTCTATATCTATTGCTGCGTATTTCTCTCGATTTTGAGACTGTTTGGCCAAGAGGGTTCCCCCGACACCTTCTCCTGGCTACGGGTGGTAAACTGGTAACGCAGGCGAGATTCGATTGATTTCAATATAGCACGTTGCTGGTCACAATTCCTTTTTCTAAAGTAATTATCATCAGTATTAGTCATTATTTGATCTCCACATAATTTTTTAGCCCACACTGTAGTAAGACATTCACCTCCTGATATTTAAATCATTTTTATAGAAAAGCATGAACTATTCGAGAAGGCAAATTATAAATATTATACTTTGTTATTTGTTATTCCGCCGAAGATAAATATTTGGACTAATGCAGAACGACGAAATCGATATCCGTTTGATAACATTGATCTTACGTGAATACAAATATTAAGTGATTGTCCTATTAGCTGTCAGTTCATTTAAAACAATATGTAAAAGGCATTATTGTTCACCCAATTAAAATCGTATTCAGTGAGAATGTTTGCCATGTTGCTGATAATTATTAACATGTACCTGCTAAGAACGGGGTAACCTCCCATCGAAGTAACATCAACACAATATTGCCTCATTTGGATTCAGTGTGCGAAAAGACAAGAGAGTCTCAGTATTTTGTCGTCAAAACTAGTCTGGAATACCGGTGTTCGAAAACTAGATCGAGATAATAGAGATGAGCATCAAAATTATCTGTAATTTTCTTGGGAAAGCAGATTCCAAATCGCACTGTTTTTAAGATATTTTAAGTAAAAATGTCAATTTTTCAAACTCTGCGTTGGAGTGCGGGGGGGGGGGCAATCCGACAAGAGTACTTCTTGCAACATCTTTTGTGTCTCCGTAATAATTGTTAGCTTGAGCCACGATATAACACACTTTTTGGCGTAAAAACCAAGGTGATTTTGGGTAGAGGGGAAAAGTTATGATAGTTGGAACTTGATGCCAATAATTAATAATAATAAATTATCTAATATTGATTATTGCTTTCTTTCTAATCCTCTAGAAAATACGAAATGATGATTATTGCTCTGTTTGATGATTAAAATGATAATTTAGTATATTGAATTCTATTTTCAGTATGTTTTACTTCACGAAAATCGAGCCACTATTGACTGTGTTATGATTTTTAAAGGTAAAAAACAATCAATCGACAAGTAGTCGCGAAACAAGTTCTCTTCACGAATTTGAGAGAAAAACTGATTTTTTCAAAAACTAATTTATGAATACCTTGCATTGATGAACATTTTTCGCATATTCCTAAATGTTTATGCACACTGTGGTACCAGAATTATGAAGCGAAGCATTATTTGGCATTATCTGGCACAAAAATATCATTGTGAAAGAAAATTGACAATCTTTCACAAAATGTAAAAAGTATACAACATCTAGGTCACGTTGACCTCGATTTGACATATATGTCGATCTACTTTAAAAAAAACTTTTCTAAAGGGGTAATTGAATAATGTTTACAACAATACCAGCAATAATGAAATTAAATCAGACAAGTAATAAAAAAAACCAGAGGTCTTAATGTTATAAAAAAGGTTGCAGACTTTAGGGTTAAAATAGACAGGCGATAAAAATGGACCTAATAGTCCATGGTATGACTTACGAATATGAAGGATCCGTAGCACACTATAGCGCAGCAACAGTTGAAGCAATATTTATGAAGATGTACATGTCTTGATTCTTTTAAAATACCATTTGTTGAAAAAACTTCCGGCTTTCGGGTCGATTAACTTCTTTCATCACAAGGGGTCAAAAAACGAAAATATTTTGATTCGAACTTTTATACATTTTATAAGACTCAGACCGTTATTCTAAGCATACGAACAAAAATACATTTTCATAATTTAAAAATATACTATTTAATTTTACCGTAGATGTCGGTGTTTAATTAGTGTGATTATACAAGTGTGTTTTTCAGATTTTGTTTGATTTTTCAAATATGAGCCAAGCCGATTCAACAAAATTATGTGGAATATTTAGGTAATTTATGATTGGGAACATAATAGTTTTCTTACCATTTAAAACATTTTATTACCAGACATTTTCCATATAATCGCAAAGGGTCTAATAGCAAATTATTGTTCATGTTTTACAAAACATAATACAATAACAAATAGGTAAGATTTATATCTAATTAAATGTTACAGAGGTATTGGAATGTTCATATATTCCAAGGGCATGTCTAATAATCGATTAGAGTCATGTGCAATCGAACGCCTTGAAATTCTTCCTCGACGTTACTTGTGGCTATCATCAAGTTTTCTGATGGTAGTTTGTTCCTTGACCTTACCGCTGGATACAATCAAATTTTAGGAAGATAATGATAACGATTTTTCTCAATTATTTATGAATTTGATCAAGTCTTGATAGTTGTTATATAAGCAACTGAGCTATATCTAACTACGGGAAATATAATTTTAGCTGTAGTCCCAATTAGTCAAGGAAGAGCAATAGGCCCTCCTTTATTGATAATTTTCACCGCTGAATAAAAGTCCATATCTCAAAACGTATTGTGAAAAACTAGTATAATTTAAACATTTGTCATTTCAATATAAAAGAGATTCATTTGTAGCATTTGTCTTATTAATACCTGAGAAACAATACAAAACGACGATACACCGATTACATATTTTTTTGGTATTGATAAGAAAAATAGCCTCAAACTTATAGCTTAGAAACCTAAATCATATGTTTAAAATCATTTTGTATGATTTTCTGTTGCATTGTGTACTCCAAATTGTGAAAAATTGGGATTTTATTTTGGTGATTTTTTGACCTCTGTTAATGGCAGGCATAAGTCAGCCTAAAAGCCGGAAGTATATTGAACAGTTATAATAAAAATTATTAGGGGACATAGGTAGGTATGTTAATGTAAGGTCAAATATCGCTGCGCTATAGTGTGCTACCAACTCCTTTATTAGACGTCCTAGATATTTCATACCATGGACTATAAAGTGATAGTCAATTCCAAATGTAGTCAAGATGGCTGAAAATGAGATAAAAGGAAACAAAACTAAAATGTTTTGAAAGATAAATGGCAAGGTCAAAATCTAGATCCATATTTCTTGTTTTGCAGTGAATGTACTCACTGTGGTACTACATTCAAATCTCTTTTAAAATTAGCTATGAGGATCATCTTAGACTAGTGTTCGTTTTTTGTCATCGATGAGATTTTTTCATTGGAAAGTTTTCTTCATCCTAATGCCTCTATCACATTTGATCTACGGCAACCGTACACACGATGGCCGTAGTTTTTCAAAATATAGAGAAGTTTTACTTGTCTAATTATGTTTTTATGATTTATAATAAAACTGGTAATTCACTGGTAAAATTCATCGGGGACATCAAGTCAGTCCTGATCAAGTACTCAATTTTAGGAAACGCCCCCTTTGCATTTTTAAAGAGATCCCTTGTTTATTTGTCACTTTTCAGAAAATGATGGGAAGGGGATTTGAATTATTCGGATACAAAGTAATTGTAGATTTAAATACACGTTCATTGATAGAAGTAACTAAGTTCAGATGTATATCGTAATTTATTTAGTACGTGCTTTTTTTCTCCGCTGGTAGCTTGCTACATGTTAAATAATACGTCATTTGTAATTTCACAATTTGATTGCTGCCTTTGCTGGCCAATAACACACTGTGTAGCATCATAGTATAGTCTATGATACAGTATAGGGGTAGAGGAACTTCAATTTTCACGTAAATGGAAATTAATTCCAGAAGTTCGGATCCAATATCGTCTCTTTGCAGGAATTTTTCAACAACTCATTTATTTTAGAGTCTAGCTCCCTGAACGAAGCTAACGTTATGACGTGTTCATGATCTCCTCCTATTTCCATCCACTCATCATATCCAACAGTTTTATTCTTATTTGTCGGCATTCCCAACACAAAAGTCTCCACGCCGAGTTTCTCACGTAATTCCCGACCAATGCGCTTCGTTCTCTCTACATACACATTGTTATCAACATTTTTACCGTGATACGTTGAGCCGTCTGACATAAACACTAGAATATCCTTTTTGTCAGGTCTATTGCCTCGTTCCTTACTGAATATTTCATCTCTGAAAATCGCAAGAGCATCGTCAGTATGAGTGCGACATCGATCAGCTGTTAAATCCATGCTTTTAAATTTGAACTTTGTAGCTTGATTTGAGGTGGACTGGTCCAGAAATTGGATAACCTGCGGCTTTTCGGCAAATTTAACTCCCGCCACTTTGAGGAATCCTCTACCTAAAGAAATGCATGCTTAAATATTATGTTTGAAATTACGACATAAACATAGGAGTGGAATTGAACCCTAATGTGGAAAATGTACACTCCGCTCCATAAGTTTGGCAACCTTAGCTCCCCCATTGAACTACGTGTTAAAGCCTCTTTACCTTTGAATTTTTATTTACTTAACCTGGGATGAAAATACTATTGATGGAAACGTAATTTGACTTTATTTCCAATAACTCTAAATCTTCTCAATTCTTTTCCTCAATTCACTATTCACGAGAATGAGTCGAGAATTGATGATAAATTTTTGAAAATCGACATTCACATGTTAACCAATGGGAAATGGTAGTTTTGCCGCAAGTCATATGACAGAATATCCATCCATCCGAGTCCTTGCAAAAAATGCAAGTTAGGTAGGCAATTGAATTTGCTAACTTTATTTAACAAAAAAATGATATGTTTCTTCAGGTTCAACAAAGTTATAGGGCTTTAAAGTCAATTTTTTTTTTCAAAAAACCCTCCCATTGAAATAACAGAGGAGGCGAACAATTATTTTCAAAAATGACTTTAAAGCGCTGTAACTTAAGTATTCATCAAATAAACCAAACACTTAATGTACAAAAAAGTTAGACAATTCAATTTTCTATATAAGAATATTTTTTGCTGAATCTTTTACTGAAAATATATCCTGATTTCTGATTTGCCTCGAACCCTCAATTTCCCATTGTATTACATGAGAATGACGATTTTGAAAAATTCATCAAATTTATCATCAATTTATGGCCTATTGTAATTGAGGAAAAAATTGAGAAAATTTGGAGGTATTGAAAATAAAGTCAAATTACGTTTCCATCAATATTTTAAGTCATTTCATCGCTGGTTATGTAAATAAAAATTCAAACGTAAAGAGGCTTTAACACTTAGTTCAATTGGGGAGCTAAAAGGTTCGTTTTTTAACACTTTAACAGTACGTTGCCAAACTTATGGAGGGTCCTTTTTCTTTGGCACTCGTGCTTAAATATATTTATGGAGGGGAGTGTACATTTAATTACATAATATTTTGTAATTCTGAAGAAATACTCGATCAGATCATTGAATTTCAAGTCGTAGACGGGTAGTTTGCTTTGTTTTATGCGGGTAAACCTGAATACGTTTTGATTGGTCAATCAGCCTAACGTCACACGTCGCGACCACGCGATCTGCCAATCAATAAGGTTTCGCGATACCCCTAACAGAGTAGGAATTATGGAAATCTCGAAACCGCTGAATAACTTAATATCATAATATCAGCGATGATGCATTAGATTGTACAAGGCGGTAATAATTCAAGATCAGATAAGTATGTTACAGTATTATATTCTATTATATTCACATACTGTAACTGATCTTTATTAGAGATCTTAGGTCAAGGTCACAATGACATTATATCTTGTAAACATAACTGAACTGAATGACTCATTAACCATTGGCATTCTAGAAAGTACTGGAACTGTAATCATTTAATCAAGATTGAATCATGTGACTTAAGATGTCCAATCAGTGTTATTTTCTAGAAATCGTAACTTCTTGAAACATCTGGACTTTGCCTTTGCACTATATAATGAGAGAGCTGATTTGGGCTGTTAGCAGAATACCGAATACCGACAGAATACCGACTTGGACAAGGCTAGTAATTTCAATTTGGTAAAAATTTGAAATGAAGTATCGAAATAATGGGGAGAGGTGACACAATATACAGTCTAGACCTAGAATACCGAAAAAATAATATTTTTTTGCAAAACGAACATCCTAGTAAATACCACTGGCTATAATACAGTTTAAGAATTTTAGACATTTGTTGAGTATTGGATTAGAAAAAACGTTTAGTCCATCTCGGTCAGCGATCTCGTGACTGAGAGTTGAAAATAAGCATATTTTTAGTCAGAAGTTGCAGCATTGACCAACTCTCATGATCTATTTGCTTCTAATTATCAAAAATTCGGGACGAAAATGTTTAAATTATTCATTTTCACCAACACTTCAAGTGGTTTTGGACACTTCAAGTGGTTTTGGCCATTTTGGGCCATAACTGTCAAATGTGAACTCCCGTGGAATTTGGCAAAAACTGGCTACGGGTCTAATGGCACCGTATACTGTTTTATCATCCTCAATTATACAATAACAAAGAAAGTCCATATACCTATCTTAAACCTGTTAATTATGTTGAGTGTGAAATCCTTAACCAACTGTTTGTTTTCATCCGAAATGCTACATGAAATATCAAGGCCGATCCCAAGGTCAATTCCACATGATTCCAAAGTAAAGTATGGTTTCAATCCGACGGCTGTAAAACATTAACAACTATTGCGCATGCGTGCAGAGCTAAGCTTGCATTCGACATGCAACTTTCGACTGTCGGCTACCGGATATACCTACTATATTTTGTTGGCAACTCAATCTTATTTAAATGAGTTGGTTATAAAAACAGTAGGTTAATTAATGATAATTCTGGCAGCCGATAGCCGAACGTTGCATTCGCAAATGCAAGCCCGGAATGCAAGCTAAGATATTGTATAAGCCCTTCTCAAAATATTTTACCTAACACTCCCTCTTGGCCACTATGACCTGCCGTATGTTAATTGATATTGATGAGAGAAGTACCAATTCTAATATGAATTTCTGGTTTACACTTTTGGAGGGGAGCGTTCATAGCTATGTACTTTTAAAACCGGATCAAACGTAATTTAAATCGTGATGTTTATTTTACTAAATACTAAAAATAACTATTAAAGATGTACACTTACGGACAACCTCATCACCAAGTCGTCCAAACGTTACATCGTGACATTTCGTGACTCTCTCTCCACAAGGATTATATTTGTATGCGTAACCACGGCTTCCCCATTTCACAAATTGGGAAGTCAATTGCCTTCCACTAGGGCAATCTTTCTTGATATACCTACCGAATACACATCGATAATATGAGCACCTTTTCAACGAGTCAATGACTGTATATTGCCTTGATATCATATCACATTCTACAACGAACCAAATTAAATGTGTTTATTCACGTGTATTTTGGAATGAAAAAGAGCAGAGTTTCCTTTATAAATTGAGATCAGTTTTTTTTATTGACGTTACGTTTGCTTGTAGAAATCAAAACCACAAAGACATCGAATGAATCAAAGTACGATACTTACTCGAACGCTTCTTAAAATAGCCAGGTGGAGCTCGAAAGCCTTGAAGGAGGACAATGAAAGAAGTAAGCAGAGATATAAGCATATACCATTTCACCAAATCCATGATTATTTTGAATCTGGTCACTGGAAAGTAAGAAAATTTTGCTTTCAATATTAATGATATTTTATCATTAAAAAGTGCTTTTAAAGAATGAATAACTAAAGCTTCAGTCAAATTTACTCTACGACGGCCACACGACGGCCGTAACTTCATATATAGATTTGGTAATTAAAACGTATTGCTTTAACCCTATATTTTATGGTGCACGTTTTTCTCAATTTTGGAAGCTACGACCGCCGTACGGTTCCGTAGATTAAATGTGACTAAGGCACAAATCGCCGACCATAGTAAAAACGAAACCATACAGATTTAATCCGTTTAATTTCGTCTAGATGTTGAAAGTTGTATTTATTTTGAGAAGTGTCTTAATGTTACTAGAATACATCTATCAAGTCTTTATTTGTTGAAAGTCTTCTTTGATAAACAAAGGAACGGTCATTATATTGCTAAATCTATAATTCAAATCAAACTAAGTTAATGCTGTTTTATTTCTATTCGTTATATACCACATAACAAATAAGAAGCGTATCATGTGTTAACTTTCGGAAATAAAGTTTTTGCGGCAATAGCTTCAACAGTATAACTATTGGGATAAACGCTACATAAACTTTAAATAAGATTCGATTTTATATAATAAATCAAAATAGTTAAAATATTTTGAAAAAGTAAATTAATAATTGTCTTACCTCTAGTATGATCTTGAATTATAAATAGGTAATTTATCAAATTGAAATTACAATTAGCATTCAAATATATAAATCAATATGAACATCAATTACAAAAGCATTTATTTGATCGCATCACACCCTTGCTGGTTAATGTCAACACGACCCTGAAAATAAACTAAATGAATATCTATTAATTTCCTACGATATTCCTCACAATAAACTTCACAGTAAATCAATCGTTTGAACTGCTGCATCCACGAATAAATTTTTATATTTGTATAAGCGAAGCGATGACATTACCTAAGTCGGCGTCTCATTTATTTTTTCAAATTTTATTTTCACCTTGATTGAAAATAAAGAGAAATAGAATTATAATACCGACTTGGGCAAGGCTATCGAAGCGAGAGAGTGTTAGAAATGATATTTAGATGGTATTTGCTCGTGTACTTGAATCGGATGGTAATTTCCTACTTAGATCATGCATCGGGCTATGTATATTTTGAAATTGATATATCTCGATCATAACACAAACATTATTAATTTGAACTTAATCGGAAAGTATACTTTAACATTATGTAAATTGATTTGACTGTTAGTTCGCCGGGTTAATGTGACGGTCACCAGGTTATCGATGCAGATTTGTCAATTTCACCTGTTTCGATCAATTTTACATTCATTTTACATGTGATTCATTGCAAACTGGAACATAATGCATTAATTTGTGGAGTCGTTGAGGATAAAGGAAATCGACGAGATGTTAATCAATTAATCACATAGCTGTTCTCATCGTGACGATTGATTTTGACCATCGACCAAAAACGATTTTTATTCACCTCAGATGAAATTGATGAGATCGTTGATTAATTTGTAGATTGACTTTGATCATGAAATAATAACTATTTTATCGACATTTGATGTTATGCTCAATTCGTTATTGGCTTAGTATATCAACAGTTCCACATATTGTTACAGTGTCAAACAGTATAGGCGGAACCTGGATAAAACATAGATCGTGTCAATATAATGCTGCCCCAGGAACGCTATTGCCCACAACGTTAGGAAATAGTTTAGTATGTAGCATTTCACGAAGGCGTGGATAATACGACTGCCTTTTGAAAACTGGAAATGTTAGAGTATTTTGCAAAGAACTGTACATTGTTCAGCTTGAATGAAAATAAATAAAATATTCACACCGCACCCCGATTTTATTTGATATGCTCGTATATCAGAACAACGTTGTTTCATTATGTTTGATTATACATTAGAGACTGAGTTAAAGCTTGTAATATTTTCCACGTGAACGAAAAGCACATGAAAGAATAAACGAATATGTTAATTGCGCAGAGTTTAATATGCGCTTTAGTCTACTAGATCAAGTTCAGCTTCAGAGTTTCTTGTTTAAAACGGGAAATTTTAAATTTCACGTTGGTGCCAACGGGAATAATTTTACTCGTGTCTAAGTTACCATTAATATAAGCTCAATGAACAGTTACAAAGTGATTTTGGAGATCTAGACTATGTCTAGGTTTCAATGGTCGATAATTTTAAGTCAATGTCTAGGTTTCAATGGTTAAGAATTTTAAGTCATCAAATAATTATTTTATTTGGATATTCAGGATGACAACCAGAATGACTGCCAAAATAAATAAATTAATTTTGGAACATATTCATTTGGATATCAAAGATGGCCCTGATGGGACGTACCATCTCAATTGTACTCTCTTCATCTTTTGTGAAAGCAGAAAAGTCCTAATATGGAGGTCTCAAAGGGAATGAGCTACAATAACACAAAAATTGAAATTTATTTTCTTGTATTGGACAGATAACAATTTTTTTACTTTGCATAACTATTAGATAGGGCTTATTTGAAAATTGAACCACTAAAGCAAATTAATGTATTCAAGTTAAATGGAACGTTCTACTATGCCTGCCATCTTATCTGACCCGAACGGTGGTGAAACTGGTAACTACCTACTCGCATGTGCGTTATTGAATACTATTTACATTCCAATATGCATAGACACTAGAAGGACACAAATATGGCAATAGGGGGTAAAATTGTAAAATATTTCAACTAATGCCTCGATCTTAGCATATTTTATCTACGGTATAAATTGCATTAAATATAAGGACGAGCAATACAATGTAGTTTTTTCTATCGATTTTGTGAAGCCCTTTAGCCATCGTTGGACAAATGTTGGGATGCGTTGGGATGGGTAAGTTGAGCTGTTAATTTTGAGAACATCTCTCTTATATATGTCAATAATAACTTTCTTTCGTAAAGAACATGGCCTGTCCAAAAATTGACACTTTTTACCCACTCTGAATATCAAGCCTATGTTTATGCATATTTTGCCAATGAATAACATATCTTGAGAGTGTGGACGTAATTTATATGCTTAGGTCACCGACACTATGTTATTCTTATATGGATTTATTTCATGGTCTCATGGCATTGTTTGTAAGCTATAAACAATAATATAATGATTTATTCAATACATTATACCAATTTAGTTGTTATTTTAGTTGTTGAAAGAATAATATGATTAAATGATATGACATATTGTATTAATTATCTTCTGAGGTTTACTATGCAAAAGTGCTAGAATTTATTTATGAAGAATATACCATATCTTCGCCATCGGAAAATCAATAAGCATTACAAGAATCTTGAAATTTCATAGTGTTAAAATATATAAGCCTAAGTGGTAACCTTGTTAGCTGCTCGCGTGTGTTAACCGCGCCGGCTTGTTGCTAGTGCACCACGTAAGTTCGAGGGGAACGATTCACGTTATACAGGTTGACGAGTTTATGATGGTAGACTGTAAATCTAGTAGATCTAGTAAATCTAAATCTAGTAAATCTAGTAAAATCTAGTAAAATCTTGTAAACTTTTTAGGGACCATTCATTTGATGTCGATGTCAGTCTCTATGAAGAGTACTGGTGATTATGATTCCTTTTACAGCATTAGAAAAATACCTTCTCTGCATTAAAATTCAGAGTCATTCCTTTCACCAAATAATCAGTAAACAATTTTTTTAACAAAATTGTGAAATATTATAATAAAAAAGAATGTTTAAGGGGCTGATATGATATGGCTTTTAACTATTAATTACAAGGAATACAAGGAACATATCATCATCAAAACGTAAATGGAAAGCATTATAGAAATGTCATACTATACTTTATGTATAGGTAAAGCAAATAGATCAATCAGTAAGTTGTCTCACTCTTCCCCTTACTACAGCATTTGATTGTTTTTATTATTTTGGGGGGTTGGCAAAAATCAATTTTGAAATTGCCATTTATCCATTCCTCTAACATTGGAACTTCTACAAATATTGTCAATTGAACAGCATCGCCAAAAAATAAGCAATAACTAAATTATCTGATAGACTAAGCATTATAACATTTTGTGAGGGAAAAACAAGCCTGTGTCATTTAGATGGTACACATTGTCCCCCCAGTCCTTAAATGTGTGGCTTAATTTGTTAATAGAGCATGCTTCTTGGGTGGGTTGTGTATGATGATAAAATGGGTGTACCATTTGATAACCATTTTGTTATCCAGTACTAACATATAGTTGTTTTGTAACTAAATATAATGAAATAAAAGGTAGAATTTTTTCTACATGTTCATTTCATTCATACAAAGGCATTTTCGGTGCTTTTTCGACATTTGCACTTATATCCTAGACATTGAATATTCAAGTTTTTACAAGATTTTACTAGATTTACTATTTTTACTAGATTTACTAGATTTACAGTCTACCGTTTATGATTGTACACGTTGCGCCGTGCATGATGAATTATCCGGATATCTTCTAGGTCAATTCGATTGATTAACGAGAAAAACAGTTAATCGTCCCTCACCACGAGTTTATTTCCCTTTGTGTCTGGATCCTTTCGGTTCTGGTGTTTTGAATAGGTCAAATACAGTATTTACAGTATTTGTCGCCTATACTTTTATGGTAGCGTTTCCTTGAGATATTTACATCATCATCGGTATCTTAATAAATCATATAAATTCACGATATCAGGTGGAGGTAGAGAATTCACTTTTTATACAGGGTGGGTCAATAAATGTGCCTTTGGATATTCCCATAGAGCCTACTTTAAGGAGTATTATGAACTAAATGTCATAAAAACTGTGCAAAAATGGGTTATCACTAAAAATCTTCTTACAATTGTCATCACCTTCAAAGGATTATATGCTAATATTAAACGTTATACTAACAATTAACTCACCGAAACTTCACCAAAGCATCTCTCAAATTTGTGCAGCCTATCAGCAAAAGTATAAATTAACATGTCTCCGCTAGCTTTCTGTGCATCTTAAACCGATAATAAAGTCATAGAAATTTCACACATATGTGGTGCATCTTTCTAGGGGTTGTCAAGTTGGCCGAGAGGGCTTGAGCGCCAGCACGCTAGGCGTGGTAAATTCTAGGTCAACTTGACCAAGGGGATGAACATTTTTAGCATTTTGCGAAAGTTTTTTTTAATTTTCTTTCAAAATAATTTGTTGGTACCAAAAATGCTATAATTCCTCTAAGAACTGAATTATACATAAACCTTTGAAATAATACAAAACTCAAGGTAAACAATTTTGTAGAACTGAAACAAATATAGCAGGTATCGCGAAATCCCATTGAAATCAATGTAACGTGTAATTGAATAACTATCAACATCTTATGAATTTAATTTTTATTGGCATCTGAAATTACCTTGATTTCTTCCCAGAAAGTCTCTCATATCTGTGGCTCAGTAGAAAAATAACGGAGGCAAATACAAACTTGCAAAATGTACTATCGAAAAAAACGAGGGGTCAGTCCCTCTGCCGACATTTGTTTTTTAATAGCAAACGTCTTGTACAGGAAAGTTACACTGTGTACAGTGCTGTAATGTAAGAAAAAATGTGTTTCCAAATATCATCGGAAAATTATCGATTAAGATCATTTTACTCTGTTCTGCAGCTTGGTGTCATTTATTCATGCATAGCTTGTATTTGAAATTGGATTTTCTTTTTACTTGATATTGTTGTATTTGAAATCATCGAGAATAAATGACAATGTGAACTAAAAGGAAACTTATGTACGTCCCTCAAACAATATGAATGATACTCATTCTATTTGTAAAGACTCAACTGCTACCATGTCAATAACATTTTTTTTTTATCTCAAACAGCTAATTTTCTAGATAAACAGAATAGCTATAACTTCTTTGTGTATTTGCACATCATTATTAGTAAATTAAATTTATGATTATTCGTGATGATTACTTTCAATCAATTTAAGATATCTTGTAAATCCAATTAAAGAAAATAATGTTTGTCTTGAGATTTTCAAAATCTAAGTATTTAGCAAGAGGCTTGGAAATATATCAACGATGGCAATATGTGTGAGTTTTCACAAAAAGTGACTTATATAAATGGATTAAAAAGTAATTTGTAATTTAAGAGGATAGTGGATGAATGTGATGCCTTTCTGCTTGTTTCAGTACAACTATTTTTATTGATAAATGTTTGTACCATAATCCCATGTACATTATTACATTATTGTTATGATATCATTGTATACTCTCCCCTAGCTTTCCCGACTTGACTTATACGACTTGAAGGTCTTTCATGCTGAGGGTAAAAAATGTTCGTTGGTAGTCCCAACACATGTGAAAATATTTTGATAGAATTTCCAGGTGTATTATAAGAGGTTCGAGAATCTTGTGTGGAATTTGTGATTTGCGCATTAGAAGAGGTAAATGCACAGCAGTGTATACAATGTGTGATTCTATCTCACTATCTCATATCTCATATGGGGTTTATGTACCCCAGCTTATTAGATATAGCAGGGCATGTTCAAAATATCTAGATTTCAAATCAAGACACCATATTTTAGTGATCAAGCTGGTAGGTCAAGGTTATACTTGTAAAAAACTTAAGAAATCCTTTCTGGGCTTTGCTGAAAAGAACAAGTTATTAATTTCGAAATTTCAAGTTTTACCACTTGAGATGCTGAAGGATGTAGGAATGGTTTAATAAATTGGCAATGAACTCACAATTTTCACTTGGCACCTTTTGAGGTGGATCCCGGCTATGGCATAAATGGTTGAGAAATAGGGATCGAAACCAGCCATAGTTTTCTCCTGATGACCAATGCATTGTGAATTGTTGAGTACTAGTACCTACAACTATTTTTGATGTTATGAGTATTGGCTATCATTTTTTCAATTTTTCTTCAACATGTATTGTAATGACTTCAGTATGAATGAAATGTCCCTTGGTGTCCTGGTCCTGGACTGTGATATTGGTTCTCGATTGGAGGGGGAGGGGGTGTTAGACATTGGTTCTTTTCACGTTAGATAATGGTTTTGGGATATATAGGGTCTACTTTTCTTACGACAGATTATCCTTAAAGTTTGCCTTTCAGGTTGGGTTTCTTTAAAGTTTTTAGTCACCCTTCCCTTTGGAATTTGCGCTTATATATTCAAATGTGTGACATCCCAAATCAGAATGTTTTGGATACTAAAGGCAAAAGTTAATCCAGCCTCCACAGTGCACAGTTATGCCATCAAAACAAAGTCGATGTCATATTCTTACAATGACGTGTTTTTCTTATTATGAACTTAATGATCGATAGAAGATGGAGCTATTGCAGCTATTAACCTTGTTTGATATAATTATTGCTATTGTTTTATATGATTTGCTATTAGTAGCCTTTTATTAATGAAATGTAAACACGGTGTCGTATACTTATATTTATTGTCCATGGCCACTCTCCCGATATGATAAAGAATATGATTGTGTGTGGATGGCATAAACTATTGTCTGGTAGACTAGTCGTGACCAGTCTATGACGTGCGTGTTTACAAAACCCATTCACGTAACAAATAAACAACATAACACTGTCAATTGTGATTAAAAATCACCACTCATTTTATAATTTGAATTCATATACAGGTGACACTTCATGTTAACGCACTGATAACACTTTACTTTGACAAGTCGTTATGACATATCTCGTTTCACAACACGTCATATTTGATAACAACTATTGTTAGCTTTATCTGATTACACATGTTGACATAACATCATTTTACACTTAGTATTGATGCGTTGTCTGATTTACGTTTACATCGCTAAAACATCCTGAAGGATAAGTCTCATTATAAAGTACAAGATCGATTCTTTCAAATTGACGTAATTTCTTGTCACCACTTCTTGATATATGTCGACTAGTTCACTTTACTCGTCAAATGTGTGAATACCATAGCAGCCAGGGCATATATAGAGCAAGTCATGTTTCTCTGTTTTCCTTGACAACTTTTTTAATTCTCAATAACTTTTTATGAACCACTTGATCCTCCATTTTATAAAAATTGAAAATTGGTTCCCTAACCGAATTTGGCCATCATTTTTATAAATTGAAATTAAAAGCCGTTACATGGAAAGTAAAATGTTTTGTATGTTGGGAATGCTTTGAAGCTTTTGTTAAAACATCATGAAAACTTATTAGAATTGATTATGTGAAAAAAGAGAAGCATGGCTTGTCATTTTTGGCTCACAAATAAATGACACTTAATGTATTCAAAAATTAAAATCAGAATGTTAAAAGTTTCTTTCAATATTTAAATATCGCAAATATATAAAAAGAACTCTAGATTCATCATTCTTAAATAAATTCAAAATACTAAAATTTCTAATTCAAAATTTAACAAGAAATATCTCGATTCCTCAAAAACGTAATTTCAGAAATAGTGATTGAGGAATCAATCATGATAGACATTTAAAATTGTCTTTAACTTCACCATTTGGTAAAATAAGACCAAAATAAAGTAGTTAATGAAGTAATTTAGTGGTCTGTTGAACACATTAAAGTCCAAGTTTGGTAATTTTCGTTTATTTTTCTCACTAGAATTGCTTCATTGGATATAACAAATTGAAAATCGTAGACTTACAACTCATTCTTATGGTTCATTAGTATCAAATACAATTATCCGGGAAAAACGTGACGTCACGAACAGAACTGGTTACCGATTTTAAACGGTAATACGTTATGAAACTAGAGTGTTAATTCAGAGTGTTTATGTTATGCTTTGTTTTAATTTACCAGGCGTAGAAACACTTATCTACCTATGTAAAACTCACCATATTATGGTTCAGTGCATTAAGCATTTTGAATGACTATAAACTCCCACGGCGTTCTGATCGTGACGTCATGTATGACCCTTGACATTGGCTGCCCAGGATTCGAAGAAAAGAACATCACACTTCACATGTGTTGAAATATTTACAGTTGTACCCGGATTGACCTGTAAGTAGTGTATTGATCAATTAGAAAGTGTATAAACTGTATTTTGCCCCTGTAACCACCGAACTGGCATTCTAAAGGTAAATCGAAACAAGTCTAATAAAGCGAACAAACAATAAAATAGATACAACTATGTACAACTTACATGCATAACAAATATGATTCTAATTAAACAAGACTTTGGGCACGTGTGTGTATCATGACTATGTCATTTATACTGTTATCAGGTGCCATTGAAACAAAAAAAACTTGTAATTTATATGCCATTGAAGCATATAAAATCTAGTAATTTATAATTGTGTCTAGTTGGTTTGGGCAACTATTGTAAACCATGTTTGAGCGCATTCTGATACACATCGCATCTAAAAACCTGTCTTTGTTTAGTTGATCCATGTTTGAGCGTTCATGTATATTATGGAGACATATTCAACACCCTTTCTGTAAATTGACAAACTTTTCCCCTGAAAGCATCCTCCGATCACAGGGCTTCAAAAGCCAGAATATATTCTTTCTTTTTACCCCCTGCGATAAGCAGTTAGCCTTTCGCCGATTAAGAACTCGCAATCTGATTGGCTGTCGCAACACTGCGACAGAAATCATGTATTAGTCATTGCGCATAATAAGATCACGTGATTCAGTTTAATCAGGCGCTTCCAAATTGGTTATAGCAGGGGGAAGAAGGAGGTACGGATTCTGGATACCTGCTTAGGAGGATGCCAGAAAGTGGATGCATTAGATAAAAGCGTGTGTCCATTCGAAAATATGACATATCCATGCTTGTTTTTATCGATTATTTGATATCATTACACGTCAATATATTGATATTCTGACGATGATTGTGTAATTAAAGGGGCAACAAGGACTGTAGAGAGAAAATTCGAATTATTCTTATTTTTCTGAGCTATCAGGTCAATATTTGGCTTTACATATTCTTTGACATACCTATTTTCTTAAAATGTATGGATAAACTCTCAATTTCAGCATTAAGTAAAGGGAGTCCCACTTATAGACTTTTCAGATTCACCACGTTTCAAGAGGGATATCAGCTGAAATAATGTTCATCCAGGGGGTTTCTTTGTAGATAATAAAAATATATGTTACTCTTGATGAAATATCAAAACTTAAGTATATTTTGACACTGGTCGATGATCATTGAATGGTCCCCCGTACACTAATTGTTGCACCTTTAAGTACAGACATATATTAGCAAAGCATAAACATAATTTATTTGAACAGCCACCAGCCTTTTTTGTCTTCATTTTTTGCTCAATAAATAGTGGTTAATCGTTATACACGAGAAATGTCTTCTTTCCACCGCTTAGTATTGAAAAGTTTTGCAACACCTGGAAATAAAAAATGTGATTATGTAACTCGACAGCGACTCAATTCTGACCATAAAAAGAACAATTTTCATTGAAACATAATGTTTTATCGAGAGATATCAGGATGATATAATCCATTTTCAAGAGCCATTGTTAAATGGCCCCATCTCGACATCTTTTTTCAAATAGTTTCATTCATTTTCTGGAGTTTAGTGACGTTTGTTAGGATGTTGGTTTCACTACTATCAAGTATATGACATTTTATCACTACGACATACCAATGATATGCAAGGGTCGATCAAAAAGTTTCTTACCATTGGCTCTAGATTTTATAATAAAGAGAAGTTTGATGGTCAAACTACCAATAAAGCAATGTGTATGAAACTCATACAGGTCGAAGCAAATTAACTGCCCCGTCTCATGTTAAAGTTTGAGCATCCAACCATCTAATTATAAAATCTAGAGCCAACGGTAAGAAACTTTTTGATCGACCCTTGTACAAATTAATATAAATCGACTTAAATAGGTATACCCTTCCTCATATTCAATATATAAAAATGCCAAATATGCCAGCTTTACAATCAATGATATACACAGCTTTCCTTGGTATCCCCAGGTATAAAAGAACCATGAGAATATGCATTATACATGACTGTTCATTTGACTTTCCGAATATCCATGACTTAAACTGACCATTATCGACGCAAAGCAACCAACATATATCCAAACAATTCAATTACGTTTTATTTACGAAAATTCCTTTTGAAACCGAAGACTATCATACATACCATCGATATGTCATTGGATGATCAGTTCTGTACAGCTGGAATACAAAATACAATATTTGAAACATAATGTTATGAGATTAAAGTAAAAGTAAACGTTCGAAGTAAAAAAATGTAGAACCTATAGACTATTGATTGGTATCTATGTGGAGAGTTTGCAACTCACTTATAGCATGTTTACTATTCCCGTATAGCGTATAACTTATGAAGCGTTTGATTAAGTCATTATTTATTGCAGCTCTATACGTCCATGGGTGTTATTCTCATAAATCGTCGTCTAAACGTGCGAATATCACATCCATGGACGTATAGAGCTGTGCAATAAATGATGACGTAACCAAACGCTTTCTGAGTTACATATATACGCTATAGGTGAATAAAAAACATGCTATAAGTGAGTTGGAAAATCTCTCTATTGGGTTAATATTAGTACTTACAGCACACTTGGGAGGCAAGGAAAGCTATTTTCCGTGTCAGGGTATCAAATTCCATTTTGAATACGTTTTCTGGCTTTGAAGCTATTGCATACCATTCCTCATCTCCTATGTACACATTGCGTTTATTTAATTCAACTTGCCGTTGATTAGGTAATCCCATGACATAGGTGGGTGTTATTTTCTTTAACATCTTAGCTTCTTTTATCGTGAGGTTCTTATTTTCTTCTGGTTTTGTTAAACCGTCACTTATGACAAATAATATATTTGGTTTGTCAGGTCGGTCGCCTCCCCTCGGAGTAAAATAATCAAGTCTGACTGACTCCAAAGCCGCATTAGTTGAAGTCCCGCAATCTCTACGTAAGCTTCGCCCAGGCTCTAGGACAAGGTTCATTTGCTTGATAGTTCGTTTATATTGAAATTTATTTTGGGTATTATTTAAAAATGCAACGTGAAATATTTTTTTCGAAAATGATACAATTCCTATTCTCGTGCTTAGTGGCCCGATAGTAATAACATCCGCAATGCTCATCAGGAACTTTTGTATTTGTAACTTGTTCGAATCGGTAATCGAGCACGACACATCAACTGCGAATACTAGATCGATTCCACAAGCCAGGACGACAGGTCTCTCTATAAATATAAATTATTACACGATTCTTAACGAATGCATTACTACTGATTGGGATTTTGTTACATGACTGCAGGGGCGGATCTGGCAACCAATAAGGGAGGGGGGGGGGGGGGCAAATTGCAGTTTTGAGAAAAAAAAAATCCGTTGGGCACCTAAAGCCAAAATGTGGGCCCAAATTTCGAAATTAAGAGGCCCATTTTCTTCAAAATTTCGAAATTAAGAGGCCCATTTTCTTCAAAATTTGGCTTAATACTAAAAATAAGGCCTTAAAAGGCCCAGTAATGAGCAAAAAGGTCCACTTTTTGGAGCCCCAGCGGATTTTTGGCCCAAAATATTTTGGGCCAAACTTTTTTCTGGGCCCATCAAAGGGGGGGGGGGGGGTCCCCCAGATCCGCCAGTGGCCTGTACAGATTAATTGCTTCTAATGTAAACAAGCAATGCCTCTAAATAAAGTAAAATGTCATTGGATGCCATACCCTTCATATTTGGAACTGTCATTGTTAAATTTTTGAAAAAGGATTGTTAATTTCCATAAGCTATCTATCAAGGTTGATGCAAAATCTCAATTTCTACATGTTGCTTGTTATTCGAATGAATTGATTGTTGATTAATTAAAGTAAACACTACACGGAAAACGCATTTCTTAAGTGACATATTCTTACCGACACCCTCACTAGCAAGAGAGGGGATACATTTTGAGCTTGTCTTTATACAAGGCACATGGTCGGACTTCTTCCCCTCGCCATTCCTCTTTCTCATGTAATACCTTGGGACGCTGGTTCCATCCGGGCACTTTCTCCGTACATACCTTCCAGATGGAATATCACACCTCAGAAAATAACATTCGTCTTTGTATGGATCTGTTAAGTATTTTTCTGCACTTTTACAACTTGCTAAACAAAAACAAAACAAAGCAAATAAAGTAAGCACTAAAAATGCGAAAACATGAAAATACTATTTCAAAAATGAAAACCAAAGCAATTGAATATTGTCCCACTATTCAATCTATAACATGGATGAAACAGCCAATAAAATAGCCATAACAGATTATAATTTTAAAAATTCAAAGAAAAATGTCTGACTACAATAATGGGGATCGGGGTTAACTTCTGAAACCAATGTCCCCGATAATTACATTATATTATATCATCTAATGTGATTTGTCATAAAAAGTTATCTAGTTAAAAACGAGAAACGATTGGAGTTGTAATGAAAGTTAGAGGTGAATACAAAGAGATTCATGTTGTTAGACGTATCAAGTTTAACATTCTAAAATAATGTAATATTTTCCCATTTGTATGACACTCTCTTATATAAGGCTGTCACTTTTGATCAGTAATCTAGTTATATTTGTTTTTTTTTGTTTACATTGCACTTGATTGATGTGCAGTGTTTACAGGAGGGTGAATAAGTAAACTATATGCGATTAAGAAATGACACCATGATCTACTTACGTAATTCAATACGTTGTTCTTCAATGCGGTTTGCGACATCCGCTAACCTGTTAGGTACTGTAGTATTTGTCGGTCTAGCTGTTGATTTGGGTGGTATGGTCGTTAGTGGCGATGTTGGTGCTGGTGTAGTTCTAGCTTTTGCTTCTTTTATCCTTACAAGTCTCTTAATCGCTGAGTTTGAGAACAATCCACAATGTACTGTGCTAATCGATAGGAAAATCATGTAAATAGTAAAAACTTTGGTTGATTTATTCCCCTCCATTGGTTTTATGACAATAACTGAGAATTAGAATACTGAAAACTGTGTTGTGTATTAAATTGTACAAGAGTCCTCAGAATGACTCGTCTTTAGAGAATCGCTAACTTATAGAAATGTCACGTGTTCCTGGAAATAACGACATCGTCCAATCAGGCTGTTATTGTTGGCAAATAAACCCACTTTATTTCTATAATCCTTTTATACTGTTTAATTTCATCTTGGATACCTACGTCCATATTTCATATATAATATTGTATTTCATAAAAAATAACATAATCGCGAGGCAAAATTAATTTCCAGCATGTTGTGTTGCTACAGAACCGGAAGACAAATCAATTAGTTTTTGTCCGTATTTGTCCAAGGTTTTTATTAATATACAGCGATAGTTATATACGTCTATTCTATTGTTCTGTTAATCTTTTTAATTAGAATATAAATGCGTATGTTCTCTGTACTAAAAACAATAACATAATGTCATCATCTAAGATGGCGATCATGAGTATGTTTGTTTTACCACAGAACATAACATTTGGCTGATTGTATGCTATTAATCTAATCAAATCTTAATAATTACAGCAACAATTATAATTGAATAAGCGTGCCATATCTCAAACCAGTCAACATGTTCAGATAATAAATTATGAAACCTCTAAATGAAACGTTGGTTATGTAACACTTTATTGAAGATTTCCTTTGCTTTACGAACGTCGCTGATTGGGATTTCTGAAGACTATAATAACGATTACATTCTGACCCAAATGTTAAGGTCAAATATTCCGGTATGAGGTTTTCGAAAGGAAATGGCAAACATTCATTTTACAAAAAAAAAATTTGATTGTAATGTTTGATTAACTTTATATATTAATATTATCCTACACTTAGTGTGCTATATCATTTAGCATGCGCGATTTGGGCACTAACACTCATTGGCAATAGTTTTTACAACCCCTAGTTACACTTGTAACCCACAACAACTTCTACTGAGCGCTATATTCCCCTTCGGACCAAGGAAATTGCCGTTTCCTTCAGTACTAGTTGTACTAGGTTATCATTCTCTTGACTTGTTCCCTTCCGGGCCAGGGGAATATCATGACGCAATGAAAATCTAGCCCTCTTCTAAACACCCGTTCATTGGTCAGTGTCGCTCCCTAACGGGCTCAAGCTCCCGGGGCACACTGCTATACCTGCAAACCACTGCCCAAACAGCAAGGGCGTGGTGGGGTATATATCAGAGCTGATCCTTTTCGGAATAACAGAAATATTCATTCACATTTCGATGTTTTTTCAGTGACATGATGTTAGTGCCTCGATTCATGAAGAGCCTCAAGTCCAAAGATATTACACAGAATTATTATACAGAATTATACAGCGTATATATATTTGTTTCAGTAATGTATAATAACATATTGAAAATAAATTTGATATCTATTGGCAAAATGAATAACCGGAGGAGATCGCCACGATATACTCCAGAAAACCAATATGCGGAGGATATCGTGACGAAATACTCCGGAAAACCCAATATGCGGAGGATATTGTGACGATATCCGCTTGTTGATTTCCCGCCAAATTGACTCTATTTGGCATGAAATTCATTTTCAATTATTATATACATTTAGTACACTCCTTGTAAGTGTCGGATAATCAGAACATCCTATGATTTTTTCAGAATATCATTTTAATCTACTCGGTGATATTGATATATGCACTCGTTAGCTTTGCTCTCTCGAACCCGGATTTAACCCGAAATCTTTTTTCATACAACCTGGATGATCCGGATTTTTTAAAAATCAGTTAGAATCTCGAAAATTTTAGGTTGAGAAGTATGTATCATGCTGTTTGCTAAAGGTACATGTATGCAGATACCCTGGATACTGAGAATGCTTTAAGATATCTAGTAAGATGTTCATCAATAAGTGGAACTTTAATCTTGAATGCCTTTAAAAATAACTATATTGTATCTATAATCACTCCAGAAGAGTAAACTGTAATGAATTGTCATATATTGTATTGTAATAAAATAGTATCTGCCAATATTCAGTTCTATGGTATGACTGTGGAAAAAGGCCATATGATATTAATGTTGTCACTTAACTGCAACTTTTATATTCCGTGTATAAAGATGCATAAATATTACAATTATGATATAATTTACATTAAATAATTTAGACCATCTCTTTTGTTACATTTACGTAAGTCGTCAAAGTAACATATACATTAGGAAATATAACGGATCTTCATGAATGTAACAAAAGCGAGGGGCTAAATATATGAATTGCATCTTTATTAACAAAACGAATTCCAAATCGAGAAGAAACTTATTAAAGCAAGATTATATTTTCTAGCTTTGTGGCAAATTATAATATGCAACTTGACTTATACGTAAGTTTGAATCGAGAAAACAAAAATAAGTTTTATTATACTTATTCTAATTTAACGATACACCATTGCCATATATAGTTTTGCAAGTATTTAAACATACATATTGCCTTGAACCTATGAACATATGTTTTATTTCTCCATGAATGATGGAAATGCGATCATTTGTACTTTATTGAAGAGCCCTTGCATATTGCTTAATAATATGCCATACATCACTAATATACGAATACGACGTGCCTAGATATACATCTCGCGGCATGTAATAATGTTATCCTAGCTGCGATTCTTTTGCACAGTGGCGATGCATTGTTTGCAATTGCAAGTCAACATCGTTTCAATGACACTTTAATAACTAACAGTAATGTCAGTTTCCATTATAAACTTACTTAGACCTAGAAACGGACCAAAACGCCTCATTATTCCGAACCAGATTCATCAAAAAGAATTTGTGTTCGAGGCATTTTTGTCTGAATTTCGTTCGTCATCAAATCGTCCAAAATGCAAAAGAATCACATGGTCTGAAATCTGAAGGTTTGAAGATATAAATAAAATAAAAAACAAATAAAAATATGAATTAAAAAGAAAGAATTGAGGTTTGAATTCAATGGACTTGATCACTTTTCAAATTATTATCGTTTTTCTTTATAAAAATAGATCCTTTGATCCATCTTTCAAGTCTCTTATTGTCATTGTCCAAAACCATAGTATTGTTCCAGTCCATTACGCAATTATTGTGTAGGACGTGGTCCGTAATGGCTGATTTATTCATCACCCCTCCCACATTTTCTTTTGCTTGGCGCGTGTAACGTGAATTATTACCACCTTGCCGGGCCAGTTACCCTCGGTCCAATATTTCACTTTATTATGCACCTCATTAAAATACTCAAATCTGATTGGTTCTTAGTTGCTTGTAGTTTGGCAATACTCTGCTCTTTTCTAAAAACTGCCGGATATTTTTTTAATATCTGACCCTTTCGAGAAAAAGAGTCGGATATTTTTTTCAATGTTTTTGCAACATTCCCATTTCAGAGTTTTATTTCTTAATAACTGGAGTACTACTTAAAGCTTACATCTAAAACTGGCGGAAAATAGAAGAAAAATGCACTTAATCAATCACAATTACCTTTATCATTCAAAAGTTACATATGATTCTGCAAGAACGTCTCGAATAAATAAAAATTAAATTCCCGGGGCAAATATTTTCGTCCAGTCTAGCGAATAAACTGGCCGGAAGTCGTCTGAGTTTTGAAAGAAAAAATAAATAAATGTCAAAATAATGTCAACTAAACTGTAAGTACTCCACCTAACTTTGATTGGGAGGTGCATAATAAAAATAATATTGGGCTCGGCTACCGCCTCGCCCAATATTTTTTCTCGAATAGGTATTCTGCCATATCAAGCTCCTGATCATCCAGTATTTGTTTCATATTGCCCTTAGAAATGACGTTATTGTACTATTGTCCCTCGAAACTGCTTCTATCTTATGTTCTTTAATTCTAACTTTCAAAGGTCTTGAGGTTTCTCATATATACGATTTGTTACACGTTTTGCAAGGTACCTCATAAATAACTCCTGATTAACTAAATTAAATAAATAAATAAATTAATTAGTTAAATAACTTCTGATTAAATAACGTTCTACAGAATAATTGCGTAATGGACTGGAACAATACTACGATTTTGGACAATGACAATAACAGACTTTGAGATCGATCAAAGAATCTATTTTTATAAAGAAAAACGATAATAATATGAACAGTGATCAAGGGAACTATAAATTGGCGGGAATTTGGAATGAATTTTTGGTGAATTAATATGACGTAATATTGTTTTTATTTAATTGTTTTGTAGCGCTTCAGTTCAGTTTTTATACAGTTGAAAAGGGATCCAGACAGGATCCGAAACGTCCTGTTTAGTAAAATATGATTTGGGTCTATGTCTATGTCAATAATCTGCAAAAGGCTAATAAGCCCATATAAAGCAGATTATATAATTTAACAGTGATAGAATTTGAATATAATATAATTTAAAACCTTAACATTTAAAAATAGATCTATGGTTTACAACTCATTTTAAAATTGAAAGGAACCTTCCTTGTTGGCCCCTGTACCCCCCCCTAGGGAGTCCCTTTATGTTGGACTACCCTTGGGCGACTGTCAGGCTACCGCGTTGTCATCACCCCTCTTTTGGGGATTTACGTTCCGGACTATGGGGATTTAGATGAATGGACTTCGGACGAACCATTAGTATTCTACAGAAATTGGGACGACTGGATTTTCGAGGGACATGTGAATATAAAAAAAACAATCATGCTATTTCAGACGAAGACACTCGATGTCATAATTACCCAAATGGCTGGATACAGCTGTTTTCATTTCGTAATCAGTTGTCTCTTTTGTTTCTGTATGTAGTGGGCACATGTAAGTGTTCCAATTCCATTAGAGCTTATTTAATTGATATACATGCATACGGGTTCGTTTTTAGCTATGTCCCTATCATTGAATATATGCCTGAGGTCTGTCACCAATATAGCCCGAGCTTGTGAGGGTTATATTACGACAGACCGAAGGCATATATTCAATGATACGGACATAACTGTTGTATTACATACTTTTATATCATGGCTACGTTATATCAATGACGCCACGTGTCTGTGTGCGAGTGAAATTAGGAAGAAATGAAACATGACGTCCCGATGACGTCATAAGATTGTCATGGTAAAAGGTTTGGCGGCTATACAGGAATATATAGCCGACCTTCAGCTCCATTGACTTCAATACAAATGCTTCGCTGGGTATGTAATACTTAAAAGTACTGCTTGAACCACATACTATTTTGTCTGACGTAATATGTTATTCAGTCATCCAGTAGTGTAGTTAAAGTATTACTAGCGTACATACCTTCGTGGAGGGGTTTAATTTTCAACAGCTGAAATACAAAATACATAATCAAAATTTATTGCAATAACATTAGAAGACACAGAGATTCAAAGGAAGAGATATCACTTTATGTAAATTGATAATATTCTTTGAAATTTGTTGGTTTGATTTTATTTGTATTTTTATATTACATGGTTTGTGTACAAATGCCATCTCTCCAACGATAAACACGGTTGACGTTAAGATGATCTAATACAAATAATGACTTACTGCAAACTTGAGAAGCAAGAAACGCAATCTTTCTAGTTAGGGTGTCAAATTCCATTTTAAAAACATTTTCTGGCGCTGAAGCGATGGCGAACCATTCCTCATCTCCTATGTACACATTGCGTTTGTTTAATTCTATTTGTCGTTGATTTGGTAGTCCCATAACAAATGTCGGTATTTTCATTTTCTTTAATTTCTCAGCTTCTAGTATCGTGAGGTTCTTATTTACCGCTGGTACCGTTAAGCCGTCGCTTAATACGAATAATATATTTGGTTTTTCAGGTCGGTCGCCTCCCCTTGGAGTAAAATAATCAAGTCTGACCGACTCTAGTGCCTTATTGGTCGATGTCCCGCAATCTCTACGCAGGCTTCGTCCAGGTTCTAGGACTAGATTCATTTGCTTCACAGTTCGTTTATATTGGAATTTGTTTTGAGTGTTATTTAAAAATGCAACGTGAAATATTTTTTTCGAAAATGATACAATTCCTATTCTTGTGCTTAGTGGCCCGATAGTAATAACATCCGCAACGCTCATCAGAAACTTCTGTATTTGTAACTTGTTCGAATCGGTAATCGAGCACGACACGTCAACTGCGAATACTAGATCGATTCCACACGCCATCACGACGGGGCGCTCTAAAATTAGGAACACAACTTCAATGCATACAATTACGTCTATGAATACACTGAATGTAGTAAAAAGTAAACAATGTACACAAAAGGTGTTTTAAGAAGGAATCTTTGTGTGATCCCAATTTAGAGGCAAAAAACCTGTTACAATTAAAACTAGGTAATGTTTTCTTTAAAAGGGAAGTCAGAACTTTAAAACGGTATGTTCATTTTTTGTGGTGAAGTACAGGACAGCGGCACTTCATTTTTGGGATCAGGTTAGGGACTATATGGGCCATAATCTGGGTACCTGTATAGTGTCTAAAATATGAAAGATGCTTTTGAAACACATTATCACGTTTTGGGTGATTTATTAATTCAATGGGTGTGTTTTCGAAGAGATCCATCGACAACCCAACCTTACTGATATAACATTTTTTCAATTCGCATGTTTGATCGAATGCCATACTTACCGACACCCTGTTTTACTAAACTTGGGCGACATTTACTGCTCGGCATTATGCAAGGTAAGTGTGTGACTTCTCTTGTACTTCTCTCTCCATCTTTATTTTGCATATAATATGATGGAACTGACATGCTTGATGGGCATCTTCTTCGGACATATTTTCCAGAGGCAATATCGCACCTCAAGTAAAAACATTCGTCCCGCAGTGGATCTGTCGAGAAGATATCCGAATGATCGCAGGACGCTGAAATGAAAAGTGATATTAATTTGTATGGTGTGACATGAGCGAAGCAGATTCGATCCGAAGAGATATATAAAAGCAAGTAACAAACTAGATACCAAAGTCCCTTTGACTTTTTAAAGGAGACCCATTTGTCACTCGACCATTCTCTGCATTCTGCAAGGAATAACTCATACTCGGGTTCTGGCCAAAGTGACCTTGTAACACGATAAGGCTCTTTGCACGAAGGCATTTGCAACACAAGACAGTTTCAACCTTTTTGGGGAATAATGACTACCCTAGCTACCAGTAGCCCAGATTGTAATACTTATGTTCATACATTGAATCCATAGTTAGATATAAAGGATATAAAAAGGAACTAATGGATAAAGAACCCAGTGGCGGATCCAGGAACCAACAAGGGGGGGGGCCCAAATTTGAGTTTAGAGAAAAAACCTCCGCGCTTGCACGGAAAAAAATTTTGGGCCCCTAAAACCGAAAAGTGGGCCCAAATTTTGAAAAATTGACCAAAAGGCCCACTTTTTGGGGCCTTATGGCCTAAAATTTTTTTGGGCCCAACTTTTTTTCTTTCTGGGCCAACCTTAGGGGGGGGAGCGGGCCCAATGCCCCCCCCGGATCCGCCATAGAAACCCATAGAGAATAGAAAAATTAAAGGGAAACTTTTTTTTATAAAAAAGACTCAATAACGTATTCTAAAGTCTTTAAAATGCACATGAATTTTTGTCAAGACAAAGACAAAACAAGTTAATCCCAGGGTTCCTAATTTCAAGGAGTGAATTATATTATTGCAAATGAAGAAATACGAGTTGTGTCACTCGTGTAAATTAGAATTTGGCATTATATTAAACTTACGTAAGTCAAGCGGTTTTTCCACTGCATATGACACATCATCCTCAAATACAGTATTATTTAGAGCTAGTCTTTCGTTTGATTTTGGCAACACTGATCCGGTCGTCAGTATTGCTTCTGTACGTGCTTTTATTGAGGTTCTGTTTCGTCTTTTGATAAGATTCTTAATCGCTCTATTGCCAAGCAATCCACTTTGTATCATATCAAACGAGGAAAGGATTACTATGCCAACAGTCAAACATGTAGTCAAATACCGCCCAAGCATTATTATTTTTGAAAAATGTCTGAATAACACTATATAATGCGTGTGATGCCCTATCTATATCTCCTTTTAAGTCGTATATAAATGAATATTCAGTTTATATATGGTGTTTGAAGTCTCTGAAATAGCACCAGCAATATCCAATCAAAGTGTTAATGCCCGGAACATAGTGGTGTTAATGTCATCCTCGCGCGTTTGAGCAATTTAAAAGTACTTCTAAAATATTTGTATTTCGTAGGAGAAAACCACATTTTCAAGACAAAACTAATTTCCTGCTGTTTATCGATAAGTATTCATTTGAGTTATGTTTAGTATCTGGATTGTTAAGTAATTTTGCTGTTTGTTTTTAAGGCTATAAGCAACGTAATAATTTACTTCTAATATGATTTAAAATTCCATAAATAAGCATGCTCTTTGGTTCGAACCATCTTATGATTTCAGATAGTCTAGTACATATGTATGTCGGACCATATTGTCATATGATATTTTGCATGGATGTTGTACCAGATTCCGAAATTATTCTTCAATGGTCAAAATTACAGCCAAGAAATAGTGAAAACATATTGAAAACATATTATTGTACCTTGATTGTTCCAATTACTAGACATCGACATTTGAAAGGGTACCAGTGATAATGATAGATGTTAATATGTTGTCCTGTACTGGACAAATATTTGAATGATTAACACAGTTATGATATAAAAATATAAAATAGCATTATATAAATACAATTTTCTCGGCTCAGAATATTGCACAAACGGTATCATTTGAAAGTTTATCAGGTCTTTAAAATTTGTATTACGTCTTAGTTTTGCATGTATATTAATATTAACTGTAGAAGTGTACACGAAGTTTGAAATATTGTAAACTAAATTAGTTCAATATATACATATCTCACCATATTGCGGTAAGTATTTTCATGTACTGTATAATGAGGAAATGCACATTTTAATAGATATGCTACGCTTTCAATGATACTATTTTTGAAAAATTACATCTTGTTCTGAAGGAAAGATCGACCTGAAAAAGTATGATACAACTAATTAAAAATGTGAGACGACTTTTCCAGAGTTTTTTTAAGAGACGTGAATATCATGAGATAAAAAGCTTATTTACTTATTTATTTGAATATGGGTGTGTTCCTCGTGACAATATGATTTCTGGTTCGAGATTAAATATCATATTGTCCCTCGAAACAACCCGTATTGAGTCCCTCCCAGTAAATAACCTCTATATATTTCCAGAACGGGGTTTAAAACCAATGAAGACATCGTATTGTCATATTGCAGATTTAGCAATTTCGCTAATTTACAAAAATATTGATTCATTTTCAATGCACGGGAGAACTTAGAGACAATCTGGTATTTTGATCATTACATATTTTTCTTATCATTTTCAATGCTTAAGCATTGATGTCACATTTGATCGATCTTATTTCCCCAAAATATATAAACAAGGGAAGGGGTGGCATTTATTGTAAGGGCCATAATTAAGCCCTTACAAATGCACAATTAATCAAGAACAATAATTCAATTAAGTGAACACGCAAATACACTTATACTCTATGTCTATTCATTTGTTGTATTAAGAATCACGACTGGTAGAAATGTAAAACTTATACGGTCACGAGATAGATGTACAGATTAATTAAATTCAATGTGATCAAATAATTCCCAGGTTAATCAATTTGTTTAAAGCAGAATTCATGCTTTGTAATTGCAGACTAATTGTACATGCATTTAATTCGTTGTACAATGAGTGACAATTTATTATCCGATGTTTAATTCATCTTTATCTTGAGTTACGTGTTGACGGTAAAAGATTTCCTCATTTGAAATTCATTGGTCAATTTCTAACATTTCTATTTCGGGTTTAGCATTAGTGGACGTAACTTGATGAACTGTACATGTTCTTCCGTTACCTGATATTTAAAGCTCATTGTTGACCCATTTTTATGTCATGGTTGATGTCATTCGCCAATCCTGTGATACTGTCCCAAAATTGCTTCGTTTTATCTCTTTCGCCGAAAAGCATATACACCTGGTTTGAATTAACAAGAGGATATATAAATTAGGATGATCCGTGTTTTATCTAGTTATGTAAATCTCGAGGCTCAAGTTGAATTTCGTTCCTCTTAGCTGAATGTTTCCTTATTAACCTATCGGACAAAGTTCGGGATAATATACAGGGCGTATAAAAAAACGCAACAAGTAGTTATCTCGTAAAATCACAAAACTAGTGATGACTACATCGATTTCTTTCAATGTGCCATGAAGCCACATCCCTCTTCTGTAAAATGCGATGTCATCTATTCACATTTGGTCATGGTTGGATGAGAAATCCTTCCATTTGCCCAGTGGGTCAAAGTCGGCTCTGGACCAAGTTTCAGATAATACAAAAGTCAGTGCAATGGCTAAGTGCTAATGGAAGTCCTCACCTGGCTTTTTTATTTTGGAGCTATCTTAGGAGCAGATAGTTAACCGTTTCTCCATCAGGTATTGCAAAACTTCGAGAAAGAATTGCCTTGATGGGCTCCTGTTCTCTGCCTTAACCCACAGATGACTCAGGACAGGAGAGATGAGCGCATCTTTGTTTGCAAAGCAGTGGTGGCCATTTGGAGGGCTAAAGGATGTATTCTCGCAAGAGAACTTGGCTCCGAGCTAAATTTTGCCCCACTTTGCAAAATTAATGATTAATGATTATTATCCATGACTCCGTGTGAATGAATGACATTCAATTGCAAATAGGAGTAATTTGGCTTTTTGGTACATTGAATGAAAAGGATGCAGTCATCGTTGGTTTTATGTTTTCTTCCAATATTGCATCAGGCCCAGAACACTGTCTTTCACGATGTTTATAACTTGATCCCAGGCTAATTTTGGCCCACTTTGCGAAAAGAATGATTACTCGCCCAACCATGACCCAATATCAGCGAATGATATGCCATTGGAAAGAGGAGACACATGGCTTTATGGTGCATTGCATGAAATCAATGCTGTTATCACTGCTTTTGTGCTTTTCCGAGATTACAATTTGTTGCGTTTTGGATACGCACATAGCGAACTGTTCCACCCGTCTATCCCTTAATACGTTCGTCCGTCCATCCGGACAATAACGCAAATGCCGTTGGAGCAATGTCGTTTATATTATATAGTGTACATGCCAAAAATGAGTACCGGTATATGTTTTGCTTGAAAGTTGAACTTCATAATGGCCAGCAGTTTCAAAATGGCCACCATTTTAGTGTCACTTTTAATTATTTTAGGTACAATGTATAAAACTGTATTGTATCAATGGCTGCTTGAATGAGATTCGTTACGTTTAAATGGTGTTGCTGTTATTAGTTTAATGTTAATGATATATTCATAAAAAATGTTAAAATTCCTGTTTTAGAGTTGTACTTACTTCTGCAGTATCCTGCTAATACGCCCATCCGAACTAGTCAAAATATGTGGATGCAGTCATGTACATAAATTGTATCGTAAGTGCACGCGTATATATTATAGGGAATCGGGTCATTGCAAAAATCTAATGACAAATCGAGGTAAGTGATTTCAGAGTTCCTTCTAAACATTGAGTCTTGGAATATTGCATACATATTAAATATAAATATAGTATGACAATATAGGAAGGTTTCATCTACTACATTCCTGTAATAGAGAACATATTTGAACAAAACGTCGTAAACGTAAACATATATGTATACAACGGACGCCAATATGTATCATTTGGATCCAGAACGGTAACATACGGATGCTATCATAAACTATACATTTATCATGGTGATTTATTTACAGAAGAACAACTGGCCAGATTCCCTGTGTATCCATTGCTTGGATAAACATTCATTCAGTGGAGCAATTGACCGCACCCTTACAAGACACCGTTATTAAGAATTGGAAATTAATAGACTAGAAATAAATACACCGACCGGAAAATGCTATTATAGAAGAAAAACTATGGTTTCATCCCTCATACTGTAAACTTGACAAATAGTTCTATGTAATATAATGATGATGATCAAGAGAATTCAGAGCCAGTCAATCGAGAGAATTCAGAGCCACAAACTCATCAACCCACTGTTTTACCCAACGATCATGTTCCAGAGCCACTGACATTCCTTGACAGCGACGATGAGCAATCAACAGATGGACCATCCGTATATCTCGATGATTTTGTAAGCTCAGCTGAACGACCCTACAGATTCCTTCTAATATATTATTCAAATTCAAGAATTATAATATTATAGATTTACAATTTTTCTGAAATAGTGGTAAGTGGAATCTTTTCAATTACCGATATAGCAGTGTTATTTTTTTGCCACTGTGGATTATTTCACCACTCCATGTGCCCAACAAGTTAGATACCGAAAGGAAACTAAATATTTCGGTTCATGGGCTTTCTTCTGTTTCATTGGACGTTTTTGAAGTAGACTTCATTCATGTATACCTTTCATTCTTATGTTAATAAAAATGGTCCCGGTCAACGCAGGCTTCGATAAAAGTTTTGCAGTAGCACTTTGGTGGAGAAGGCAATTGATATAATATTTCTTGGTTTAAACATTCTGATTAAGGATTGCTTTATTACACACTTACACGTGTGCTAATCTTGTTTAATGATAATTTTGAATAATATTGTCGGAACTCTGGTCGATTTAGAAACTACCACTTTACTTTCTTGTCCATCATCTAAGACATTTTAAATTGAAATTCCTATTAGACCTAGTAAACATATGTAGATTTTACACATGATTGTATCACCAGGTATCAAGTGCGCACCATATACTACTGTAAATTTCATTTTTGTAGTTATTTCTTCCCATTGTATCTGATGAGAGCGTTTAAGAAATACATGTAAAATATTAAAAATACAAAAATTCAAAGTAATCCAATTATAACCTAGTCAGTCTGATAATTGAATCCAATAATAACGTCCCCTGATCCAAATGATACATCATAATTAAATTGCTTTTTTAAAACGGATATTTCATACCATAACACAAAAAATAATATAAAACGCCCTGGATTTGTATTTTACTTAACACAGACATATTTGGATACGTGAAATAATTATATTACTTGCATTTTTTAAATTATTCTCCATAAGGTTACCCTATGGCAAATTATACATACCTTCTCACCGCTGTGAAAGAGATGATGAAATTGGTCAAGTGAACTCGTTTGAGTCATCTATTCGCCGTAAAATATCACCGAATGTGTGTCTATATGGTAGCTTTGGTTGGGTGAATCAATGAAGTATGATATCCACGGATGAGTAAATATAGATTATTTAAACAAAAGTGCAAAATATTTCCATTGATGAAAAGTACAGAGGCGGGCACTTACGATACATTACATGTACATGACTGCATCCACATATTTCGACTAGGCGCAGTGTTAATCTGAGGGAAATTATCTTTTGATGCCCGGTTGTTCTGGACTACCAATGAATATAAGTACTACTCTTGCCAAGTATTTCGAGTTAACTTAGTTCATCAAATTAACTTGTTTGATGTCTACGTTGTCTGTTTGATCATGTTGTTTTTCTTTATTCGAAACACAGCTGCTTAAATTATTTCATGAAACAACTTATATTCATGGATACAGTATGTAACTCGGTAAGAATACTCTGGGCTCCTTAAAATGGATATTTTCTTTCCAAGTGCCTTCTACAACTATCTTCGTGTTTCTGTTGGTCAATTACCACCATGTTGAGGAATCTGCAGCTGCCACCACTACAAGACAGACGTACTTTGACGAGAGTAGTCATGCTTTACCAGATAGTCCACCATAAGGAAGCCATTCCACCAGCGGCATACCTTGAGCCAGTAGGGTATGTGACCATTGGTCACAACCTACGCTACCGTGTCCCTTCCTCAAGAGTAGATTTACATCTTTACTCATTTTTCCCTGCAACCATACGACTATGGAACCAATGTAGCCATGATCGATTCCCTGGACATTTTTAAGAAGGAGGCAGGGAGTGTGCTGCTTTTGTATTAAGTGATGACGATTTTAAAACGATTTTAGAAATGTTAATGCAAATTCACCCTACAATTGTATATACACCGCACGCAAGCACATATAGTACGAAATATCCTCAAGAGGAGTCTGTACTGTAAAAGGAGAAGAAGAAGAAGAAGATGAAGAAGAAGAAGAAGAAGAAGAAGATTTGAGATGTATTCATTCTGCTAATTTTCATTTAATGTATAACCCGAGCCATAAATACATGCAGGTGAGTGTTTCCTTTTTAAAATGGTTTAAACTTAATTTACAAAGATGGCTATTTATGGCTATTCTGTTTGCGAATGATGATAGACATTAAAGATTCTATCAAAAGGTATTATGCCATACACATGCCATACATTATGGCATATTTATTGCCTCGAATATGCCATACATGTATATCTATATTTATTGGCGTTTAATAAGTATTTAATGCACTTAAAATAAGTATACGTATACATAATTTATTGTACTGGAATAATATTTGTATATCTGATTAGACTGATTTTTCCCTTTCAATCAAAAGGTTCCTTTTGGTTGTAACACAATTAAATATCGAGTGATTGTGAAATATTACTAAAAAACAGAATATGTTTTCCTGTGATATAACCAATCCGAGATATAGAATGTGTTCACATAAAATCGGGATAAAGCAGAGCATTGTTGTGCAATTGCCTTATCCTATGGAGATCGTAGCAAGTTCACAATCATTTTCATTTTCTAAAACCCTCATTTGTAGTTGTATGTGTGTAAACAATTAATAGACAAACTGGCTATACAATAATAATGTATGTTAATGTTAGGCAACAAAATAAAATATATTTTTGATTTGTCTTTAATGTCTAAATTATCTTTTAGTCAATATTTTCCTTAGAGAAAATACTAGGTGACGTTTATACAATTAATTCTTGTTCGTGATATATTGTCGGATAACCAGTCTTACAATGTCATCACTGATCCAAGTACACATCTGAAAATGCAATTTCAGTTAAGCTCAATATGTTAAAAACATATAAAACATAATATAAATTAGATGTCTCCGTTCAACAATTATTCCTTGTTTAAGTTGACAACATGAAATTCATATTGTTTGATTCCTATGAGCAATGTCATATGCAGTAGTTCTAGCATTTTATGTATTCGATTAGGTTCAAAATGCATACCTTCGTCGACGACTTTAATTCTCTACAGCTGAAATGCAGAATTAATTATACATTAACTGACGTAGTTCAAAATTTAGATTTTTTTGTTAATGTAGGTTACCTAGCAAGGTATGTAGAAAAAGTATGACGCACTACGATATAAATTAGCAACTTTTAAAAGAACTTTGCTTTTAAGAGTTGTATTTGCATGTTCTGTATTATATTGAATTTTCATCCTTATGAATATAATTACAGTTTTCATTAAATCTTAATCTACCAAAGAGAGCCATCTAGAATGAGACGATGGAAATACATAAATACTTGCGCAAGCGCCAAAAGGAACAAGACAAAGTGAACACAGTACAGACACTTCATCAATGTTCCAGTGCATGCGCTTCACTAAAATATATACTTACTGCACACTTGATCTGCAAGGAATGCAATCTTCCGTGTAAGTGTTTTAAATTCCATTTTAAAAACATTTTCTGGCGTTGAAGCGATGGCAATCCATTCCTCATCTCCTATGTAAACATTGCGTTTATTCAATTCAACTTGTCGCTGATTTGGCATTCCCATTACAAAAGTCAATAGGTTCATTTTCTTTAAATTCCCAGCTTCCAAAAATGTGAGGTTTTGATTTTCAACTGGAACAGTAACACCGTCACTCAAAACAAATAATATATTCGGTTTATCGTCACGATCGCCTCCCTTTGGTGTGAAATAATCTTTTCTGACTGACTCTAGTGCCAAATAAGTCGATGTCCCGCAATCTCTACGTAAGCTTCGCCCAGGTTCTAGTAACAGATTCATTCGTTTGACAGCTCGTTTATATTGGAATTTAGTTCGAGTCTCATTTAGAAATGTAACGTGAAATATTTTTTTGGCAAAGGATACAATTCCTATCCTTGTGCTAAGCGGTCCTACTGCGATCACATCTGCCACTTTAGACAAGAAATTTTGCATTTGCAATTTGTTTTCATCAGTAATAGAGCATGATACATCCACTGCGAATACGACATCGATTCCACAAGCCAGGACGACGGGCCTCTCTACAAGCATAAACCATTATGTACTTTGAGGTTATATAATGGTTGATTCTGTATATTGTGTTTTTACTCAAGAGAGTATATGATATATTCATTAGTGACCGAAGGGAAAGAGTGAATACATCATATACTCACGAGAGTATAACGATATACAGAATCAACCATTATATGATCTTATTATCATACCATACGTGCTTTTTAAAAAGCTTTATATGGCGATCAATAAAAAGTAAATCTAAATTGAGCAGTTGTATATCAAGTCGAAGAGTTGTATACGCTGCCCAGGAGTTGTATACGCCATCCAGGAGTTGTATATCGTTCCCGAGAGTTGTATACGATGAGTGAAGGTTTTATATTGCAGTTATACGAATGCTATTATACAATCATATAAAGCACTTGGGGTGGGATAACACATGGTATATGTATTCTATGATAATATAATAATTCTGCGAGCAGCTTTAGCAAAATGTACATTTTGCATTATTAGTAACCCCGTAGAAATACTCGATTCTGATGGTTAATCAGTCGAGGGCATTTTGCTCAGATCTACTTGCGTTTCGCACTTCGATCTAGACAAGTTGATAAAAATATGAAAATGAATTTGCAAAGATGAAAATGCTTATTCAAACATATCTTTATGTTGACAAGGGTTTAGAAAAGTTCTTCTACTAAAGAGTGAGACAAAGTATTTTGATATCGATGACATTTAATGAGTACCATTTTGTTGCCAATATGACGACAAAATTCCTTTACCTGATACCTTTTAAGTGACTGACACCTAATGCCCACTCCCTGCATTTGCTTGAATATGAATATTTTAAGCTCTTAAAGTGACAGACAACGAACATATCTGACAGATGCTGTTACTTCTGTTGTGAATCTAAGTTAGTCTGACAAATATTTGGTATTGTCCAAACATTAAGATATTAGCTATACACATTTCCAATTTTTCTAATTTTTCATTATTTTGAGAAATGAAACTAACTCAATGTTGTATTTAAATGATTGCTACGTACATACAGATTCTACATATAGATTCTTAAGCATGTCTAATTTGTAAGATCAATGTATTGGTTTAAGCATGAGGATACACATATTTGACAAATGTTTAAACATAATAAAAATTATTCCATTTTATGAGTAAAAAACAACCCCCATTTGGACTGGGAATACTGTATAAGTGATATTTAATCCGAGTGGTTAATTTGCCGAATGGTCAAACTTTATCAATTTCCTAATTTTAATTTTCCTAATGACAAGAAACTTCCCATTGGATAGCATTATAAAGACAATATTTCCGACATTTAATTTTCCGAGCCTGGCAAAAATTAGGCAATAGGCAAATTAAATGATTAGGCAAAATTACCACTTATACAGTATCTACGCAACTGATACATCACGTTTATATGTTATGCACAAGGTTTATACAAGCCGCAAAAAACACAATAAGCCACCATTAAAGTTGTGTTAAAGAAAAAGCTATCAATGTTTTAATGATATATTCTATGATCATTATACCCGATGTGTTGGCAACATAATATTACACATTAAAAGTCGTTGATAGCACCACGCATGTCGCAATGCTTAGTACAATGGCGACATTGGGATATGTCAGCTATCGTAAACAGGGTATTATTTATCACCACCAATGACAGTACCAATACAATGATTGTACTACGTTGGCGAATCAAGAATTTACTTACCCACACCCTGATCGAAGTAGCTAGGGCGACAGTCTCTGTTTGGCATTATACAAGGTACATGTTGATGTTCTGTCGTTCCATTTGTTCCATCTTTATTTTGCATGTAATATTTTGGAACTGACATGCTTGATGGACACTTTCTCCGAACATATTTTCCCGAGTGAAGATCACAGCTCATGTAATAGCATTTGTCCTGCAATGAGTCAGTTGAATAGGTATCCGAGTCCCGGCATGTATCTACATTGAAGAAGAAAACACAATTTTCGACAACATATTTTACGCATCGCCTGTTATTTCCATCAATGACAGTGTAAAACGTTTGCCGTCAACATGAGTAAATGAGTAAAAGAGTTAGTTTAAAGTTTAATATAGTTTATTTTTTGTGTCACAAGCAATAATATTAAAATACATTTAAAACACTTTTTTTAAAAAACATTGCTTCTAGCCGATGCCGGCTTATGAGACACCAAGTTGATACATGTGTGGGTAATATTAAAATTCCCATGTGAAAATTGCTAAATGCACAATAAGACAGTGATAAAGACCATAATTTTTGTATACTGAGTTCACTGTTTACTTCCACTTACTAAGAGGAGACATCTTCCCCAAGGTTGATGTTCCTGGGAGCAAATGGAAAGAGAAACCTTGCTTAATCAGTGACATAAGGGCCCTCTGGTTGGCCCAATACCCTCCTGAGGGGTCCCCCATATCACAGTGGATCTACAGGTTTGCATCTTGTATATATTTTGGCAGTATCACAGTTCTAAATAGTATGTAAAAGTGCTGTAAAGTGGCACAATCAATATCATATGGCCTTTATCCCCAGACAAGCAAGTTATGTATAATTGAATATCAACAAATAGAATACAGTATGAGAAAATATACATTATAATTTGTTGTTATGGAATTATCTCAAATAGAGGTACTGTTAAAGTCTTTCTAGATCAAAGTTTCTTTTACTGAACATCTTAAATAATGTACTTGCAAAAGCTCTCTGTATACAGGGCGTGTGCATAAGTCTAGTATACAGCAGAATATGATCATTTGAACCAGTATCAATGCTAGGGGCCAGCTTATTAACAATAGCCAGAAATTTTTTTCTCAAAACATTGTAGTGAGAGCATTTGAGAGTGAAGTGTATCTCGTCCTCAATCTCATTAGAGTCACATAAAGCACATTTTCGATCCTCAAGAGGTGTATTGGTATAACGGCCAGTTTCAATGTGTAGTTTCAATGTTCCAGTTCTCAGTTTTGCAAGAATACTTCTATGATGGCGTGGCATAAACATTTCAATGTATGCTTCAGTTGATGCACCATATTTAAATTGGCGATATGTTCTCAGTTTATTGCCATTAGTTTCATTATTTTTATCATTCCAGATATTTCGAAGAAAAGGATCAGTAGTCTGTAGGTGATTTTTAATAGCTTTGATACATGGTTTTATCTCAATGTACTGATTATTCAAAAGTATACCACAAGATCTAATGAAATGTTTAGTACGAGAATTCCAACTTGATTTCCTTCGTAACGACTATATATGTATCCGATTATTTAATCTGGTATTTTCCATATTGTGGAGTCGCAGATATAGTCGGGCACATTCCAATTTTTGTTTGTGGATAGGGGGGCTCCAGCCCATGTCCCCTCTGGCTCCTTCATTGCTCGTCTTTTGGCCTACTCCTAGGAATATTTTTGTTGCTTTATTTTGTACATTATTGATACAACGATGCTCATTAAGACCAATAATTGAGGTACCATAGTTGATGATTGGTTGGACTATTGTATCATATAGCTTAGTATAAACTGCATAGTCCATTCCACCTGCAGCTTTGAATTTACATGTTAACACTGCCAGGGCACGACTAGCTGACTTTGCTATTTCTTTTGCTGTGATCTTAGCATCAACATGTTCACTTAGCCAGACACCAAGGTACTTGTAGGAGTTTGCATAGTCAAGTGTTTTTGGGCCACATTTGAATACATGATCTGATCGGGGCCTCGCAGCAGGGCGGTAGTGAACAATTTTGGATTTTTTCTTGCTGACTGTGAGTCGCCATTTTCGACACCATATGTAGAGGGCATTCAGCATACGTTGTAGGTCCTCTGCAGTCCCAGAGATGAGGGCTATGTCATCGGCATAGAGTAAAATGCTAACCACTTCATCTCCGACTTGAACACCACATCCGAGTTGTTTGATAATGTTCGCTATCTCATCAACGTAGATCGAAAATAATGTCGGACTCAATGCTTCGAGCCATTGCTGACAGAAAACCATGGAGTTAAATGTCCATTGACACGGATTGAGCATGTGACATCTTGGTAAAGAGACCTTATCGCATCGAAGATTTTACCTTTAACACCAATTCTAATTTGTCAAACGCTTTGACTGCGTCCACATAGCAAACAAAAGTGTCGAGCTTAGATACTTTACGGTTGTTAATGATACTATGAAGACTTTGAACATGGTCGAGACATCCTCTTTTTGGTCGGAAGCCATTTTGTTCATCACTGAGTTTACCATTGGTTTCCAAAAAAGTTACAAGTCTTTTATTCAATATATCACAGTAGATTTTACATGGTACAGAGATTAAGGGGTCTGTTTGGTCACCATCTTTGTATATAGGGTTGATAATTCCTTTCATCCATTGGCTAGGCACAACTCCACTGTTGAAACAGTCCAGTATTAGGTGATGCAATAATTTGATACATGTTGGGTTTTTGAGAGCTTCAGCAGATATATTGTCTATGCCTGCGGCTTTACGGATCTTAGTACGATTGACAGCCTGCGTCACTTCCTCTAGTGATATACATTGATTAAGGGAGCTGTCTGGATCAGAATCAGTTGGATCAATTTCATTAACTTCTTGTTTGACTTGTTCCAAGTGTTGGTCATCAAAGCTGCTGGATTCTGTATTTTCACTAAAGAGGGTGGAGTAAGTGGATGCCCAGTGACTCAGTACATAGTCTTTATCAGTGTGACTGGCTCCATGGTGTATAAATGCTTTTAAAACACTATGACCGTTACTGTTATAAATCTTAATGTATTAAAATGATTTATGTCAATTAAGAGTAAAAGGATCTCAATGTTTCTGAAATATTTTTGATTTTTGGTTAACGATGTGATTCTAGCTTTTGCATTTTACAATTTAAAAGTAATAATCATATCACCAAATAAAAAAAAAATATATAGGAGTGTAGAACAATTAACACTTACGCAAGTCAAGAAATTCAGATGCTACTTCATCCCGTACTATACCGTCATTCTGTGGTAGAGTTTCGTTTTGTGCTGCTGGTGCCATCTCTGTTATTGCTGCTGGTGCCGTTGTTGTGTTAGATTGAGTCGGTGTGTGCGTTGTTGATTTTTTGGGGATCTTAAATTTGTCGTTGTTTTTTAAACCACATTGTACTGTGTTAAGCAATGCAAGAAGTACAAGGCAAATTGTAAAACGTATACTGTACGGCATTTTCTAACGCTTGATGTAAAATATCAAATGTGATATTCAACTAATATTTACCAGTCGTAACGACCCCGTTTTGTAGCTTTTGCCTATTCTAACTTCCAGTGAGCCGATTGAACAAGAATACTTAATCTATAAACATTGTTCTTTAAAACGACATCAGCAATTATTATTGAATAATAAATGTATTGAAAATGAAAATGATCAGTCAGATGAATATCGTTGACAAATAAATTTTTCTCTTGAACTCTACAGGGTGTTCCGTGAGTAATACAATGTGCTCTAAGATCTTACAAAGGCCGATCAAAAAGGTTTCTTACCATTGACTCTAGATTTTATATTATTAGAAGAGTTGCAAGCTCAAACATTAACATAGGACAGGATAGTTAGTTTGCTTGAAACTGTACGTTCATTGATCGTGACACAGAGTCGATACATATTTCCAATGACTAAGTTTGGTGGAGCAGCGTTTTATATAAAATATATGTTACGCGGTAAACACGATACAAATATATGTCATATCCCACAACGACTATGACATATTCACTCGCGGTGTATGCCAGATTCACCTGTGGTATATAGCATACACACTAACCAATGAGAATGCGATACGGAAGTACACCGTTGTCAATTAAATCGATTCAACGAACGTGCTAAATTATTATTATGTTACGCGAAAAACACACTTCAAGGAAAACATTATATTGCATAAATAAACAAACCTACATTCGTGAAGCTTATAGGTGACTTTTATGACCAAATCAAAACTTTTAAAATTACAAGTATTTATATATTGTTGTATTGGCAATCACGATTTACACATTCCAAATACTTTCAGGAGTATCATTCACTAATAACATGTAATAAACGTACTTAATCAATCCAGGAGGCTTTCTGTATCGCGTTTCATCTGCGGTATATGGCATATTCCGCAGTTGAGTGTGCCATATTCCGCAGGAGAGTATAACATATTCCGCAGTGAGATATCTGGTATTCACTGAATTCAACGTATCGCATATTACTGCAGAATATACCATACTCACATGTGGAATATGCCATATACCGCAGGTGAGTATGGCATGTTCACCCACATCACAAATATCGCACAAATGAATATATGCCATATTCCGGAAGTACGCAATGGTCAATTACATCCATTCAGCGAACGGGTCAAATTCTATAAATTGTTATAATGATTACTGGATCAACAGGTCAGTGGATTGATTATATGAACTAATACAATTGAATAACATACACCAGCGGCACCTGTATTGTTTCATGTTGTTTTATATATGTGTCAAAAACACACTTCAAGGGAGACATTATTACACATGAATAATCGAACCTACGTTCGTGAAGCTTATGGGTGACTTTTACAACCGAATCAACAGTTTACAAAGACCGGATAAAATCCTGAAGAACACGAGTATTTGATCACGGTTTATATGTTACTGATACTTTCAGAAGTATCATTTGCCAATCACACGTAAAAAACTTACTCAATCATTCCAGGATTCATAGTTTATTGCTCGAAGCGATAAAAACAATGGTATTAAATTGTAGTTTTACATTTAGTCTTGCTTATCTAAACCAATCAAATCAAGGCAATGTTGTATGGAGTTCATCGAGCGCTAAATGCCATATTCCGAAACGTGTATGTCATATTCTCCGAGTGAATATGTAATATTAGTCATTATGAGGTATTCACTATATCATCTTTAAATGCGGAATATGCCATACTCCCTTGTGGAATATGTCAGATACCGCAGGTGAGTATACCATATTCACTTGTATCACAAATACCGCGCAACAATAAATGTATGCTATTTACCGCGTAACATCTTTCACTTGTCATGACATTGTTCAGCAAAATGCAAACTGAATCAGTAATCTATCAAATAAAAAATATTTTGACGAATTATTCCGTCATCCATGAACGCCATGATCCAACCGTAATTTACAAGTTTCTAGTGCTAAAATGTGCGATAACGTGAACACCATTCTGATACTCATCACATCTTCCTGTCTTCAACCAGAAATATCATACTAGTGTGAAGCTAATAGAAGGCCATACTTTCTCATGATGCGTGGGCACCGTAATGGCTAATGGACAATTCACGTCATGATCAGTGGGCCCAAAGCGGGAATACATATTCTTCATGTTCAGAGTCCCTATGTCATTTATGGTTGGTGTGGTGGGAATGTCGAGGAACCGTGCGCTCGTGTGTTCAACATGTATGAGCTTCTTGCGTTTATTTAATGATGATCATCGTATTAGATTTCAGTATCGGACTGGTTATAACCGCTTTTGGTGCTTAAGTCTAGACGGCCGTGATTTATCATATTCAATTATTTCCTATTTTGCCAATATGTAGTCAAATTATATTTTGGCTGTGAAGAAGACGCTATTTAAACATGTGCAACATGTGCCCCGGCGTTTCGGACACCATGTACTGTAATGTTTTTATTTGCGTATACAACGTACGTTCTCAAACATATAAATTTCATAATAGAAAACTGCATAATCAAAATAATTTACTGTTGATCAACGGACAAAACACAGTGAGTAAATTACTAAATAGCGATTGTAAATTAATTTGTTGTTTGTTTCCAACGATATAAATTAAGCGAATAAGCTAACAAGACAAGGATATTTTTATGAAATTGCATGGTTTCTTTGAACTTGACAAAGAATTAACGACAAAATGATCTTTGTAAAAGGTTATGTAAACAGATAACCCATTGAACAATATTTACCCGATTGTAATATTAACCTATTAATAGTGGGTTACCATGTTATTTATTGTTTTCTAGTAGTCATGTTTATACCAATGATAAAACTCTACAAGACTAACCTTACTAATAATACTCGTATAATGCCCTTATGCCCTATGCTATACCGTACACAACATTCGGAGTTTGTGTAGGTTTGTGTCACTGTGTACGTTATATGTGTCGTATTTTATTATCCCCTATGATGTTGGAAATTGTCCAAAAAAGTCAAAGTCAATGCATTAGGAATGATCATCGGTGTTATAATTTGCAATAAAAAATGTTATCCTCAAACAGATATACAGTATTGCCAACGAAATTCCCTGTCCCAAATAAAGTGATTTACTATTTTTCTTCAGTTGATTTGATTTTTAAGCTAGAAAACAAAATTCCAATGAGAATTTAACATGGTGTACACAAAAATAAAGAATATGCATATATCAGGGAGTAAGTATATTTATTGCAGTTGCAATTAATACGCTATAGTGGTATGAAAACGGGTTTGTACTACAAGGGACCATCTCAAAGGTACAACTCAAGCTTTTTATAAGTACTTGAAGGGTAACATTGAATGCTCGTTTTGGTGTTGCTCACTTTTTAGGCGCAATCCCGGAATTTTACTCAAGGGTGCACAGGTTGAAGTTGCTGTGTACATCTCTGCCTGTATATGTAGGAATAGTATAGTAAATATCGCCAGGCATTTGTAAAAGAAAGATTTTTATTTTGACAAATCAATTTTACATTTTATTGGTGATGTTACGCGGTATATGGCATACATTCATGGTTGCGCGGTATTTGTGATACGGGTGAATATGCCATACTCACCTGCGGTATATGGTATATTCCGCAGGTGAGTATGCGATATTGCGCAGTGAATATGCGATACATTGATTTCAGTGAATACCCGATACTCACATGCGGAATATGTCATACTCACTTGTGGTATTTGCCATATACCGTAGGTGAATATGACATATACCGCAGGTGAAAACGTGATACGGAAAGCCTTGATTTGATTGGTTGCGAGAATCGACTCTAAATGTAAAACTACGCTGGATTACTGATATAGTTAGTGCGTCGAGTACTAATATATGAATCCTGGATTGATTGAATAAGTTTATTACGCTAGATTGGTGACTGACACTTCTGCTAAGTTAATATATTCGATACACAGTACTGTTGATTCAGTAATCATTATAATAACTTATAACGTTTTACTTGTTCGTTCAATCAATGCAATTGACAATTGCGTTTTTGTATCACGTTCTCATTGGTAAGTGTGTATGCCATATACCGCATATGAATCTGTCATATACCGCAAGTGAATATGCCATATTCGTTGCGGACAGTTGTCTTTTGTTTTAATTGTAGAACGTGACGACCAAGAGAACATTTTGAGCATGTTCTAAGTTCTAGAGGACCTACCCGTTCGAGTACGTTCGATAACGTTTGTAAATAGACCCCCAAATGGTTCTAAGTACGTCCAGTCAGTTCGTATACAGTTGAAATTGAAGCCCGTTTTCGAGAACGTAGTGAGAACTAGTTTGGTGTGATAGTAGGGTTATCCCTTGGTCACATTTGTTACGATTTTCAGTACGGCGCCCGGCCGATTGAGTATTTTGTTCAAAATTGAATACATATTTGAACAAAACACTCAATCGGCCGGGCGCCGGCCGATGGATCGGAGCAAATGTGACTCAGGCATTACCAAAGCATTACTGGCTCCGATTTATCGGGCGGCGCCCGGCCGATTGAGTATTCTGTTCATAACTGAATACATTTGTGAACAGGATACAGGATACTCAATCGGCTTGCCCGCCAATGAAATTGGAGCAAATGTGACCAAGGCATTACTATACATAATAGAAGATCCCGAAACTTCACCCATAAATGTGAAAAAATAAGTCAAAATTAGTCAAAATAAAAATCTCCCTTTTATAAATGTGTGACGATCAATAATATACTAATGCTATATAACAGTTATGCCTGGCTCACATTTGCTGAGATTCATCAAAATTGAAAATTGTATTCAGTTGTGAACAAAATACTCAATCGACCGGGCGTCATAGTGAAAATCGGAGCAAATGTGATCAACGCACAAGAGGTGTTGACACAACGACCTCGAGCCTGTGAACCCTTGAGTATTATTCCAAGATCGGACCTTAGATGCCTAGGTCACATTTGCTCCGATTCATCGGCCGGTGTCTGATCGATTGAGTATTTTTATTTTTTCAAACCCAGAAACGAGCGTTCGACGAGCGTCTCCCTTTAAGAGAAAGTGTTTGGATAAAGAAAAAACATAACACTTTAGAGCCTAAGGGGGCTATTCTCGGTTTGGAGAACGAAGTTCATCACTCTAATTGAGCCTTGTCCCTGCTTCTGAAAAAAATGATTTTTTACATAATATAGCTTTGAAAATCTTCTTTTGGATAGTTTAAAATATTTATTTAAATTGGATGATACTTATAAATTTTTCATAACACAAATTATTAGCGCAGTACACTGGTAGACTTTTTTCTCCAAATTGAGACTCGTATTCTATTGAATTGGTCTACTGCACCGTTATCCCTGCTTCGGACAATTGTGATATTTTACATCTTGTAGATTTAAATGTCTTCTTTTGAATATTCATATCAATTCTAATTTGGGTGATATTTCTATATTTTTCATAAAAATAATTCTTATAGTCCATTTGTCACCCCTATATATACTAGAGTGAACCTATGAATTGTTAAAAACACCATGTTTTATGATTAATTTATAATAACAAGGGTTTTCTGAAGTGATTTAACTGGGTTGGACAAAAAGTTAGTTTGGGGAAAAAGTATATCGGCTAATTAGGGGAGGGGTGCATTGGCTTAACATGGCGTTGACTATTGACTTAGCGTCGGAATACCACCATGTACCTGGTATGTTACCATGGTGATAGATACAAAAAATTTCCTCAACGTTAATTTTTGGGCAACCCAGCTAAATCACTCCAATAAACCCTAATGATAGTATTTGCACAGAAAAACATCATGTTTTTAAATATTCATACGTTCAAACGGACTATTAGCCCAGGAGACCAAACCGAGACTTGTCCTTTGTAAATCAAAATCATTTTACTATTGAATCACGGGATATAGTCATAAAAATAAAAAATTTTCCGAATAAATTTTGCTAGGCAACCTTAAGTCCATTCGGCAAGACTTTTCCAGAACTATTATCATCATATATAGACAACTAGTTGTGTGTGTCTGTCACTGTGGGGTACAATAAAACAACACAACATAACTTAACATGTCATTTAATATTCTTTATTTAATACAATTTTCACATTTAGCATTTACTATTTCACCGATACTTACGTGATATAGCTCAATATAATTAACCATTATATTAGAATTGATTGAAATATGTTTCATTTAGGTATTATTTACATTGATCGATTCACAGACTGTAAACTGAAGTGAATACTTCGAACTCTACTATCATAATTTCATTAAGTGTACTTTGCTTACATGCCGTGTAGAGGAACGAAGTAAATAATTCTTCAAACATTTATATTTTCAATGATTAATTGGTTAATTAAATGGTTAATTCGTCAGAATCCTTTCAATTTCTTGAAAGTTTTTTCATTGGCCAATGTGACCCAGGGGTGGTGGTTCTTATTCGGAAATCTGCTATTGATTATGCTTTTGCACTAGTAGTTTATGGTATGACTTCCGAATATGAAGGATCCGTAGCACACTATAGCGCAGCAACATTTGAAGCAATATTTATGCAGGTGTACATGTTTTGATTCTTTTAAAATACCATTTGCTGAAAAAACTTTCGGCTTTCGGGTCGAAAAATGTCTTTTTCACAAGGGGTCAAAAACGTAAATATTTTGATTCGAACTTTTATACATTTTATAAGACACAGACCGTTATTCTTAGCATACGAACAAAGATACATTTTCATAATTTAACAATATACTATTTAATTTTACCGTAGATGTCGCTTACCGCTGGATACAATCAAATTTTAGGAAGATAATGATAACGATTTTTCTCAATTATTCATGAATTTGATCAAGTCTTGATGGTTGTTTTATAAGCAACTGAGCTATATCTGACCAAGGGAAATATAATTTTAGCTATAGTCCCAATTAGTCAAGGAAGAGCAATAGGCCCGCCTTTATTGATAATTTTCACCGCTGAATAAAAGTCCATATCTCAAAACGTATTGAGACCCCTTTTGTGAAAAACTAGCATAATTTAAACATTTGTCATTCCAATATAAAAGTGATTCATTTGTAACATTTATCTTAGTAATACCTGAGAAACAATACAAAATGTCGATACACTGATTACATATTTTTGGGTATTGATAAGAAAAATAACCTCAAACTTATAGCTTAGAAACGTAAATCATATATTTAAAATCATTTTGTATTATTTTCTGTTGCATTGTGTACTCCAAATTGTGCGAAATTGGGATTTTATTTTTTGGTGATTTTTTGACCTCTGTTAATGGCAGGCATAATTCAGCCTAAAAGCCGGAAGTATATTGAAAGGTTATAATAAAAATTATTACGGGACATATGTAGGTATGTTAATGTAAGGTCAAATACCGCTGCGCTATTGTGTGCTACCAGCTCCTTTATTAGACGTCCTAGAGATTTCATACCATGGACTTTAGTATAGCTTAATTCTATTCACTGTATCCTGTTTTATTACACAAAATACGACCACCACACAGCTTACAATAAAACATATGTTTGACCTGTCAAATTTACTTATCAAGTTTTTCTATGTCAAAGGAGATGGCGAATAATTCTCACCGCTTAATATTTTGAATATGGTCTATATGTTCATGTTCATGTTCATATATTCATTCTAACGTTATTTAAAACACCTTGGTGAACGTTGATAAGTGGATACGCGCCACTGACAATATAGTAGCCCGGACAGAATTGTTAAAAGGGTGACTTTTTCTTTAACAACTTTTTTCATTTTCAGTATTATCGAAATCTGATCAAATATTTGAAAACTAAAGTAAAATTCTGACAGACGAAAAAAGTTTGTATGTTTACCGGTACTTAAAAAGGATCATGAGTTGTATGTACAGTATATTGGCAAGGCCGCAGGACTTAAAGTTTTTTGGCCATTCCATTGTTACCCATAGAGGATAAGAAGCCCTAGTTCGTTTAACCCGTGCATCATAGGGTCATACTGCCAAAGTTTTTAAAGTCTTTCCCAGTCACACGCCTCTTAACTCATCCATGGCATGCATGTGAATTGTTCTTCAGCTTTTCAACGGCCTCTTAGGAGGCCGTTTGGACCTCTTGCAAAGACTGTGGACCTATTCTCATCACAACCTGCACATTGAGGAGCCAGCTTTTTCACATCATCTTGAACATCATCTTGAACATAACCCCGAACATTTCAGTAGAGTTCATGACCCTTAGGGGAGTTTGACTTCTTGTATTTGATTATTGGTCAGTTGCTGTATACATCAGGATTGTAATGGTGGCAGCATATGCCGATCTTTAAATATTAACTTTCACCTGAACATTTAAATTCACGAAATATGACGCCATTTTGAACAAATATGAGGCAAAATGATAAATTATGTATTTGCGTCAGTCATACTATGGACGCCTGTAATATCATTACATTAAGAGAAGCTCTTTAATTATTTGTTTGTATGTCCGAATTTTACGCTTGTTTTCAAATATGTAATCAGATTTTGATAATTCTGAGAATTGAAAAAGTTACTAAGAAAAAGTGACGCTTTAACAATTCTGCCCGGGCTACTATGAATTCCATATGAAAGTGGGTGATTCGGGACTACTTTCTTGGTAAGTAAATAGATGAATGTGTGATGCGGCTCAAGTACAAAAGTCCACGTGGTCTTGATCGTGCTTCCTATGGAACATTGTCGCTTTAAGCAAGTCCAGATTCTGCATACTTTAACACCACCTCCAAATATTTGAGAACTCCGATTCCCCATTTGATAGCCTGTAAAGCATGTATATATTTTATGGTACATTTTGCTCACTCATAATTGTTTTGCAAAATGGCATTACGGTTTCTGTTATCATCGTCCAACAGAAACATGCTCTTCTAGGCCGGTCTTAAACGAGATTTGTGTTACCAAACTTTTAGAGGGTAATGCTTCACCAATTTTCATTATTTTTGTATCCATTGTCCGATAATTGTAGTGTCCAGCTTTCAACATTGTTTACGCAAATACTGAAACTTGGAAAATACTAAAAATGTATATATGACGTGCACGGACCTGGGGACAATTCGGGAAATACGGGCTAATCTCAGCTTTAAGCGTTAATATCTGGCTTATTTAAAAAGCTAACTATGTGCACTATATATCATTTTGAAGTATTTTTTAATCGCATTTCACTGAAATTATTTTTCCTCGAAAAGTGTGATGGGATCTACCATATTTTTGAAGTTAAATGTACTCCGACATCGTCAAATACGCTGTAAGGCGTAACATTTCACGCTTACATGGTTCGTTGAAATCGGTATAACTTTTGAAATACTGATCAGAATTTTACTAAAATTTCACATTTTATTCATTGAAACATGTGCTTTTATGACGTCACAATTGCCTAGCGGCTACATTTCAAATCGTCTTATATGAACGCTTTTAAGATTTTCAAAATTGTGTAAGGTTTTGAAGGCGAAGGAGGCAAGCAATAAGTTTACCTTTATTTAACCTTCTAATTTAGGTCTGATTTCAAAAAAAATTTAACTGCACAATATTGTCATGGCGAAATTTACAAAACAATAACCGATTTCTTTATTTTTCAAATAATAAGAGAATAAGAGTTGCTTTTAGAGACTTGAAAAAATGTAACGCATCGATTTTTTACCACAAATCCAATACACATCAATTTTTACTACCGCCCGAGTGGATTTCCTGACCGTTTTTCAAAAATCAAAAACATTTTAGAAATATTGTCCTCGAGATCTTGTTGCTCTGTGAATTTTACCAGGATTGAATAAGAATAAAGCATCTTATTTTTAGGTTGACTAAACTTGACAAAATGTAACGCTTGTCGTTTTTGACGTTATAATGCTGATTGCGCCCTATACTGCCCATTGTATTGTTTTTGGTATTTTGACGCCACAATGTTACTCTAATTGTCCCCAGTTTCGTGCGACGTGTAATACACTTTGATATGGCATAGTTCATCTACTTAAATAATTAGCATCTGTAAGATACAGGTCATTATTATAAACATCAATTACTTAATGCAGAAAACTTTACGGTTTAATATTCTAAAGGAGTAAAAGAATGAATGGCTCTAAAGTAGATCATTTCAGGTTAATAATTACGAATATTCGAAAAATAGATTGCACATTTTGATTCCAAGAAAACATAAGAAGTGTGTACATACCATCGAAGGGGTCGTCATGTCTCCTCCGCTGAAACGCATGAGAAAAATATTATAAAACATTTCCAACCATTAGGGTAGGTTGAAAACATAACTATGCGTTCTTTTACACACGTTATACCTTGTATAGATAACTACGGTTTTGATGTACTGTTTTCTTTTTATCCGTATGGTTGATAAACAATTTTTGATTGATTTTGATTATCCCACGCTTTGAATTACTGTGTTTTTCTTAAGTGACCAAGCTTTTAAAACGTATACTTACTACACACTTGATCGGCAATAAGTGCAATCTTTCGAGACATTGTTTTGAATTCCATCTTGAAAACATTTTCTGGCGCCGAAGCGATGGCGTACCACTCCTCATCTCCTATGTATATATTGCGCCTACCCAAATCCAATTGTCGCTGATTTGGTAATCCCATTACGTAAGATGGTATATTCATATCCCTAATCATTTGAGCCTCAGAAAGGGTCTTATTTTTGTTTTCTTTAGGTACTGTCAAGCCATCACTTAAAACTACTAATATGTTTTGTTTATCTGGCCTGTCACCTCCCCTTGGTGTGAAATATTCAAGCCTGACGGACCTTAACGCCTCATTAGTTGCCGTCCCGCAGTCTCGACGTAAATTCCTTCCTGGTTCTAGGACCATATTCATTTGGTTAACAGTCCGTTTGTAATGGAATTTATTTTGAGTGTTATTTAAAAGGGCAACGTGGAATATCTGCTTCGCGAAAGCTATGATTCCTATTCGTGTGCTTACTGGTCCTATTGTGATAACATCAGCAATGCTCATCAGAAAATTCTGGATTTGTCTCTTATTTGAATCGGTAATAGAACACGACACGTCTACAGCGAAAACAATATCAATTCCACATTTCCGTATAACAGGGCGTTCTAAAACACAAGCATTACTAAATGTAGCATCGGTGGAATGTTAAATTCATATCAATGTATTATGTTACTAAACTTAAACATACTCTTGAAGCATTATGGATGAATAAACATAAGAAAAACAAAATTGCAATAGACATCTTTCTTTCTTCCAAATGATCACTATGAATTTATATTTGTTTACATTATCATATTATTTAGTTAAACGATATCCTTGGTATTTTGTTTTTTATTTAGTAGATGGGATTATGTCATTGCGAATTAATGTAGATTCAAAGAGGTCGCAGTTTTCAATTCATCTATTACAGGCGGAAAACCGATTCGCCTCCTAACGGATAAATTAGCATATTTACCAATAACAGGCTTTTGACCTCGACATTTTGAGCTCGGTTTTATGCAAGGCACGTATCTGTATTCTTTCGCCCTCTTCTTCTTGCCCTTCATATAGTACGATGGTACTGCCCTGTTGGATGGACATTTTTCCCGTTGATATTTCCGACTAGCAGCATTACAACTCAAGAAATGGCATTCGTCCATCGATGTGTCTACCATGAAGGTACCCGAGCGTTTGCACTTAGCTGAAATAATCAACAGCATTGATTAACCGTAAATATGTTGCACAATGCTTAATACAGGGTAGTAAAACGGCAACCCTAATCTTTCCTCATATCTTTGTCGTTTTGGGGAATTACTCCCTGATATTTAGCATATTTGTACATCATCCAATATTCATCCTGCCTACCGTATTTCATGACCATCGGACTGATAGTAGCAATATCGCAACATTGTAAACATCATACCCCATATGGTCACTTTCAGGCTGTCTGAACTTGTTGGTATTTAGATGATGACCATTTTCAACTTGATGCACTGGTTATCTCTAACAATTATATATCATTTAGGAGCAAAGCACTTGATAAAGTTGTGGAGAGGCACAACCACACAGACAGATGCACAATTTAGTGTATACTCAGCACATAGGGATAGGGACCTTTTAGCTTTGAAGATGCCAACGAAAATGCAATCAATGCTGTCAATATCGAGCGCTATATTGTTATTCTCAGGAAGTTTTGGAGGGAACACCCAGAATTTCTTCCAACGTTGATGCCCCTGGCTTCCCCTCGGCAAGCCCTTGTCACTGAATAATTGTTTTATTTGTGTTTAGAGGGCAATGTTAGTTAGGTTCGAAAATTACAATTACAACTATTCTATTTCTATTTTAAGAATTGTGAAGTCTTGTTAACATTTTTCTAAAAAGTAAAATATCCGCCCATAATTTTATAATCAATATCTCACCACAGCTATGACATAGTGTAGTAATGTACCCAAAAATCGTAATGTTATAAATTCATAAATCACTGCTCATCAAGCTTCCATCCACCGTATATAAAAGAACAAAAACTACCCCATACTGTCATGCTTGCAGTTATTTTTCTGTAATTTGATTTTTGATTTCACACATTGCTATATACACAGTACCACGCCTACCCATCGGCAAGGTACAGTGACAAAATATACCGTAGTACACTTTAGATGTACGATGTCACTATTTAACTGATTTGAAGCAAAGACAGTGATGCAGGTGTGGTGTAGGTTTTAAAATATTAATCTCGGGAATACTTGAAAGGTTTCATATTTAATGTTGTGTGTATTTGTTTAAAGAAGACATTTAACTTTCTAATAACGTTAAAAGATTTTCGAACAGCGCTCGATCTAGCCGCGAAGATTGATCGGTTGGAAAATGTTGGGTTTTTCACATTTCCTTTGATCATTTTTTCACCTGTTGCCTAAGAGTGGAAACAACCCACCCACATGCTTTTTCTGAAACGTTTTCTTGATTTTCAACCCCTTCAACCCCTACTTTTTTTTAATTTTTCTTGCATCAATATGTTGACATGTGTTTTTGATACACAGTTGACCACATCATTTTTTCCTTAAAGGTGTTTTTTTATTTTTCTTGCATCAATATGTTGTGTTTTTGATACAGAGTTGACAACATCACTAATTCCTTAAAGGGGTTAACTGTGTATCAAAACACAACAAAGATGCAAAGATGCAAGAAAGGTTAACAAAGCAGGGATGGAAGGGGTTGAAAATCAGGAAAACATTTTAGAAAGAACATGTGGGTGGGTTGTTTGAATCTTCCGAGTCTCAAAGTCGAAAATATTTTATCATCCCTTGGATTGCACTTTCTGGGGGTAATGCATTTGTGTAACATATGCACCTGTTTAAATCCTCAGAAAATAGCCAAAATCCAACATATGACTGTCCGAAATCGGTTGCGAAACTTTCCCTCCTCCTTTCTTAAAATGACAAAGAAACACTCCCCTCCATAAGTTTGGCAACCTTAGCTCCCCCATTGAACAACGTGTTAAAGTCTGTTTACGTTTCAATTTTTATTTACTTAACCGGCGATGAAATAACTTATAATATTAATGGAAACGTAACTTGACTTTATTTCCAATACCTCCAACTTTTCTCAATGTTTTCCTCAATTACAATAGTTCGAACATTGATGATAAAGTTGATGCATTTTTGAAAATCATCATTTCCATGTAATCCAATGGGAAATAAAGGGTTCGAGAGGCAAATCAGGAATCAGGATATCTTGTCAGTAAAAGATCCAGCAAAAAATATTTTTATATAGAAAATTGAATTGTCTTACCTTTTTTGTACACTAAGTGTTTAGTTTATTTGATGAATATTAAAGTTACAGCGCTTCAAAGTCATTTTTGAAAATAATTTTTCGCCTCCTGTGTTATTTCAATGGGAGAGGTTTTTTGAAAAACAATTTTGACTTTAAAGCCCTATAACTTTGTTGAACCTGAAGCAACATATCAATTTTTTATTAAATAAAGTTAGCAAATTCAATTGCCTGCCTAACTCGTATTTTTGCAAGGACTCGGATGGATGGACATTCTGTCGTATGACTTGCGGCAAACTTACCATTTCCCATTGGTTAACATGGGAATGTCGATTTTCAAAAATTCATCAAATTTATCATCAATTTTCGGCTTTTACTGTAAATACTTTGATATAAAAAGTGTCTCATAAGCCGGAGACGGCTGGGGGCTATTGCCTTTATTTCTTGTAAATGTATAATGTCTTAACCATGTATAGCCTGTGACACTATAATAAATATTTAACTAACTTAACTATTAAGAAAAAAATTGAAAAAAATTGGAGGTATTGGAAATAAAGTCAAATTACGTTTTCATCAATAGTATAAGTATTTTCATTGCATATTAAGTAAATAAAAATTCAAAGTAAATAGGCTTCAACACGTAGTTCAGTGGGGGAGCTGAGGTTGCCAAACGTATGGAGAGGAGTGTATGTTGAGAAACAGGGTTGCCGTGTTTTGACCACCCTGACAGACATAAGAGCAGAACCTATCATGAGGGCACGGTTTCTGTTTCAAGGAAACGAAGACTAGAACCGCTGTACCAATTTTCAATAACATAATCACAATCCAAAAATATTTATAAAAATGTATGAGTTTTTAGTGCAAATATTGTAAAATGCGTGAAATAGCAATATACATCCATATCATCGTCGAAGATTTGGAGAAAAAACGCAAGTAAAATATTATATACATATAGTGAATTGTTTCCATGCTCAAGAAATAAAACTAGGTCTATAACACGCTGTCGCTCTATGTTCTATACAATAAAATAAGAGAGCACATTGGAAAACATAATTTCCATTTTTAACTATATATAGCTACTTTTGAAAAATCGTTGATACAAAGGGGAAGGGAGAAGTTATACGTACGTAAAACAACGGTGTTATTTTGAACAGAATTGTCAGACTTGCTCTGCGCTGTACGCGCTGCTTCGGTCACAGTCGTTGTTGTTGGTCTTGTTGAAGTAACATTATTCGTCCCTGGTACATTTTGCAACTGAGTCGCATCGGTTCCATTTTCTCCTGTTAGTGCACTACTTACTGTCGTCATCGCTGGTATCGGTGCCGTATCATCTATTTTGTCACCGGGTGCGTTATTATTAGACAGTTCATCTGTTTCAATATTGTTTTGTTCTGTTGTCGTTGTATTGACCCCCCGGCTCGTTATTGGTGTTAGCATAGATTCAGTAGAAGCGTTTTTTGGAATGATGTTATCAGATATATCAGGGATATCCGTTGGTGATTCATTAGTATGTACTATATTTTTGAAAATCGTGGTGTTGATCGTCACCGGTGTTGTGGTATCATTCTCAGTAGTAATTGGGCCATTGCCATCCGCTGGTGACGTTTTGACTGTCGCCCTTGCATGTGCTGTCGATAAAGATTCCGTTGAAGTGAAATCATTCTCCGAAATGTTCTCATTTTGAGTCTCAGTAGTGTTTACTGTATTTTCTTCCGCTAATGTTGTATTCACTGTCGTTTTGACTTTTTGTGTTGATGTAGATTCAGCTATATCATCATTTGACACATTATCAAATGACATTGCAACTCTATCTGTTTCATTAGGCGGTGTTTCGGTGGTTGTCGCTTTTTCAGACGTATCATTTTTTTGTATAATATCCGTTGAAATATAATCTGTATATGTGGAATTGTGTTTCGTTTGGACTTGATTAGCGAAAATATCAGCTGCAACATCATTGAGCACTATATTTTCAACTGAAGTTGTAGGTACAGTTGTTGACATTCGCTTTTTGTTTTCTGCTTGCTCCAATAATTTCCTTAATTTCTTGTTGACCAATCCACATTGTACTGTCTCGATCGTTGAGAGAATTACTAGACAGATTATGAAACGTGTGACTAATGTCTGTCCCTGCATTTTCCTTATACACATTTTGTCAGATAATCTCAGGAACTCTAAAACATGTTGCTATCTGTCTCAGTATCTCCTAGTAACTTGGCCATGACTTTCCTTTTATAGGCATACCTCGAGCTACTTCATATAACATCATCCTCCAATCAGGTATGAATTCTTGGCACATGGACCTGATATCCAGACGAGGGTCTACCGAAGCATTCTCTCTCTGTAAATAAAGACGTCATTGGGATTCGACAAGGTGTCTCTAGTGTATGCACTTTATAAGATAAACGAGTCGATCATCAAATACAATTAATTACATGATATAAATCACGTAATGGCTATTATGATATAGTATGAACTATATAACGGCTATTCAAACTTTTACACAAGATGATGAATTATGAAAATTAAACAATGCACACACATGTATTGTAAGTTTTATAATATCGAGGCTTCTTATTTCCCCATTTACTACATACTTTGCTAATATACTAGCAGTCGTACCACAACAAAAAGCATATCAAAATTAAGCTAGCTATTGGGTGGTCCAAAAAAAGTGAACCCCTGCAACAGGCTATATTTTCCTTAATACATGCATGAATTGGCTCATATTATCACATCTTGTAGAGAAAGGTCTAACATTTTTGTTGATGCCATAATTTATTCGCAGTCTTGAATTTTGAAGAAATTGCAAGTCTTACGCAAACATGCCTAAAATTAGATATTGTGCAAAACCTTACCAATGTGATGCACATAAATTGTTGAACCACATTGGGTGATCTTAAAAAAGGTTTCAGCAGGAGATATACGTTTAAACTATACCATATGACAAATTGGACACTATTTGAGCAGAAAACACATTTTACATTTTTATTGACCATTTTGAAGCAGTTTTAACCATTCAACAGTTAAGGGGCATGTTACCTACACAAACGGTTGAGGAGGCAAAGTTATCCCCGGTGACCAAAATTCTGAGAAGCCCTTCTTATAAATATCTTAGAAAAATCAAAAGGAAATCTAATATTCAGTGTTTTGAGCCATATTTCAGTAGAATCGGTCCATAATTAATGCTGATATTGACATTTTAAGACCGTATAGGGGTATTTTGCGACTTCACTGGAAGATGTTTTCGTCTTTGGAAACGGAGAACATTTCTTTGGATCACAATAACTTTGCAACTGACCGAGGCAGGATGCTGATTTTTACACCATAATGTGCATAATTCAAATCCAAACAAAGTAAAAAAACATTAGGTTTTTCAGACTGCCGCTGAAACAAATTCCACGTGAAGTTTGTGGAAGGGTTGAAGAATCGCAAATGTTGAAGTTCACATTTTATCGATTTTCAGTGATGTTTTGTCAGGGCTTATAATTTCTGCAAAATGTATGGCACCAACTAAAATTTTAGTCCTTCCTCTACAACATGTGAAAATATGAAAGGATTCCTGCATATAATAAGGGGAATATAGCCCGTTGCAGGGGTTCACATTTTTGGACCACCCTGTACATAAAGTATACTTTTCAAGAGAAAAATAATTTTAATGCTGTAGGGTATTTTTGGCTCACGCAGTGAGCCTATGGGATCGACCAGGCGTCCGTCCGTTGGCCCGTCCGTCCGTCCATCCATCAGTCCGTCAACATTGGCCGCACAAATTAAAACTGCTATTCGGATTGAGTCATATTCACATTCATTTTATGCATATCCATAATGCCTATTCGACCTATCATCGCCATTTCCCAAGTTCGCCCGGTTTCCGAGAAATTGCTGATTTTGACGTCAAAAGTCAAATTTTCTGTAAATACTAGACACTTTGTTGAAGTAGAACTTTCAAATAACTTGTAGTAGTTGCTGTATATGCAACTCATTGCCAGGAGTTCAAATCCGACGACATTATTTTAGGATTTGACCCTTACTTGACCTTCAGTGACCTTCGAAAGGTAAAAAAAAGTTGATTTTTCAAAATTGATTTTTGGATGTAAATTTTGGTCAGCTTAATCACAAAAAACCTTAGTGAGCTCTGAATAAGTAACATTTTCAGGATCAAATGTCATTAAACTAAGTCACACAACTGTGCTATCTAAGTTTCTCAAAGTTCGAGACTACAGTACAAATCCAAATCAATGTTTTTGTTTTCAGGATATACATTCCTCTGAAGGTTCCAAACGGTGTTAGCACAGGACCGTGGGTACTTTTTACAGCCTAAGCTTACAATTGTCGCACATATAAATATCGAAATGGGAAGGTATATTCAAACCTTAATCACTTGATTTCATGCTCGAGAGGGGTAAACATCGAAACTACAAAGGTATCAGGCAAATGTTTTTCAAGTTGTATTAATCCTACATAATTGCTTGCATGGAGATAACAAAGAAGAGTTTAATATATTAAGGTATAAAATGTTGAAATGGTGAATATATAGAGCAATTCCTTTTTCTAATAGTATTCCCTATTGGTCTAAATAAAATCATTAGATTTTTATCAAAAATATAAAAACAATAGTGTAAGCATCGGCACTATTATTTGTAGGATTGCTGTATTTATATGTATGACCAGCACCTCAAAAGTCCGTATGAAATGTGGCCGGTCAATCAAAATCTTGTTAAACAATAAAGAACAATATATCAACAAATTAATCTCTATGGTCAAGCTGCGGAAAACCGCGAGGATACTGAACAATTTTTATGTCACGATGGGGATCATCTGAAACTAAAGAAAAAACGTAAACAAACCCAGATAATCAACTTTCTGTCCTGGATCACTGCCTGGAACATATACGAAATGATACTTATGGAACGATATCCTCAGCTATATACAGAATTACATAAATATCGAATACACATACAAGAATGTGACAAAAACTCTAAATGAAGAGATCTTACTGCGTAGAGGTAGTTGAGTATTGTACCATGCCATGTGCAATATACATTAAGGTGCTATGGAAGTTAACAGGAAATGACAAAACAGGAAGTGACAACATTTTTTGCATTTTTAGACATTTTTTGAACAAAGATAACAGAGTTCTGGTTTGCCCTCCAGTCAATTTAACTATTTCCACATATCATTTACATGACCAGGATCACAATGTGCATGGTCAGAATGACCCTAAACATGATGAAATAACCTTTTCAGCCCTTTGAAAGTGTGACTGAGAAAAAGCTAAAAGTAGGAGCTAGGGAAGGTCACTGAACAGAATCTTTTGAATTTTTCAGAAAATGTGCCCAATATAATGCTCTAACTGATACAATCTTTGAAATTTTAAAAAATTGTCTTAAACAAAAATGGCGGTCATAAAAAGGAAAATAGATCGCTTTTCAAATCAGTTTTTTCATTTTTTTCTTTTTCTATGAATGATACTAAATCTTCAAAGATTGTGTCATTTAGAGCAATATATTGGGCACATTTTCTGAAAAATTCAAAAGATTCTGTTCAGTGACCTTTCCTACCTCCTACTTTTAGCTATTTTTCAGTCACATTTTCAAAGGGCTGAAAAGGTTATTTCATCATGTTTAGGGTCATTCTGACCATGAACATTGTGATCCTGGACCTGTAAATGGTATTTGGAACTAGTTGAATTGACTGGAGGTCAAAACAGAACTCTGTTATTTCTATACTCTTCGTTAGCTGGTAAGCTGTTTAAATCAGCTTTTTCACCAAATTCTATGAATGATTTTTGTCCCGAAGAGTAAGTCTTCCTAGTGACGAAATCTATGTATCTTCAAACAGACCCTTGGTGTCTATTTACTTACAGAAACTGTTTGAGGTGCATTAATCGCATTTAAAAATACAGATTTCTGTATATCCTGCAAAATATCTGTAAACTATATTTATTATTGAAAAGGTTATCGCTTTAATAAAAAATATGGACATGTTTTGGCCCAACATGTACATGTATATTCAGCATCAATAGTGGTTGCGTTTCTGTGTAAATACAGCATAATTTGAATACGCTTTTGCTGGTTTTCTTCATATTGTTTGAATAATGTTTAGGAATGATCATACCTATATTGACATCACTCAATCATATCTTATTGCAATTGATTTAAGGCTTATAACTCATTCCAGCAATGATTACTTGATAAATCATGTTTTCGCATTAGTAGATCAAAGAATTATAGAAAGCAAACATACCAAAGCCATCATTCATATTATAGATAGAATTATCTTAAAGGTAATACAACAGGTGATACAACACACACACTTCCCACTGCCCGGAAGTGTTCCCGAGTTAACGTTGATGTGATGTTTGTTTTTCGAGAGGGTTTTATGAAATACTTTAAATTCATTAATGTAAAATAAATAAAATATCAGTGAAAATAGCTCACTCCGTGTATCTCAAGAGCATCGGGCTCGCTTGCTGATTTATAATTTGACATCTAAATTTCCCGTTAACGTAATAGGACACAGCTTGGCATATGTAATATCCTCCAAATGAAACAAAGCGGTTCTAATACAATGATTTATCTTCGCTGTTGTTCATGCATTCTTTGAACAATCACAGCTCGCAGAATAATGTTTTCAGAATTATTATAAACGGATTACTTTATCTCCAAGACAATTTCAATAAACTGGATTTTACAAAACTCCCCGTATTTCTTCAAAATAGACTGATCCCGTTGACTCGCCCGGAGACGCCATATTGTTTTTATACGGGAAGCTTATCGTCACCCTTTAAATATGGACAACAAAACATGCAATACAATATCACATCGTCTGAAAAATAGGTATAACGTTACAGCAAAATGCCTTGATTTCCCAGCTTCACTTGAACAGAACAGGAAAATCTCCCTTGGTGTTATGGTCCTGGTTTGTGATATTTGAACTTGTAGGGTGGCTGAGGGGGCATAAGTCATTTCTACGTCTTTTTACTTTAGATTATGGCGTGGGATAGTCGGAGTTTTTTTTATAATAACTAGTGTATATTTGAACCTTTCTTTTTCTTGCTGTACACTTTTTGGTCCATTTTAGGCACTGTAGCTTCCATATTTGAGCGACACTCAGAGCTACGCAATAAGGCCGTTACACATTTTTTGCCAGCTATCAGGGGTTGTCATCTGTTTATCAGACTTTGGATTTTAAAAAGTTCTAAACAATACAAAGCAAATGTGTTTCCTTTCTTTATTGTCTTCTGATTCATTCACGATTGCAATATTCGAAATGAACATAATAGCAATATAATTATTTATTTCATTTACATGTATATTTTTATTTTATAGTTGACAGTCGATATTTTCGTTTAGATATAATTGTGTTAAATGAAATATTCATTCCAGAACAAAATACATTTTACAGCACAACATAGCTTGTAATTAGGTTATTCACAAGAAATGTTCGACACCAGTTTTACAAACTGATTACTACCAAATGTTAGTATTTTCAGTTGAAGTGCGTTTTGGTGAATTTCTTTTTATCATACCTTTAATAAAAGAAATGTTAACTCTATACAAAAACGTACCTTTATATACAGATAAAGTCAAAATTATCAACTGAAAGTAATAATTACACCACATACATGGTAAGATAAAACTGCAACCGTCTGCAACTGTCCTTAAACATTATTATAATGCACTCGTCTATCATATTCATATAAAATATATATTTCAGTCTTTACGAATAACCACATTAAATGGTTAAGGTCAAATAATGGCTATATATGAACTATCGTATGATCTGTAAAATGGAGCCTGCTGATTGGTCAGTTCTTGTGCTGTACCAATCTGTATTGCTACACTGAGATTGTCTGCATTGATCATCTCCGTCGCAATACAGAAAATATTGGTGCGGAGGGAACATTCTCAGTAGCGATACAGAGGATCACACGATAAAAACGTTAATAACTTATAGTATTATACAATGAGGCTCTGATGGATATACGAATAAGTTAAGTTGTGATTGAGTGTTTGATAGAGTTCCTCTATGTAATCACCATGTGTCATCATACTGTGGTTCAACAATTTTACGTTGATTTCGGCTTGTTGCTCGTGGAAAGTGTGCAGTATTCGTCCGGAAATGATCACAGTCTTGTTATTCTAAAATATATACATGAAGTACGTTTTATTATTTAAATGTAGAAAACGAATTGCGTTGCTATGAATCAGATGTAAAAAGAGATCGAGGTGACATTGTCAGCTTATTCAAAGCTATCATTAGAAATGTACGAGGGGAAAAATACCTTGTATTGATGTAATAACAATAGTCAATATTAGAAATAGTTTTATAATAAACATATTATACCCACCGCAAAAACTTTGTGTGAGATTTGTGACTTGTGATTCAAGCAAATCGAAATCTTCTGCAGTAAATATGTTTTTCTTCGTAGTCATTTGTAGCCATTCAGCCCAGCCAATGAATTTGCCCAGTCCCATTGTAATTGATCTTTGATTTGGTAGTGCAACAACGAATACGAGCGCACCATCACCCAAAAGTGCCTTTGCGGCGTTAATTGTATCATTGGCTCGGTCTACTGGTACTGTTTTTCCATCTGTAATGATCACAACAGCATTTGGCTTAGTCGGACGGTCACCCATTTCGTAAGTGAAATATTCGTTTCGTATTGCATTTAAAGCATCATAGGTTGCCGTTCCACATTGGAGTCTTCGATTCGTCTGTTCTAGCTTCATTCTATGTATTGCCTGAACTGCTTTAATACTCCGTATTGCACTGTTCAGCCACAATACATGGTGAACATTTGCATCAAAGGATACTACTCCTAACTGGGTTTTAGCCCTTCCGATTGGAAGCGAGGCTGCCATCCGTTGTATAAAGCTCTTCACTTTAATTTTGTCTAGTGGTGCAATAGAGCAACTAATATCAACAGCAATCATGATATCAAGACCGCAACGGGGAACCTTGGGCACGCCTAAAAGCAAATTGAACGGTTGAAAAAGGGAGTTTGGTCAATTAGCGAAAGGCAATTGGAGGAAGGCGACTGTGATCGTTAAAGGGGTTTCCTGTCTTGGGTTAAATCATGGTTATTGGTAATTTACATAATAAGCATAAATATGTCGCTTCTGAAATATTGGCCCGGCGGTGAAGGTCGAAATCAAAATATCATCAGGTTATTCACACATATTTTATCACAAAAACAGTGCAAGTATACTATGCCAGGCAGTATCCAATTAACAACGCCAATCTGTTATACGTATTTCGACATTCTAGTTATCAAGGCAATTTCAGGTCAAAGATCATATTCAAAACAGATTTGAAAATCCGTTAATGAAAAATCACCCATTAATGTCGGTCACCTTGCTTCAAGAAGTACTATCCGATCCATTTTGTACAAAGGAAACAAAGATATGGTATAAGTATATTAATATATGTTTGCCCCTCCATCTACCTAAAGGTGTAATTTTGGCCTACTTAACATATATTTCTAGCCAGTGTAATACATGTATTATTAATGACATTTTCCAGTACATAATAAATATCCTTACTTAGAATCGTATTTTCTTGTTCTTTGCTAAGCTTCACTCTACATGTTCTAGCTTTTGCTGCACACGGGAATGTCTCAAGTATTTTCCCCTTCTTGGCTCGTTTGCGATCCCTTGATGTGGTTGATCGTCCGTCTGGACACTCCATCTCTTCAAATTTCAATGTCGCTCTGCTACATCGGTAATAACTACATGGATCATCTGCGTTAACTAAATACTGGGTAACCGAAGTACAATCTGAAAGTTCCGAAAAGTAAAGCTCCATCACATAGGTCCAATGCCTGACTACTACCCTGGATTTTGTCTTCAGATCTCTTCAGACCTGACAGATATGAACAATTTAGTTTTGGCTTACAGGCCACGAATATCGGGTTCACAAAAATGAGGCGCTTTTTGACAACAATTTTCTCAACAATAGAATTCATTACTCAAATTTATTGAAAATGTATATAGAGTAAAGATAATTTTATTCGCTACAAATGATATATAAAAGAACAATTTTCAACAACCTTGGCTTGAGATGTAACCATTTATGTGACACTGGGGTAAAACAACAATTTTCATCGATTTTGTAAACATTTGGCCATTTTCTATCAAATTTTACCATTCAGTTAAAACTTGCATCATTGTCACGAGACTTCCCTAACTGGATACCATGCATTGTTTTCATTCATTTTTTGAACCGTACATGGCATAATTGATGGATCTCTGCGGAAGTACCATCCAACTCCTAATTATTCGTTCGTTCAGTATGCATATTCCTGATAGGCTAGTGACTAAGACTGTGTATGTCAGTAAGCAAGTAGAGTGACATTTGCGATAAAAGCGATAAAAATCGATCTGACATTTTTCTGAAAAGGTAGTGGTGTCATTCAGTGTTTCCAAGAAAAGGAAAGACTGACCCTGTTTTTGTTGAACCAGGAGCAAAAATATATTCTGAAAAACATATGAAAAAAATTCATTTTCTGATAGGACAGTGCTCCATCATATAGGTCTAATGCCTGACTGCTATCCTGGAGTTTTTGTAGATTCGAAATGTCACCATCTCTAGCTCAGACAAATGGTTTTCTGGCAGTTCAAATGCCAATAATAAAGAGGTTTTGGTATACGTGTTCAGCCGAACTTATACTGCTACTTCAACTTTTAAATGACGAAAACGCCACTGGGGAGGGACATTTCTCGAAGAAACTTGGAAAGTACTTTCCCTCGTTTCCTAATCGAGAAAATTAATTTGTAAAAATCCCAGCAATAAAATATTAGTCCCTGATCTGGTCCCACTGAAAACAAGTTTTGTCGTGCGGTACTTTCCCACAAAAAATGATTGTACCGTTTGATAGAACAGACTTCCCTCAAAAAGAAAACACCTCTTACATTGATAGAAACAAGGGCAACAGGCACCAAAATGGGGTTAGACAAGGTGACATTCTGAAGTCTCACTTTTTAGTCTCCACGATTCAAGGAAAACCACCAGATGGATTTACTTCACATTTTCACACATGCTACATGGTAAGAATTTCTAGAGCTGATTAACTTTTCGGTGGCCATCTTGCATTCTAGCGGCCATCTTGGAATTTTTTAGATAAATATTATCATCACAATTCCAAAAAAACTATTGACAGATGTACTTCAAATGTTCACACATGATATATGGTAAAAAGTCCTAGACCTTATTATTTTTTCGGCGGCCATCTTGCATTCTGGCGGCCATATTGGAAGTTTGATGATAAATCTTGTCATCGCGATTTCAGGAAAACCAAACGGATTTACTTTAAATTTTCACACATGTTACATGGTAAGAAGTTTAGCTGATTAAATTTTCGGCCGCCATCTTGCATTTTTGCGGCCATCTTGAAAGTTTTTTAATAAATCTTGTCATCGGGATTCCAGGAAAACAACTGAACAGCTTTACTTCAAATGTTCACACATGTTACATGGTAAGAAGTCCTAGAGCTCATTTGTTTTCCGATGGTCATCTTGGAAGTTTTAAGATAATTCTTGTCATCGCGATTTCAGGAAAACCACTTTACATGGTAAGATGTTCTTCAACTGATTAATTTTTCGGCGGCCATCTTGCTTTCTGGGCTTTCTGTTTATACTTCCCCACAAAAAATGATTGTACTGTTTGATAGAACAGACTTCCCCCATAAAGAAAACAGCTTTTATATCGATATAAACGGGGGCAAAAGGCACTAAAATGGGGTTACACAAGGTGGCATTCTGAAGAAAACTTTTCACCGTTTCTTTATTTTATACCACATAAGTGCATATTTCGTGTATGGTATCAAATGATTTTTAAAACTTCGATATGTTGATAGAAACGGGAGCGAAAGGCACTAATGTGAGGTTACACAAAATAGAAACATTGGCAACAGCCGCTTCAATGGGGTAACGATGATATTCTTAAATATAACTTTTTACTCCGTTTCTGTACTTTAATTATACCACACAAATGCATTTTGTGTTTGACATCAATCGATTTTGAAAATAAATAACTACCTTTCATCATTAATAAAAAGAATTATTGAAAACGTCAAACATTTCTTCAAATCCAACAATGCACAGCGATTTTTATAGAGTGAAATGTATGCTTAATTGGCATTGATATGAGTATATTACGTAGTTGAAGCTCTTTTAAGAGACCTTCATAAATTCTAAAAATCAATTGATCTCATACTCAAAATGTATCTATTATGTGGTATTAAGTAAAAACACAGAGTAAACAAGGCACATGGTGAACAATATCGTACTTTTACCATAGCAGTGTGGACTTGATGACCCAGAAAGCAAGATGGCCACCAAAAAGTTAATCAGTTCTAGAACTTCTTACCATTTAACATGTGTAAAAATGTAAAGAAAATCAGTTCAGTGGTTATCCCAATGACAAGATTTATCTCAAAACATTTAGGATGGCTGCTAGAACGTAAAATGGCACCTAAAAGTTGATCAGCTGTCGAACGTCTTACAATGTTACATGTGTGAAAATTCGAAGCAAATCTGCTAAGTGGTTTTTCTGGAATCGCGATGACAAGATTTATCTAGAAACTTCCAAGATGGCCGCCAGAATGCAAGATGGTCAGCGAAAAATAATCAGCTCTTCATACCATGTAACATGTGTGAAAATTCTAAGTAAAACTGTGGTTTTCCTGGAATCGCGATGACAATAATTATCTAACATTTGGTGAAATCAATAAAATAATATATATAAAGATGTTTTATTTTCGGATATTTGTGTAAAAAGATGCGTAATAATACAGTATTTCCATTCAGTATTGTAATTATTATATTATATTATGAAGGAAAAAATATAATCAGCATAATATACTATATTATATAGAGATTAATATAATATAAATAAGCGAGATCCAAATATATTATTTGTACATATAAACATTTACCAAATCTGATTATCTCAATAAGAAAATGTAGCAGGATGTTTTATTCCCGGTATAATATTATTTTTTAGAATTATTTGCGCCAATTTATATTTATTCTGTCTTTCTAAAATATTATTTGGTCATATTTATCAATCCAAACTGATGATTGCAGTCTATATAGAATTTTTTCCATTCTAAAAAATATTATTTTCTAGTATTTTCCAATCTAAGCAGAATATATCAAATTATATTATATTATTTGGGTTCTAAAAAATATTATACTCGATTATTCTCGTCCAACTTGATGTACAATCCATCTGGTTAATTACTTAACCAAACAAAACAAAGAATGCACAGCATGGTATGGTTAATAGGATCAACCGTTTTACTGGCCTTCTCATCTCTATTACTTACACATGTCACACTTATTTTATTTTGACTGTTATATTTCTATTTGAAAAATATTTACAAATAAATGTTTAGAAGAAAGAAATTTAACTTGATTGAAATTAATGTTAACAATGGAGTAAAAGTGTGAAAAAGTCATCAATTAAAAATCAAAAAATTAACTTTCCAATGAGTTAATCGATTCAATCCAAATTTTAACGCAATATGAATCATAGAAAGAGGGATTCTTTACAATAAAACAAATGTGAATAATTTAATTTGCAAATTATCATTTTCTGTGGAAATTAGAATAATCGGCTCTAGATATTAATCCATTAACTCCCACAAATGGATTAACTCTCACAAACAGATTAGTAATCAGTGAACAAAACTCATCTCATAGAAATTGAAAAAACTGAGGGATTAAAGTATTACTTATATTGCTCTGAATTCAATACATGAATGTGAATGATGAAAATCTGCATGATTTTGAAAGAATTATTGGCCAAGGGGAGGGGATCGTTACTTGTTAGGTACGGGCCTGTTTTAAATGCGTAATGTTTTTAGCTTTTTAAACTTAATATGGCTGACTCGACAAACAATGGAGTGAAAATGTGAATAAATCCATTGATTAAAAATCAACTTTCCATTGAGTCAATCAATTTAATCCAAATTTTAACACAATGTTAATCATAACATTAGGGACATTATACAATCAAATATGTATGAAAAAACTTATTTTGCAAATTATTTTTGTGGAATTAAGAGCCATCAGCTGTAGAGATTAATCCAACAACCCTAACAAATGGATTAGTTATTTATTTAGATATACACTTTTTTAACAGTGGCACTCTTACATTAAGGTGCATCTAATCGAAAGTATCCACAATGCCATGTTGGTTAAAAACAGAACATTTTTCAAACTCAAATGAGTCTTAAACAAACTAAAACATAGGTATGTTAATATTTACTTAAAATCTTATTTTAAAAGCTTTTTACTAAAGAGTCTAATAAAACACCATATTCGTGCCCCCCAAAGAAGTATGCGTCATCTCCCAGTAACCATTTCAATTTTGTGTCAGTTGGGGCGCTAGAGAATATCCCTGTTAAATGTATGGGAATTTTATCCTCAAGTATTTTATAAAATTTGGATCTTTCCCCTGCAAAATTAGAACAAAATAGTAATCTATGTTCTATATTCTCTTCTATATCAGAACAAAAATTACAGAATGGGCTATTAACTTGTACATTTGCCCATTTATATGTTTCACCTTTAAGACCTAGTTTCCCGGTCCGAGCAAGAAATTTTAATCGTGCACTTGCAAAATCAAAATCATTTCTTAAATAGTACTGTAAACCTTTATGTTTAAGATCAATAAGCTGTATCAGTATGAATGAAACTCTTTTCATAGGAATTGAATAATTAGGGATTAACGGCTTGAAAATAACAGCGTATAATCGGTTTTTGATTGCAAATGCCAACATATTATTTGCTCCTGACAGGAAAATTATTCTATATTATATGGTATTATATGTTGTTCCCTTTAAATAATACACGGATAATATTATTAAATCAAAAATAATTCTTAAAAATACGTATTGTATTTTTTCCGCTATAATAAAAGAAATAACTGCCTATTATACAGGAAAAAATATTCTCTATGATTCTCTCTTAATGCAACTTATTTAGCAGTATATTAAACATGTTATTCTATATTATTTTAACTATTTTACCAAGTGTAAAAACTTCAAAGATGGCCGCCAGAATGCAAGATGGCCACCGAAAAGCTAATCAGCTCTAGAACTTCATATCATGTAACATGTGTGAAAATGTTAAGTAAAACTGTTAAGTGGTTTCACTGGAATCACAATGACAAGATTTATCCAAAAACTTCCAAGATGGGTGCCAGAATACAAGATGGCCGCCGGAAAGTTAATCTTTTTAAAGATTCTCGCAATCTTTATCCAATCAGCGTTTGCGAGTGTGTCGGCTCACATATAAAAGGCGAATCCAACTCAAATCCATGCAGGGGTGTATGAGGTACTCGAATAGGAGAGCTCGTGAAATCTGAATTTATATGCACATGGTCAATGTTTACACATGTTTGGAGTTATTGAAGAAAATGTGATATGGGTGTGGTTCCGAATTTGAAGTCATTGCTGGAAAATATGATTTTAATACGTGAAATTATATCTATAAATACAGCACTAAAAATAACAGCACACATGAAGTACATGTATGATTGTGTCCAGAAATGTTTGAAACCCTTACAGAAAATTCTGTCTGTATTTTGTCACCATTGCTCTTTCTTCCCGCATTCTAGTGCTGTTTGAATGAATATATCAATAAATGTATTTCTAACTAAAATATATCACATTTTTGTGAAACCACAAACATTTAGATCATAAAAAAATATTCAATACTTGAGTGAGCACGATATGCAAGGGTTACTAAGTTGACACAGTAAATGACCACTGATATTGTGTTAGCAAATATGTATTAGCAGAATACGCTGTGTGCATGGACTAACACCCCTCACTTTCATATTGAAGTGACTAATTGGTTTATGTTTACGTTTTAATGTGTTTTGGGTTCCTTGTTACAGCAAGGGGGGCCAGTAAAGTAGACTAACATGTTTGCATGGCAAATTTTGATCGAATATGTGAGACACTTTAAACAAATTATTTATTTCCTTCATTATCAAAAAATACACAAAATATCTACTACCAATCGCCATAGGCATTCTAGGTAGTTTAAATTACAATAGAGGATTAATTACAGTAATCATAGATGGTTATTGGTAATGTGGGAGATTGGGAGGGAGGGGGGGGGGTTGTCACAAGATACAAATGAGAATAACATTAATTTGATGGGAACTTATAACAGGCCTGTACAAATTGCATCACTATATCTATGAGGATTTTCTGAGAATCAATAGTGAGTTCATTTTCATAAATTAAATATTTTACCTGTTCTGTCTTACTAGAAATAAGTTGAGTATCAAACAATAAATTTTGTTCACGGAAAGTTAATCACCTCTAGACTTTCTTACCATGTAACATGTGTGAAAATTTGAAGTACATATGTTAAGTGTTTTTTCTGGAATTGCGATGACAAGATTTATCTAAAAAATCCAACATGGCCTCCAGAATGCAAGATGGCCACCGGAAAGTTAATCAGCTCTAGAACTTCTCACCATGTAACTTGTGTGAACATTTAAAGTAAATCCATCCGGTGGTTTTCCTGGAATTGTGATGACAAGAAAAGGAGACTTCAGAATGCCACCTCGTCTAACCCCATTTTGGTGCCTTTTGCCCCTGTTTCTATCAATATAAGAGGTGTTTCCTCTATGAGGGAAGTCTGTTCTTACAAACGGTACAATCATTTTATGTGGGAAAGTACCGGACAACAAAACCCCTTTTCTAGATCCCTTTTGGAAATCAGATCAGGGACTATATCCATTTCTTAGTTGTTATCATATTATGAAACCGGAACTACATACTTGCCAAATATTGGAATGATAAAAGGAACCTATTTTCGTTCCCAGTTTCTCCCAAGTGATTTTCCATGACTTGCCCGTTTCTCGCTATAAAGAGTGTTACATGATGTCTGGGTCACATTTGCCCCGATTCATCGGCCGGCGCCCGGCCAATTGAGTATATTGTTCACATATATTCAGAGGGTGGGTCTATTGAGGCATATTTGGACAGACTGAAGACGAAATGAATTATTTTGTTTTATAAGCATACACATGCATATTGAGCATGCATGGTTCAAAAACTGAATGAAAACAATTTCTAGTATCCAATTATGGAAGTCTCATGACAATGATGCACCTTTTAACTGGACAGTAAAATTTGGTAGAAATAGGCTTTTGGTCGCAAAATCGATGAAAATTGAGAAAGTGTTTTTTACCCCCATGTCACATAATTGGTTATATCTCTAGATAAAGTTGTTGAAAATTGTTCTGCTATATATCATTCTGTTGCAAATGAAATTATCTTTAAAATGATATATCATTATTTGTGTGTTTGCTAAAAAATAAATATTTATCAGGAATATTTGCTAGGGGTGGTTTTTAGCCCATCCTGTAGTATATGAGTATCATTAAATTAAAAACAATATGCCAACATATCCAACATCAATGGTCACTATTTCAGTCTGAACAAAGCGATTTCCAAGCAGAAATGTCTTTGTGTATGTCTTCCAACGATATTGTCCCCCATGACCCATGACATAATTATCCCTTTCTTTAATGATAATGCAGTTTGATGATGTAGTTTGATGTAGATGATGACGATGATGTTGATGTTTGATGTGGTTTTCTGTTCTCTGTATATAGAACTCCAATCACGTATTGATAACGTAATCACGTAATTGTTATAACGATTTGAAGATATAAAATTGAATTTTTGTAATCATAATTCCAATATAAATGATATAAATTTCATTACCTGAAGAACTATTATACTTCTGTATGGGCTCGTCGTTTCCTCGGGTGGAGTTACGACGTTTAAGAAGTTTTTTTATAATCGGGATGTCTTCCAAGCTACCTTCGACTCCAAAGTTAGAAATTATGCTAAAATATACAAGGATGCTAACTAATCCGAGATTCATCCAACGGCCGCAAGCCATTCCTGAAATCCAATAAGTTATCCAAATGGTGATGAGGAATAAGATTTGTACCATTGATATGTACGGTCCGATATGTACTACACTAAACAAATCTTGCAGTGATCTTCCATTCTAAGATACCATACGAGACAATCCAACATATTCTCTATGGAATGAAATTTGTCTCTTCTATCAATGTATTGATCGATCTTATATGTAAGTTCTGCATTTTGCAAAACAAAATAAAAATAAAATGGAATCTAAACAGTGATAGATGTTATCTAAACATCCTTTGTAATTGATGTTTACAATTTTCTGACAGACCGTGACTACAGTATTGTAATGTAAACATGACTTAAAATATATCTTGGTCACCGTTTCAAAAGTTTTGCCTTACATTCTAAACCGAATCAATTGTGTTAAATCTTGATCGGGTGTGTTAAAAGGCAGTTTCATAAAGTAAAATGTGGAAAGAGAGTTTCCATGTACAACTAAAGCCTACACGCTTCCCTCTCAAAAAACGAGAATGATAAGCTTGTGTGAAACCTTTGAGCAGACAGCTTACGTAAATGTAACTAACCAATAAATAAAAGAAACGCTGTTTTAACATGCTTAACCTTTAATTAATGCATTTTTTATGAGAACTTGTCAGTGTCACTTGTTTCGGGCCCAGAGTATATACGAGTGGTTCATAATAATGATTGTCCCCATATCCACAGAAAAAAATATAGCTAGCATGACTGGTATTTGGGAACACATTTTGTGAACTTATATTTGGTCACTATTCCCTCAATTTGCATAGTTTGTGGCTACTATTCCCAATGGATCGAAAAAGAGGAGTAGATCGCTATATAATCCAATATATCATCTAGAGCTATATTGTTATTTCTTTGAAATAGTTTATACTTTATCTTTCATATATCATTATGTCAATATCAGATGGCATAAGTTGTACACAACATAAGAAAATAGTAATTAAACAATCAAGGCATGATCATCATTGCTGTTTGGAGGGTGTATGGCTAATTTTGGAAAATATGGCTTTCAGATTTAACGCTAACACCCCAGTCACATTTCCTACGGCGACCTTGCGGTCTATCATTTCTGCGCTCGCCGTGGAATTTCTGCGCTCTCATACTTTTGCAGTCACATTTCCCACGGCAGCCGCACGGTGAATTTTAAATTTCTGTTGATAAATAATACTTTTTTTCATTTTATTTACATCGGGACAATTTATAAATGTTATTCATTATGCTAGGATGTAATATCAAATGAAAAGTGGTCGTGAAACATTGACAAAGAATGATTCAATCTTGTTGAGCCAGTTGATTTCTACGGGGACCTCAGAAATGAACAAAAATTGTAACTTTGAGTTATAATATCTACGCCTTCCCTGCGGCCTGTAAAAATCTGCATACGCCGCACGGAGGCCGCAAGGCGAGCGTAGTTTTTCTACGCTCGCCGCAGAAATTCACCGATTTAATTGATCTGCGGTCGACTTGCGGCCGCCGTGCGACAAATGTGACTGGGGTGTAAAGGTAAAATGGGTACGTTTTTAGAGATACAATACGTTTCTCTTTCAACGTATTCTCGTATAGGTACTGATGCCTCGCTGTGTCGGCTGATTGCAGTAAATGCCTTATAAGCAGTAGATTAATTTCAAACTAATATAACAAAGTGACAGACACGTTTAACGTTATCAAAAAACTAAAGCATTTATAGTTCATTATGCAAATAAAACAATAAACCTATTTAGATTTCTTTCCGACCTATAAATAACACATTTTTGTAAAACCATGTTAAAATATCCATTTTTACAGTGCATCGAGCGTCTTTTGTTTATAAGAGCAACACTTCATCATGCCATTTTAGGTATCATTTTGATGATATTCACAATAGCGTTTCCTTTGTGTATGTTGGATTTCCAAAGCATTGTAGCGGATCGCCATTTCCCTTTCAAAAGTCCGTACAATAATAAATTCCAAGAATTTGTATTTGGCATGTTCCCGGATGGTTTCTCGTAGATGAGGATGTTATTCTGAAATGCATGGAGGTATATATATTTAGAATAGTTTACGTCTCAGTAAAGGGAGAATCAGATCCATTGGGAGAGACAAACTTGCAAGCAACATGTACAGGTGACCCACCGATATATTACTTTCAATCTCAAATATAATATCCCCCAAAAGATCCAAGATATGTTATCAATTGGTGAAGTTATTAAGGATTCAAAGTGCCAAAACGGGTAAAGTTTACATTCTCTCAAATAAGAAAATGGTAACCAAAGAAAAATAATCTAGTATGATATTGTAAAAATGTTTAGTATTCCTCAAATCCAGTGTATCCTTTGAATATTTTTAGAAAATAGGAATGGCAAGGATTGATATGAGTCCAAAATATTACAAAATCAAACAATTTTCAGTAGTTGCTGTCAGTAGTGTCTTGATAGACCTGACTCTACCTTTAGTGATTGATTTGATAATCTGATTTTAACATGTAATTAAGCTATATCTGTGCATATACAGATTGATCGATACCAATAATACGTAAATAGAAACATTTGTTTTTAATAATATATCACCGATTTGAATACCTTTAATCCATATACTCTGTACTTACCACAAAAGCTCTGCGTGAGATTTGTGACTTGAGACTGTAGAACATCAAAATCTGCTGCCGTGAATATATTTTCTGGCTCCGTCATTTTTAACCATTCGTTCCAACCTATAAATTTACCTTGTCCCAATTCCATTGATCGTAAATTAGGTAATGCTAGAATAAACATTAGAGCGCCAGCACGCTTGAGTGCCCTTGCTGCCTCAATCGTATCGACTGCTCTCTCCGGTGGCACCGTTTTTCCATCTGTCACTACGAGGACAACATTTGGTTTATTTTTACGGTCACCCCTATCTTCTGTAAAATATTCTTCTTTTATTTTAGTTAAAGCATCATATGTTGCAGTCCCACATTCTTTTTTCCGATTTTTCTGCTCCAACTTCATCCTGTGTATGGCTTGGATTGCTCTAATACTCCTAATAGCTGTGTTAAGCCACAACACATCGTGAACTTCAGCATCGAATGAAACTATACCCAATTGTGTCTTTGATCTACCGATCGGTAGCGAAGAAGCCAATCGTTGCAAGAAACTTCTCACTTTCAGTTTATCCATTGGTGTTATAGAACAGCTGATATCAACAGCAATCATCATATCAATACCGCAAAGTGGGACTTTTGGTACACCTGGAGGTAAAAATGAAATCGTACGGGAGACATTTATCAAGATCACGGGCGAGGCTCCGATCAAGGCTGTTCAATTGCAATCAAGCCAGTGACAATCGCTAAACAATGTACTTGTCACCCCATTAGAAAAACTACCAATTTTTGCAACATAGTCACTAACCACCCTGCATTATGAAATACTTACTAAGAACAGTTTTTGCCAGTTTTTTAGTCAGTCTAACTGAACATTCTTTAGCTCGGGTGGAACATGGTACCGACTCGAACACTCTACCCTTTTTCGATTGTTTTCGATTTTTTGATGTGCTTGAACGTCCATCTGGGCACATTCTCTTTTCAAATCGAAATGTTGCTCTGTTGCATGCGAAGTAACTACATTTATCGTCAGGATTCGCTAGATAATGTGTATTGGAAAAGCAATCTGAAAAGAAAAAAGAGTTAAACTTTAAACAAATGTTATTGATATGAAGTCGTCGATCAAAAGTAAATCGCCTTGTTATCGCTAAAATGCCTTCGGTTCGACTCCTTTATCTAATCTCAAAACATATTTTTGATTACTGACTTTTGTTTATAGCTAAAATTCCAATTAATTGACAACGCCATTATCGATAAAATGTGTATTATTTTTGTATGTTGAAACTCTGCATTCGTTGAATTTGATAAAATCCAAATTACTTCCAAAAAGTACGATAGACTTAAGTTCGTAACACCATGTCGACTGTCTTTGGTCCTCTTTGTGTGTAATTGTTAAATATATGGTTCAACGTATTATATTTTTTGTGTAATTAGTCTTATATATTAATTGAAATCTTAGTCTATCAGCTGTGGCTTGTTGAAGCTTTTCAAGTTGAGAACAATTTAGTTATAAATAACCTACATTTGTTTTATCTACTTTTGGATGTCATTTGGTTGACAGATCAGTCATCACATACGATATATAAAACCTATATCAATGTAGATCTATATACCTGACGAAGCATTGTATCTCCTCACATTAGGAACCTGGTCTGCATTCTTGTCTGAATGTCTCTTCTTCTCTAATAGTTTTTTGATTACGTCAACGTCAGTTAGGCTACATTTGACTCCGATGTGTGAAAATAAGCTAAAATAAACAAGGGCACTCAAGATGCCATGACCCAGCCACCGAGTTCCTGTCATCGTCAGACGAACGACGCAATAAATCATCCAGTTAATAACAGATAGTCAAGACAAACTTATTACAGCTCTTTTTATGCGCAGAAGTGTGTGTCCATTTTAATTAGACATCTGATGAAATAATCCTTCATTTTTCCGTATAATTCAGTTCAAATATTAGGATGTGTCGTATATGTGAGGTGAACGTATTATGTACTTATAAACAAAGGCGACAGCAAAAAACCCGATAGTATCAAGGATATATTTCTATGGATTATTTCAGTTGAGCGATAAATAAAAAGAATAGCCACGATAAACATTTATTTGGACGCAAATTTTGTTTAATCTTCTTTGACATTTCGTGAACAAGGACAGCCTATATGAAATGTAATATCTATCATGTCTACTTTTAAATGACCAATAAATCAATGCACTGTTGTAAAAGTAATATGTATTTGCGTGTGTGTGTTTTCATTGTCAATTGATTTGGCTTTCAGCGGCAAGTCATTAGTTTTGAAATAATGAGTATTGAATAAAATGATTCTCATTTTATCATTTACAATCAAAATTGCTATTGGTTCTGAAACGACATCTATATTGGATGATAAAAATGTCAAATGCATGTGCTGTGTTTTTGTGTTCCGAACTGACCCATTTCTATACACAAAAGTGTATTGCATTCGCCTTAGCTTATTTATTTTCGAAGTAAATATATAGGATCAATGTAAATATACATATAGATATCAAATAAAGGTAGCACAAAATCAAACCAAGACCAGCATGAAATCTAGAAAATCCCTGTGGATATCGATGTTAAAAGCATCAAAAGATGAAGAATGGATGAATGTTTTTTTCCCGTTTATGAAATTAGTATAACTATTAAGTTTTGATCCTTTTCGATAATGTTAAAAACATTACTTAAGTCAAAACAGTAATTCGGGAACATTCTTTCTAGGTCATGTTGAACATTTCATCAAGCATGAATATTTTTAGAAATGTAAATATTGTCTGATAAAAGTAGTTCATTTTCTTTAATTTACATGTTGTTCAGTCAGAGATTTGTATTTTCTGCAACATATCCAACGTTTTCGTATTCGTCTTTCTTCTTCGAATCTGTTTCGAATTTCATCTTTCTGTTTTGTCTTACCTTGCGACAAATCAAATATATTTCTTGTACGAATGGTACAATAATGATAAAGGCAGCGCAAATGAAAGAATAGGCGATCGAGAAATTTGTCCAATGGACGAACTGGGTTTTGGTCAATACCCCGATTGGAACCATAACAGCCGGCCATACGATGAGAAACCCTATGGCAAGAGAAATTCCCACGACAATGGCTGTTATGCGAGACCTTTGGTAAAGTTTCCTCATGGCGTCTTGAGTCGGCCGTGAACACTTTGAGTCCACGTTTCGGACTATACCAAAATCACGAGCGTATGTTATTGCCCAAGGATGGAGTGGATTCTCTATGTTTCTGAGTTTCTCCCAAACAGTTTCTTCGTTGTATAACCTTCTGTCAAGAGTACATAATGAGATAATTATGCACACGATTCCACTCAATCCTAATGAAACGCAATTGCCTACAAGCATCGGTATTTCTCGGCCCGTATTTTCTAGGAAATTATACAGACCCCCTTCGTAGTCGGAAGCAGAAACCAACCAAAGAATTATCCCACTCAGGCAGCCAGAAATAACACCTGTGATTAAAAAATATTAATCGTAGTTTCTTTGGCAGTTTATGTACTGATCGATTCAAAACAGATTGCACATGATACATTTTTAATAGAAATCTAAATCTTCATCCATTATCATATCTTATTCAAGCAATAGATATGTGTATAACATGTTTTTTTATTTTTTATATGATAATCAATTTATTTCATTACATTTAAATTTACATGGAATGGCTTGCAATCGCCTAAAGGCATCGTAGGCCAGGCTTTATTGTTACATAGAAATGATACAATTAAGAACAGCATTTTGTTCATAGTGGCATGAAAGATCTGAGGGTGTCTGGCTAAGAATGAGAATTAGAAGCTATCAAAATGTTGGTTCCCTGAGGGCAAAGAATTGAGATAATGATAGAAACTATTGAAGGGATCTTATTTCATATGTTCTTGTATAAAGATTGCTACGTTTTAAAAATGTTCCTTCTTTTGTAGGGATGAAAGGTCATTACTACCATATTTCAAGAAGTGCATAATTTGGTTTTCAGTTTTTATGTTGTTTGGTTTGTACCCTGAAAACGAATCAAAAAGCATAGTTATGATTGCAATATTTTGAGGGCATCTGAAAAAGACATGTTTTGGGGTTCCAGGTAATCAACCTGTTCAGGTTGGAGTGTTTAATGTTGTGAAGTTGTGTGCATATAGCTGGGCGTTGAAAATCAAATCTACTCTGATTCTGTTTAGTACAATTTCTTAGTTCCTAGTAAGCTGTAGTTTAGTCTTAGGGTCAAAATTAGATTTTGTTTTTTGGATAAGTTTCTTTTGGCGAGTTTTGAAGCTAGGAGGGCTTTGACTTTCTTTAGGATATTGTGGGGCTGTGTGTCACATTGATGCAGCATTAAAAACTGGGGACTTTTTCAGTTTATCTGAGCATTTTAGGGCAATTTATGGTATAATTTATGTCTTAATGATCTTTCATTTTGATTTTAAAAGGATCCAAAAATATCGGTGATACATTTTGGACATAAATTGTTCTTTATGCAATACATAAATCCCAGGATCTGCTATAGATATGACAAACTTTATTGGCGATTTAAGTGATTTGGGATAGATAAAATTGAACATGTCACACGTAAAACAAAACGTCATTGATACTCGCATGGAATTCTCTTGAGACCAGGAGGGAAATGGAGATCTACAGCTGGAAAAATAACGAAGTCACATAAAAACTTCCAAAAAGTTAGGGTTAAACAATCATATGGTAGGTTTTTCCCTTTCCTCCATTACAAATACCTGATATCATCCCTGCTGATGTTGCCTTACTCCACAGAATACTTAACATGATTGGCACAACGACACATCCAATCATAATCCCCGTGAAGAGGAACACCCATCCTAGATTCAGACCAACCCAATGAGAGCAAAGAACCAAAGGAATTGTGAAGAGCGTAATCCAAAGAATACACCAGCTTTTATAGTTTAACAAATTATCTTGATACTGCTTGTATAAACCATGTTCGGTACACGTGTATGGCTGATGAACTCCTAGGTTATTACCAGATTTACGCAAGGTGACATCTTTAGCACATCCAGTACAGTTAACTACTGGTTTGCATGAACATATCAAACGATCAACGAGATTGTCTGATTTTGTTGTTTTCATTGACGGCTTGCCACATACCACACAGTCACCCTCTTTCAGATGCTTTCTGAAATATCGATAAATGGTATCCCAGAACTATAATATACAAACAATGTTCTACCATATTTATCACGAAACATTAATAAGAATTGGAAGGCAAGCACCTCTTATTATGTAAAGATCTATATTTGGCGCATCTTGACAAACCAGTGTAGAAAGCGTATCGAGAGTGTTTATTGTGACCAGTGTTCTTTTAATTTTACATCTCTTTGCTAATCAATATTAATATTCCAAGTACATAAAAGTATATACTTATGAAATATTATCCTTATTGACCCCGAAACATATTCGGAACATATTTCTAAGAGTTCGCCAATTTGATAAACTTAACCAATGGGTCGTATCTATTATCTTAACTCGTATCTCTTTGCTTGGTTTGACGGCTAAATATTGTTCCACTCATGGTCAATTATGTCAGCATCTTCTCTCAAATTTATTAAAATGCTGTCATGACGTGATCTGATTGAGCCAAAATGTTAACAGTAATTAACAGTTATATTACCGGCCGCATCTTGAGTCTTTACCAATGTCCTGTTTAAAATAAAAACCTAATTGAAATGTATAATCAAAGGTATTTAAAAATGCTCAATATAGTTGTCACCTGAAAGGGTTAATGTATGGCTGGTATACGTCATACACAATCAACGATGCCACAGCAACAACCTCAGCAGACCCTGTTGACATAATCGCCATTAGGATAAATAGAAAAGTAACGTACTCCCCCGTCTTCCCCAATATTGCTTGCGCCATTGCAGGGACAACCAGGCCTGTGCAAGGTAGTAAACAAGTTTGCCGTTTAACTCGATCCATTGTTACTTTGATTACAATGAATAAAGCGAAGAGAGTGAATGTCATTTTGAATAACTGAACATATAAGATCCACTTTCTACACAATTGTCATAACGTTTATAATATTTGTTAATTTACCTTGTTCAATTTCAAGCGGAGACAATATTGGAGTGTCTTGCCAATTCTCAACAGCGAGATACGATAAACCGAATGATGTTGCAAGTACAAATGGAATAGAAAACCAGACGATTCCTCCGACCATGAACCCCCACATGCCATCTATTGGTTTGGCTGCAACGCTGCTCTGCCAGTATGACTGATCCCCAAATATCCCACCAAAAGCTAACACAACCGTGATAATTGCAAACATAAGACCACCGGACGATATTATAGTGAGGTAGCTTTGGTCATAATTTCCAACTGGTCCGGTAATGTTATGCAGATAGTTGTAAATTGTCTCTGGATTACCATAGGGAAGGTCAATATCTTCGGATGGTGCCTTGAGGAATACCTCGACCACCATAATGATCAGGAAACAGAATACAAGTGCTACGTTAAAGTAAGAAACGTAAAATGTAGCTCCTAGTCCACCAACCAATGTGTAAGACCCTAAATTCATAACGTATAGTATGTACGTTACTTACTATAATGTTATTATAGATTAAACGAGTTAACTTTTTACTCTAACTAACATCATGCCACTTACAATTAATAAAAAAAATTTCTTCCTACTTTACAATGGTTCTCACATCCTCTCTTATTAATCTGCCAAGTTGCAATTTCAGACATATCCGATCCGGCCGATCATATTTTAAACCACAAATCATGGACTTATTCATTATATGCTCAATATGTAACAGTTGTAACACTTATCCTGACTGGTCAATACGAACTCACGAGTCATAATAGTTTAGCCTAAAACGTGAGAAGCGGGGATATACATGTGACGTTAAGATTGCAACTTCTATACATTCAAAAAACAGTAAAGGGAGGAAACGCAGGGACGATTCACACACCCAAATGAAGTAGATGTGAAGCCTGTCGTCATCAGCAGCTTCCGTATGCACCACAAATCATAACACTACTTGTAGTCTGCGCGAGGTTCCACTTTTCTTCGTTTTTTGCGCATGCGCATTAAATCAAGCAATTTGATTAGTTATTAAAAAGTATGCACGATCAATAAGATAATAGAGAGTTTAACCCTACTATCACACCAAACTAGTTCTCACTACGTTCTTTAAACGGGCTTCAACTGTGTACGAACGGACTGGACTAACTTAGAACCGTTTGTGGTATATTTCCAAACTTCATCGAACGTACTCGAACGGGTAGGTCCACTAGAACTTAGAACATGCTCAAAATGTTCTCGTGGTCGATATATCTACAATTAGAACGAGTGACAACGTACTAACGACGAGCTGGACGTACTACGAACGGAACCGTCGTACTTCAATCCTACTAAGGACGTTTTAACAGCGAGTTGCACTGTCCGAGGACGTATTAGGAACGAGGTAGAACCAATTGCAAACGGGTTTAAACTGATTAAGAACTTACTTAAGACTGCTTATGAACGAGTTAGCAAAAATATAGCTATCACACCAAACAAGTTGCCACTGCGTTCTTCAAAACTGGTGCGAACGGAATGAACGTAGCTACAACGTTCTACGGTCTGTTTACGAACTTCATTGACTTTCCCGGACGGGGAATGTGATTGAGAATTTTGAATCGATTCAAAATTCGATGGCGACCATACCGTTCTGTAATCAGGTCATGATGACCTTTTAGACTAAGGGGCGCGTATACGACGTTACACACCGATGTGGTGCGACCTGAACGAACTGCGAATGAGATGGACGTATTGAAGACTGTTTATGAATGAAGTAGCTAATTATTTTAGACATATTTCCCGACCACAGCCAGATTGAGCCCGTTTTATGTCGTTTTCGTAGGACTGGCAAGAACGGGTAAGAACTAGTTTGGTGTGATAGGAGGGTTAAACTCTCTATTATCTTATTGATCGTGCATACTTTTTAATAACTAATCAAATTGCTTGATTTAATGCGCATGCGCAAAAAACGAAGAAAAGTGGAACCTCGCGCAGACTACAAGTAGTGTTATGATTTGTGGTGCATACGGAAGCTGCTGATGACGACAGGCTTCACATCTACAACGTAGTAGAACGCGTCCCTTAGTCTAGAAGGTCAACATGACCTGATTACAGAACGGTATGGTCGCCATCGAACTTTGAATCGATTCAAAATTCTAAAATCACATTCCCGTCTGAGAACGTTCATAAAGTTCGTAAATAGACGTTAGAAAGTTGCAGCTACGTTCATTCCGTTCGCACACAGTTTAAGACCAGTTTTGAAGAACGCAGTGGCAACTTGTTTGGTGTGATAGCTATATTTTTGCTAACTCGTTCATCAGCAGTGTTAAATACGTTCTTAATCAGTTTAAACCCGTTTGCAATTAGTTCTACCTCGTTCTCAACACGTCCTCGGACAGTTCAACTCGTTGTTAAAACGTCCCTAGTAGGATTGAAGTACGACGGTTCCGATCGTAGTACGTCCAGCTCGTCGTTAGTACGTTGTCACTCGTTCTAATTGTAGAACGTGACGACCACGAAAACATTTTGAGCATTGTCTAAGTTCTAGAGGACCTACCCGTTCGAGTACGTTCGATGAAGTGTGTAAATAGATCCCAAACGGTTCTTAGTAGGTCCAGTCCGTTCGTACACAGTTGAAGCCCGTTTTCGAGAACGTAGTGAGAACTAGTTTGGTGTGATAGTAGGGTTAGCTAGCGATATCTTTCGAGTGAACCGTGAACGCCAAGCCAATGAATCGGTACAGTAATGTACAGTATATAACTCGCATACAAAACAAGCGCTACTTAGTCTACTTCAAATACCGATCAGCTTCAGAGTTGTGTTTACCCTACTATAACACAAAACTAGTTCTCAGTACGTTCTCGAAAACGGGCTTCGACTGTGTACGAACGGACTGCTGGACGTACTTAAAACCGTTTGGGTTCCATTCACAAACTTCATCGAAGGTACTGGAACGGGTAGGTCCTTTACAACTTAGAACATGCTCAAAATGTTCTCATGGTCGTCACGTTCTACAATTACAACGAGTGACAACGTACTAACGACGAGCTTGTATGGCTGGGCAAGTGGTACAAAGTTACGTAGTAATGTTAACGACCGTAAGGTCGTAAGTGTACGACCGCAAGAACGTAAATATACTTCCTTAAGGTCGTTATTATCGGTTCCAAGAACGTAAATAAACGACCTCATAGTCGTAATGTTAACGACCGTAAGATCGTAAATAAACGACCACAAGAACGTAAATGTAAGACTTTAAGGTCGTTAACTTACGTCAGTAGGGTCGAAATAACACGGTAGTGAGGTCGTAAATGTACGTCAGTAAGGTCGTAATAACACGGTATTGAGGTAGTAAATTTACATTACGACTATGAGGTCGTTAATTAACGTTCTTGGAACCGATAATAATGACCTTAAGGACGTAAATTAACTACCTTATGGTCGTATATTCACGTTCTTGCGGTCGTACATTTACGACCTTACGATCGTTAATATAACGACGTAACTTTGTTCCACTTGGCCAGCCATAAACTGGACGTACTACGAACGGAACCGTCATACTTCAATCCTACTAGGGACGCTTTACAACGAGTTGAACTATCTGAGCATGTATTGGTCGAGAACTAATTGCAAACGGGTTCAAACTGATTAAGAACGTATTAAAGACTGCTTATGAACGAGTTAGCAAAAATAAAGCTATCACACCAAACAAGTTACCACTGTGTTCTTCAAAACTGGTTTTAAACTGTGTGCGAATAGAATGAACGCAGCTGCAACTTTCTAAGGTGTATATACGAACTTCATGAACGTTCTCAGACGAGAAGGTGATATTAGAATTTTGAAATGATTCAACATTCGATGGCGACCATGCCGTTTTGTAGGCAGATCGTGTGACAGCGTACTTTAAACTAGATGACCTACTAGACCAGGAACGATTGCCGTACTTCAACCCTACTAGGGACGCGTTATACAACGTTGTTCAATCGAATATCAATTGCAGTACGTGTGTATACCGACATGCGATCTGAACTTCGAAAGAGATGGACGTATTGACGACTGTCTATGAACGAAGTACCTTATTATTTTAGACATATTTCACGACCACAGCAAGATTTAGCCCGTTTTACGACTTTTTCGTAGGACTGGAAAGAACGGTTGAGAAATAGTTTGATGTGATAGGGGGTTAGAATGGGAGGTTTACAATTTTGCGTTGATGTTAACATGTTTTAGCCCCAAATATCTTACGAAACGACCTGGTTTGAAATATATATCATCGAAAACTAACAACAATGGCATATTACACGATGATGTGTAGTCTATGCAAGGGACTAATTAAACACTGTAACTGAACGATTATTTATGTGAGAAAACTACAGGGTGGTCAAAAAAATGGAAACCCTGCATTTTCCATATATCTTTGTCACTTTAAGGACTTACTCCCTGATATTTCACATATTTGTACATCATTCAATTTCCTACCACCCTACCATATTTCATGAACATTAGACTGATAGTCACAATTTTACAGCACTTTGAATATCGCCATTATCGCGCTGTAGGCAAAACAGCACAGCTGTCAATGACTCGAATGCATTCCTCAGCAGGTATGGCCTGAATGACACAAATGATCTCACTTTTGAGGTTTGCAAAAACGGGCTTCGACTGTGTACGAACGGACTGCTGGACGTACTTAAAACCGTTTGGGTTCCATTCACAAACTTCATCGAAGGTACTGGAACGGGTAGGTCCTTTACAACTTAGAACATGCTCAAAATGTTCTCATGGTCGTCACGTTCTACAATTACAACGAGTGACAACGTACTAACGACGAGCTTGTATGGCTGGGCAAGTGGTACAAAGTTACGTAGTAATGTTAACGACCGTAAGGTCGTAAGTGTACGACCGCAAGAACGTAAATATACTTCCTTAAGGTCGTTATTATCGGTTCCAAGAATGTAAATAAACGACCTCATAGTCGTAATGTTAACGACCGTAAGATCGTAAATAAACGACCACAAGAACGTAAATGTAAGACTTTAAGGTCGTTAACTTACGTCAGTAGGGTCGAAATAACACGGTAGTGAGGTCGTAAATGTACGTCAGTAAGGTCGTAATAACACGGTATTGAGGTAGTAAATTTACATTACGACTATGAGGTCGTTAATTAACGTTCTTGGAACCGATAATAATGACCTTAAGGACGTAAATTAACGACCTTATGGTCTTACATTTACGTTCTTGCGGTCGTTTATTTACGACCTTACGGTCGTAAACATAACGACTATGAGGTCGGTAATTTACGTTCTTGGAACCGATAATAACGTCCTTATGGACGTAAATAAACTACCTTATGGTCGTATATTCACGTTCTTGCGGTCGTACATTTACGACCTTACGATCGTTAATATAACGACGTAACTTTGTTCCACTTGGCCAGCCATAAACTGGACGTACTACGAACGGAACCGTCATACTTCAATCCTACTAGGGACGCTTTACAACGAGTTGAACTATCTGAGCATGTATTGGTCGAGAACTAATTGCAAACGGGTTCAAACTGATTAAGAACGTATTAAAGACTGCTTATGAACGAGTTAGCAAAAATAAAGCTATCACACCAAACAAGTTACCACTGTGTTCTTCAAAACTGGTTTTAAACTGTGTGCGAATAGAATGAACGCAGCTGCAACTTTCTAAGGTGTATATACGAACTTCATGAACGTTCTCAGACGAGAAGGTGATTTTAGAATTTTGAAATGATTCAACATTCGATGGCGACCATGCCGTTTTGTAGGCAGATCGTGTGACAGCGTACTTTAAACTAGATGACCTACTAGACCAGGAACGATTGCCGTACTTCAACCCTACTAGGGACGCGTTATACAACGTTGTTCAATCGAATATCAATTGCAGTACGTGTGTATACCGACATGCGATCTGAACTTCGAAAGAGATGGACGTATTGACGACTGTCTATGAACGAAGTACCTTATTATTTTAGACATATTTCACGACCACAGCAAGATTTAGCCCGTTTTACGACTTTTTCGTAGGACTGGAAAGAACGGTTGAGAAATAGTTTGATGTGATAGGGGGTTAGAATGGGAGGTTTACAATTTTGCGTTGATGTTAACATGTTTTAGCCCCAAATATCTTACGAAACGACCTGGTTTGAAATATATATCATCGAAAACTAACAACAATGGCATATTACACGATGATGTGTAGTCTATGCAAGGGACTAATTAAACACTGTAACTGAACGATTATTTATGTGAGAAAACTACAGGGTGGTCAAAAAAATGGAAACCCTGCATTTTCCATATATCTTTGTCACTTTAAGGACTTACTCCCTGATATTTCACATATTTGTACATCATTCAATTTCCTACCACCCTACCATATTTCATGAACATTAGACTGATAGTCACAATTTTACAGCACTTTGAATATCGCCATTATCGCGCTGTAGGCAAAACAGCACAGTTGTCAATGACTCGAATGCATTCCTCAGCAGGTATGGCCTGAATGACACAAATGATCTCACTTTTGAGGTTTGCAATTGTCCTGAGGTAATTCTCATATACTCTATCTCTGCCATATCCCCACAGGTAGGCACATTTTGGACGATGAGTACAGGTTTCCCCACAACGCAATAGTGGCTACTGGGCATGTTCTTTAAAGTACTGTTACATTGTGACTATCAGTCTGATGGTCATGAAATAAAGTAGGCTGGTAGCTAATTGAATGATGTACAAAATTGCAAAATATCAGGGAGTTATTTTTTAAAATGACAAAGATATGAGGAAAATGGTATTAGGGTTTCCATTTTTTGACCACCCTGTACATGCATTTGTATAGTGCAACTTGTGCGTAGAGTTTGACGTTTTGATTTTATATGCATCATTTAAAGTCTCAAATAACTTCATTATATATTTTAGATAGATGTCATCTTTGTTCATTATTTTACAGCAGGCCCTACCAATAATGCATTTTATTTGCAGAAAAACGTTTAGTGTAAAAACAAATAATTCTCAACTCCAACGTTTGTTCTCGATTCCTTTGCAATGAACTTCCACAAACTAAAGCCGAACAAATCGCAGAAAAGGTAATTTGAATCATGGGAATGATGTACTTTGATTTTTGCGCATGTTCAAAGAATCGAACCAAGTAAAAAAGGAACCAGATTGCCCCGACTCGATCTTGAGCAATAAGTCATCTTGCTCTCTGGCGGCCATTTTGGAAACTTACAGATAAATCTTGTCATAATGATTCCAGGAAAACCACTTAACAGAATTACTTTAGATTTTTACAAATGTTACAATGTAAGACGTTCTAAAGCTGATTCATTTTTCATCGACTATCATGCGTTAAGGCGTTCATTTTGGAAGTTTTTAGATAATTAGTGCCATCGCAATTCCAGTAAAACCACTCAACGGACTTTTTCAAATCAAGAAGCTTGAAAGGGAATTTTCGGCGGCAATCTTGCTGTCTGGCACACTGTTTCATTTTATTACGATATTCTTCACATTGTGCATTGTTCTTGCCGTTTTCTGTAACAATTTTGGTCTTCCCTTATGCATTTATGCATACATATTAAATATGGCCAATCGATGCTTCAAATTACAAGCAAATGTGTTAAGATCGATTAAGCACAACCAAATTGGGTATATAATAAAACAAATACTGTCTGAATTTCGAGAGCAATTATATTAACATTTACCTATGACTGCTGCAAGTATCACACATGCCATTTCTATAGACAAGTCTATAGTAAGACTTGTCAGTACAGCACTACCTCCTAACAGCAGCAGCATCGTTACGATAATATTCGTAATTGCAGCAAAAACACAAAATACTATATGGGTCGGAGCTCCAAATCTTACACGGATGACCTTGATAAAGAAAATTACTATATTAAATATTAAGCAAATATTTCATTCTATGGAGGGCAATACCTGTTCATCTTTCAATGATTTTTGCAGCATGTATTGCCCGCAGCCCGGAGGGCGAGGGAAATACATGCTGCAAAAATCATTGAAAGTGTAACAGGTATTGCCCGAACATAGAATGAAATATTTGTTTTATTATATCATTGCTAGACATTCGCTTACTTTGCAGACTGGCACTCTTGTAATATGCCCCAAGTTCGCAGTTCCCAAAAAAATCCTCTAAAATTCCATCCAGAACGATTTTATCGATAGATTTAACGTCTATTTCGTCCACATAACACATAACACAAAATGTTCTAAGACATTAGATGTCATTCCGATGCACATCCGTCAAGATGTCGTTCATCGGAATTCAGACTTTTAAATCTTTTTCAGTCTGCCTTTTTGATGCACGTCACAACTGTATTGGACGAAACGGGACGATTCAGAATTCCCGGGCGGGCAATACGCCGGGCAATACGTCTTTTATAATTCCAAAATTAAGGGAGCTGTGAAATACGCTTTGGTATTTTTGATCACATGGTACTGAATCAGCCAATCAAATGACACAAATTCTAGCAATGATATAATAATGATAAATACAGTTAAACACATCACTTATCCAGTTATAAACATTCAGTTAATCTTTACACTAGTATTACACCAGACCTGCTTGTCAAAATGGCATTACGGACAAGTTGCGATGTTATTTTCCTATACGCAGTGAAAACAACTAGTCATAATCAAAATTAACCCCCCTATCACACCAACCCGTTCTTGCTAGTCCTACGAAAACGTCGTAAAACGGGCTCAATCTGGATGTCGTCGGGAAATATGTCTAAAATAATTAGCTGCTTCGTTCATAAACATTCTTCAATACGTCCATCTCATTCGCAGGTCATTCAGGTCGCACCACGTCGGTGTGCAACGTCGTATAAGGCGGCCCTTAGTCTAGAAGGTCATAATGACCTGATTACAGAACGGTATGGTCGCCATCGAATTTTGAATCATTTCAAAATTCTAAATTTCACCTTCCCGTCTGAGAACGTTCATGAAGTTTGTAAATAGTCCTTAGAAAGTTGCAGCTACGTTCATTCCGTTCGCACATAGTTTAAAACCAGTTTTGAAGAACGCAGTGGCAACCTGTTTGGTGTGATAGCTATATTTTTGCTAACTCGTTCATAAGCTGTCTTTAATACGTTCTTAATCAGTTTAAACCTGTTTGCAATTAGTTCTACTTCGTTCTCAATACGTCCTCAGACAGTTCAACTCGTTGTAAAAACGTAGTAGGATTGAAGTACGACGGTTCCGTTCGTAGTACGCCCAGCTCGTCGTTAGTACGTTGTCACTCGTTCTAATTGTAGAACGTGACGACCACGAAAGCATTTTGAGCATGTTCTAAGTTCAAGAGGACCTACCCGTTCAAGAACGTTCGATGAAGTTTGTAAATAGACCCCAAACGATTCTAAGTACGTCCAATTTGTTCGTACACAGTTGAAGCCCGTTTTTGAGAACGTAGTGAGAACTAGTTTGATGTGATAGTAGGATAACCTGGCAATGACCAATGCACCGGCCTTTGGGGTATACACTGATTAAGTTTTTATTACATTATTTTAATGTGCATTATTGCTCCCAAATGGATTATTAGTCAAATTAATACATGCTCTTTGGTAATAAATTACCTGTAAGAATGTTTTTGCCCCTGGTGCTTTTGTTTTCAGTTGGATAGAGACCGTGGCAAAAATGAAAAGTTGCATAGTTGCCGAGGCAGCATACCACAGTGGCCCACTTAACCCATACTGAAATCAAAATAAAACAAGTCAGAGTTACATTCAAAATATCGAACATAGACACACCTACTTTTTAACAGCGGATCCGTAAAATCAAGAATTTAAGTTCATTGTTTTTTTTCGCTTAACAAAGTTTCACTTTTGACCCCCTAGCTAAGTTATTTGGTTGATCACATACTAAGCATTTTAACCACACCTTTATTTTTGTAACGAAATATCAACTATCGACGTATACAATCACTGTACAGAACCAAATGAATGCGTTTTAGTTTTACCAACCTTAACTGCTACTGTAGCAGATTGAAGAAGGGTTGCTGCCCAAGTCATCTGTGAAACTATGGTTGAAGCTGTAAGTCCAACAGATACTTTGCCTCCTGCATCGAATGTAGTGTCCACGTTAGATGCATCATGGTAAACGTATTTTCGTATTAGGTGGAACATAGCTGCAACTAGCACGGAAAACAATCCAAACCCAAGTATGAGTAATAGTGCATTTCGTAGTTCTATTGAAGGTTTGACGCCTGTTATCACATTTCTGTTGGAAATATAAATTAAATGGTCAATTTTTATAATGACATAGACATTGAGTTTCCCAATCAATCTTTTAATTATTATCATAATGAAAGGGAATACCTAGTTTTGTCAAATACTCTTGATTTTATGTTACACTTGATTATAACACCCCAGTCACATTTCCTACGGCGACCGTGCGGTCTCTCATATCAGCGGTCAGTAAAATTTCTACGCTCGCCGTAAAATTTCTGCGGTCGGATACTTTTGCAATCACATTTCCGACCGCAGAAATTCCATAGCGAGCGTAGAAATGTTACTGACCGCAGAAATGAGAGACCGCATGGTCGCCGTAGGAAATGTGACTGGGGTGTAACTCAAAATTATAATTTATACCGCTACCCTGCGGCCTGTAAAAGAACTGGATACGCCGTACGGAGACCGCAAGGCGAACGTAGTTTTCTTACGCTCGCCGCAGAAATTCACTGATTTAATTGATCTGCGGTCAACGCACGGCTGCCGTTCGACAAATGTGACTTGAGTCCGGGTTGTGCAAATGAACTGGACATGCGACCATTTCAACAATAAAGTAGTTTATCCCACTTGACCATAATTTGTCCCTAAAAAGGTCGATGTAATGTTTATGTAATAAGTGTTGTCCTGGGGTTAATTAAGTTGTCCTGGGAATGAGTTGTCCAGGGGATGTGGTCATTCTTCTTATTGATACTGTACAAAATCTTACTATGTTAGAACATTATTTAATCACACGCAATACTCAGCTAAGATGACTTAAATACTAAATATCTTCTACAGACATTCGAAATGAGCCTACTGTCGTAAATGTTATACCAGAGCAACTTTGTACTTTAGTTGAGACATATAAATAAGGGAGCCACTTCACATTCACCCCAAAATGGTTCTTTACTATCTCGAAAGGGGCAACTGTTGCTTAACAAAATCGTAAATCTTCATTTCCTAAAAGTAAGAATCATCCGATCCTTTATAGCAAACGGTGTTGTGATGTCAATCAGTGTTGTATCAGAGTTTAAAGACTTAGGAGTATTGAAATTATTGTTTCCTAAACTAAAATTATTAATATGGCAGTGCTCTAATAAAAGGTTGACAAAAATAAGAAAAATTTTCGTTTGAGAAGTAAAAAGTAAGGTATGAGACATTAAAACTATTAAATTCAAGCGTATTTAACACTGGCAGATCCAGAAACTAACAGTGGGAGGGGGGGAGCAAGCGCGGAAAAATGTTGGGCCCCTAAAACCCCAAATTTAAGGCACATTTTTGACATTTTTCAAAGGCCAAATTTAGCCAAAAAGGCCTTTTTTTGTTGTCAACATTTCATTTTGAAATGGATATACTTCTGGAAATGTTTTAAATGGTTCAATCTGAAATAAGAAAAAACAATGACATGAAGATGAAGAGTTTCCATATTATATTCCATCATATCCATATTATCAATATTCCAATAATAATCAAATGAAGACTCCATATCGATGGATCGTGCACTCCATGTGTTCGATTTATTTCACTCAAAGAAATAAACATAACAGAGATACCTTGTTTTGTTGTTTTTTCCTTCTGTTTCTAGGCTTCCCGTCAATCCTGGGACTAAATATGTAAAAACTAATTCCGCAATTAGGACAATAGCTGTGGTCTTCATCGTCGCTAGTTTTAAACCATCTAAGCCAATTGTCTCTGTATTACGTTCTTTGTGTCTATGAGTTTTTGAGGTGTAAAACAAACAATGCTAGTAGCTGTTACGAAATGATCAAATCTTCTTTAAGCGTTCACTGAACGCAATTCTTTTTGATAAGTTTAGTTTATCTTGAACTGATCAAGGTGTCCGTGAAAGATAAACAATTTGTTAGGGCAACTTGAACATAGAAACGTTCAAAAGTAATATCTCATGATCATAACACGAATATGTGATTTTGTGTTTATAACTGTTGAAAACAATTCATTGGTTAATAAAAGAAAGATTCGCATGTTGATATCCCCAGTGTGTTGAATATAGAAATAAGTCTCAATAATGCAATTTGTGATTTTAAAATACATCACAATGGCTACGGTCGAACATCCTTAGTGCCTCTAGACACGACTTTTATGGTAATAAATGTGGAAAACGACTTCACTTGTCTGCACGCTTTATTACTGCATATAATAAGAGAAATGGGCAAAAGAGAAACAGGACTTGCGCAGGAAGTTATGAAACTTTATATCAAGGCTAAATTTGTCGTACGTGAAATAAATGAAAAACAGAAACATGACAGTATTGTAATGAGACCTTATAGTGGGGGGGGGAGTATAGATGGTCCTGAAAATACAGCTGAGCAAAAAGTACAAAGGACAGAGGGTATTTACAAGGATAATTACCGTATAAAATCAACACGGTTTACAACAATAACCAAGCCCTAACTTCCGTTATCGTAATACATCTAACATCAAGTATTTGATCTCGAACTACCACTAGTGATAAAGTCAAAGGCGTACCTCGTTGTACTATACCTAATGTACTTCCGAATATCAAACCTAGTACCAGTATCCAATACTCAACAAAGCATGGTCCAAAATCCAAACAAAACAAGAAGCCACAATCACACATGCCTTGGTCACATTTGCTCCGATTTTCACTACGGCGCCCGGCCGATTGAGTATTTTGTTCAAAATTGAATACAATATTGAGCAAAACACTCAACCGGCCGGGCGCCGGCCGATGGATCGGAGCAAATGTGACCCAGGCAATAGTCTTCATCGTATCATGCCCTCTGGTCAACTGACGATATAAACCTTGCACAACTCACACGTAAAAGTTAGCTGTGCTAAAACCTGTTTGACCAATGAGAACTCTCTATAAACTAGTTGGACCAATGAGAACTCTCCAAAAACTAGTTAGACCAATAATAAACCTCTATTTCCAAATATGAAAGACTAATGAGTATCAGTTTTAAGCGACGTTTATTGATTCAATTGAATCTCTTGTTTCACAACTTGTTTTCCTAATTGTGTACGATTTTCACTACACTACACAGTTTGCATGCTCCTATGAATATGGCGTTCTATTTACACAATGTTTCAGATTCAACCATAAACTTTATAACATAAAATAACAAGAACATAAACCTTATTAACCGACCGTTTCAGTATGTATGCAATTCAGTAAACAAATAGTCTTAGTTTTTGAGCATATTTAGGTTACTAGACAAATGCATTTTCGTTCACAAGAGCACAAACATATGTTTAGATTTTACAAGAAAAATGAACCAAATGAATCCGCAAAATACATACTTTATCAACTTACGTCCAATGTCTATTGTAAAGACTGTGCGTGTAATAAATAAAATGATAACAAAAACTGTTAATTGGTTTGAAATTCCTCTCACTCGGGTAATTCTGTTCATGTTTTATAAATCCTTTCAGCAGTTCGATTTTATCAAAACGACAGTTCTATATATCCATGTAATACTGAACCATTCTGAAGCAACACAAACGTAAGTTTTGGCTCGGTAAATGGCTAATATTGCATCAAGGATACTGTGTGTTCTAAAAGTAACAGGGCTGGTGCTGGTATCTCGTCAATTCTACAACAAGTGATTTCAAAATTTCACAAAATTATGTTATGGTCACTATATATAGTAATGCCTTGGTCACATTTACTCCGATTTTCACTAATGCCGTGGTCACATTTGCTCTGATTTTTACTACGGCGCCCGGCCGATTGAGTGTTTTGTTCAATATTGTATTCAATTTTGAACACAATACTCAATCGGCCGGGCGCCGGTGCTGAAAATCGGAGCATATGTGACCACGGCATTAGGCGCCCGGCCGATTGAGTATTTTGTTCAAAATTGAATACAATATTGAACAAAACACTCAATCGGCCGGGCGCCGGCCGATGGATCAAAGCATATGTGACCAAGGTATTACATGACACCACGATATCAAAAGACCCACATTTTCACCGTGAAAATTGCAACTTCAAATATTCCGTTGCCGTGATTGGTTCTTGTTTCATGCTCGTGCCGAGAGATTGTAAAATTCAAATATTTCGATTGGTTGGATTCGCGCGTATTTACTGGTAAATACACGTGCGGTCAACAAAACTTAATCGGATATTTAAGCACAGATCTTTACAAAAATAAGTGTCTGATAACAGGTTGACACTATAGTTTATGATCATTCACATGATGTTCAATCAAAGATTTGTATTCTCTGCAACATATTCACATTTTTCGTATTCGTCTTTCTTCTTCGAATCTGTTTCGAATTTAATGTTTCTGTTTTGCCATACTTGCCATATGCGACAAATCAAATATAATGTATGTCTTGTACTAACGGTACAATAATGATAAAGGCAGCGCATAATTATAAAAGGAAATGCGATCGAGGAATTTGTCTAGTTGCCAAACAGTTTCTTCGTTCTATAACTTTCTGTCGAGAGTACACAATCAGACAATTATGCAAACGATTTCACTAAATCCCTATGAAACGGCATCGCATATCAGCATCGGTATTTCTCGACCCATGTTTTCTAGACAATTATACAGTCGGATGCAGAGGCCAACCAACGAGTAATCCCACAGAGGCAACCGCATATTACACCTGTGACTAAAAAAGTTTATGATAACATAATTATATTTGACAATTGTACAGGCAACCTTCGTAGTCGGATGTAGAGGCCAACTAACCCTACTATCACACCAAACTAGTTCTCACTACGTTCTCGAAAACGGGCTTCAACTGTGTACGAACGGACTGGACCTACTAAGAACCGTTTGGGATCTATTTACAAACTTCATCGAACGTACTCGAACGGGTAGGTCCTCTAGAACTCAGACAATGCTCAAAATGTTCTCGTGGTCGTCACGTTCTACAATTAGAACGAGTGAAAACGTACTAACGACGAGCTGGACGTACTACGA